CCCACACGAGCCTGGAGTTGAATTCGTAAGAGTTTAATGCTTTTAAGGTCGCTTGACTATCAGTAAAGATATTGATTGTTTTGTCTCTGATATCTTTGTTAAGATGTTCTTGAGCACAAACTAGAATGGCAGTGACCTCCGCTTGAAAGACAGTTGGGTACACCCCCATTGGAAGACAAATACCAGTGCCTCCATTCATCCAATGCACACCTGCTCCAGTGCCCCCATTTTTGATCTTAGAACCATCAGTATAGCATTCTAAGTCACCTGTGGGTATGGGTCCTTTTCCGCCAGACCAATCCTTCCTATCTGGTATTAGTACTTTGAAAGGCTTTCCAAAGGAGTATTTTTTGGACATGTGATCTGAAGGTAAGTCCAATTCATCATTATGTACCACCTGAACAATTTTAGAGTGCCCTTTATTGTTCCCTGAGGCTATCCATAAGTTTTCGCATCTAAGGCGTTGGGCTGTTTTACTTGCTACCACCTTAATATAAATGTCAATAGGTAGCATGTCAAGCAGACAGTCAAGTGCCGCTCCAGGACAGCTACTTACTGCCCCAGTTATCATAATAAGAGCAAGCCTCTGAACTCCTGCTAAAGCTTTGACAGCTATAGTTGATTCCATCTTTGGCCACCACACAAGCGAACCATATGTAAGGGCGGGTCGAACAACAGATACATACAGCCAGTGCATAAGTTTAGGCTGTAACCCCCATGTGCCACTTACCATCCGCCTGCATGCCATAAGGGACCATTTGCCACGCTCAATGACTTTTTGAAGGTGTGGTCCCCAGTGAAGTGATCTGTCCAAAATTACACCAAGATACTTCACCTGATTCTGCAGCTCTATTACAGTACCCTGCAGTCTTAGTGGGCCGATCCCGTCCAGTTTCCTCCTTCTTGTGAAGGGTACCATTACAACTTTCCTGGGATTTATAGAGAGCCCAACTTCCTGGCACCAACGGTCCACTACCCTTAAAGCTCTATTCATAAGGTCAGTTATGGTTCCGTGGAACTTTCCAACCACAAGGATTGCAACATCATCAGCATAACCTAAGGCGAAAACCCCACTTTCGTTGAGGGTCCTTATAAGGTCGTCTGCTACCAAATTCCAAAGTAGAGGAGAAAGAACCCCCCCCCTGAGGACATCCTCGAGTAGTTCTTGCCTCGATCGTATCATTGTGGAGTGAGAGCCTAACCTTCCTACTGAGAAGCAAGGATTCAATCCATCTACATATTATACCGTGAAAACCTCTTGCTCTCACCGCATTAAGAATCGCTGGAGTACCAGTATTGTCAAAAGCACCTTGAATATCGAGAAAGGCACCCAGGGCCACTTCACTGCTCTCTAGAGCTTTCTCAATCTTGCTTACAAGTTGGTGCAACGCAGTCTCGCATGATCTTCCTGAGACATACGCATGCTGATTAATATGTAAAGGATGTGTCCTAAGAGCTGTATCCATCATATATCTTGAGACCAACTTTTCTAGGATCTTAAGAAAGAAAGAAGATAGAGAAATGGGTCTGAATGACTTAGGGTCAGTGTAACTATCCCTTCCTGGTTTAGGAATAAATGCGATACGCGAATTACACCACCCTAAGGGAATGTGTCCTAACGCTAAGCTGGCTCTGAAAAGTTTACAGAGTGGGTGTATAATTGTATCAAGACCCTCCTGCAAACAAACAGGTCTTACCTCATCAGGACCCGGCGATTTGAAGGGTCGTAATAAGCCAACAGCCCATCTTACCTTGCTGAAGGTGACTATGCGGCAAGCAGTGCTCCACATAGAATGAGTGGCACGACGGCCCAGGTTAGGCCGCTCTGGACTCACCTCCTCCTGCTGCACTTCAGAAACAATACAACCAGGGAAATGAGTTTTTACCATAACCTTTAGTATTTCGGTAGGTTCAAAAGCCATTACACCATCCGGTCCCTCAACGGCACCCAAAGTAACATGCCTGTCTCTAACAAGTACCTTATGTATTCTAGAAGTATCCTTGATACTCTCTAAATTTCCACAAACATTTTTCCATGAGAGCCTTTTGGCCTTACGTACTGCATGGTTATATTCTGTGAGAGTTGTATGGTATGTATCCCAATTATTGGTTATCTTTGCTCGCCTAAATTGGGCCCTTACTCTCTTCCTAAGAGAGGCAAGTTCAGGACCCCACCAACTAGCCCTGTTGCTCTTTCCCTTGCTCAAAGGACAATTATCCTCAAAGGATGTAACTATGCACCTAGTTAGACGATCTGCCGCCTCGTCAAGCGCGTCAAGCGTGTTAATAGGAGATGTGTTCAGGTTCGAGGCAATTCTGCCCCGAAGATCAGCTCTGAAGGATGCCCAGTCGGTTTTAACTGGGCTCCTGAATAAGCGAACCTCGCCGCAGAAATTCCCCAACCCGAAGACAATGTGCCTATGATCAGACAGGGATGGCTCAAGGGACACTGACCAGTCAATAATCCTGTCAGCCATACCCGCCGAACACAGGGTAAGATCAATTACTGATTGGCCTATCCTGCTTAAAAAAGTTGGTTCTGAGCCTACATTTGCAACAAGTAGGCCGCAAGAAGCTATGTATTCTAGAAGTGACCTACCTCGGTTGTTAGTGTCCCTGCATCCCCAGGCCGTATTATGGGCATTGGAGTCGCAGCCTATCACGAGTTCGGATCCAGACTCGTGTGCGAGGTCGACCAATCTTCTGACCTCGGCCGATGGGAGCAGTCCATCGTCGCCCTGTGGCATGTAAACAGAGGCCAGCAGCAGTTTTATGTTGGATTTAGTACATACAGTCTTAATTACTGTTACGTCCCTCGAACAAAGCTCTAGAACTGGATTACATTTTAGCCCCTCTTTAACCCAAATGCAAGTTCTAGGGTGTGGTACAGATGCAGAGAAGATGCTACCCTTTATAGTTCCCATCCCCGCAATTCTAAAATTATTGATCCAGGGTTCCTGAATCAAGGCATAATCTAAGGACTGCTTAACCGTGCTCAGACAGAACACAGCCGTGGCAGCCTTACTGTGTTGTAGGTTCGCTTGAAGGACCTGAGTCATCAGAGGGAGCACCAGAGATAACTCTGAGCTGTATTTTCCCCAGACCCAGATAGATAATCCAGCCACGATCTTTCAGAACCTGCGCATTCATTTCATCAATAGCAAGAACAAGAATCTGATGATCATCCTTCCTCTTCCCACCAATGACGCGCCAGTCCTTTGTCGTGACACCAGGATTTTGCCGCTCAATCTGAACAAACACTTTAGAGGCTTCGACCTTGGCCAAGCGCCTGTCAGTGCGTAGGAGCACTTTGGTCGTGCGCAACAGATCCTTATAGTCTGCTACAATGACCTCCATACTCCCCTCACTTCCCAGCGCCAGCTTCGGTGCCACCCTCTTTAGCCAGTCAGTTGTTTCAGAATTACCACAAGTTACGACAAGAGCACCCTTCTCATGGTAAATTTTTTCAAACTGATGAGGAATGTTGGCGCCATCATCACCAAACACCAACTCCATCAGTTTGTCCTGCAACAAATCACATTCCTCAACAGAGAATCTCGCATCGGGATAGGCCGCTGGAGCTACTGCCAACTTGTGACCCACAAGCTGATCTCTGTAGCTGGCCTTTCCTGCAACGAGTCCATCTGCTGATTGATTAGAGTTTTTATTTCTCTTAGAAGGAGGATTTTGAGACGACCCAGGGTTACTATCGGATCCGGTTCTACGCATCGGTGATACGCCTGAACCTTCCCCAGGAGAACTCAAGGACTCTCGCTTCCTCTTTCTCCACTGTCTGTTAGGGATCCACGTGCCCTCAGCCTTTTTCCTTTCTCTAACAGACATATTGTACTCAGTTTTGGTCATAACTGTAAAAGTGATCTCAGAGTCGGACGAAACATCCGCCAGAGATGGAGAGTCGCCAGCACTGCTGGTGTTTAGTGGCTTATTCAGGTCTGCATCTAACCTGTGGCAAAGCTCAAGCACATCAGTAGATGAATTGGGTGGAGTTCTTGCTGTTAAGGAACTTCTCGAGAAGACCTCTGGCGTGTCCAGGATCTCCCCAGGTTCCGTCTCCATAGCGGTGTTCTGCACAGTAACATTATCATTGTTAAAGGAAAGCTGATCGTTGCCCTCCCCAGAATCCATGGGCTTGTCCTCCAAAAAGGAGGAGTGGGATTCCCCGCTTGAGCAGGTACCCACCTGGGGTAATGATTCCGTTCGTTTACTTTCAGCCATTACTAAAACAAGAAAAGCAAAAAAGTTAGCAGTTTAGCAGCCGAACCGTGACCCACTCACTACGCCTGCTAATATCCAAGACTGGACCCTTTCGGGGTAGGACCCCTCATCGTCTCCAGCTCAGTCCTGTCACAGCTGCACACATACCTGTAACAGTTGGCGGTAACATTAGCTATCTGGGCCTTGGCCGGATTGGTGATTGTCACCTCCGCCCAAGGCCAGTACTAGAGCAGCCGCTCCCTACCCTAGGGCTGTCTAGTCACGACACAGCCAGCGCTAGATCCGCTGCCTTCAGCGAGTGCAGAGGCACCCCTTGCAGGCTGTGCATAGCACAGTACGACTTTGCTGAACAAAGTCGACTCACAGCGGTCTTGGAGGAGGAGCTGTCATAGACAGCTCCCCCTCCCTGAGGAGCTTACGCTTACCTCTCACCTCCATAGTAGGCCTACACCCAAGATTGATAGCTATGATTAATAATCTACAATAGGCCTAATACTCCACTAAAATGCTCTAGATTTTATTTTGTAAAATGTTCTTCGGCTTATTTTGTTTCTAGAGAATGGCAATGTATAAAGAAATCATAACTCCTCACTCCTCCAATTTGCTCGCATTCTCTGATTTAAAACAACGAAAAAATATTGCGCTGTAGTACAAAAAACATCTTCACTTCACGATGTCAGCTGACAAAGTGCGTCATGAAAAGCATTGAATTCTAAGAAATTCATAAAATGTAATCATCATAAATTTAGTGTTTCAGTGTTTGTGTTAATGTCTTTTCTTTTGTGTTGTTAAGCAGAAAATCAATTTCGATCCAAGAGTGTTATTCCTTAATTGTGGGGAATGAAGAAGGATATAATGTTAATTAGTTGGAGAGTGTGTAGTTTTAAACAAACTTTATTAACTTTACAAAACCTTAAGTCTATTACTTAATCTTTAACCTACAAATTAACTTGCACAGGCTTTTTATAAAAATGGCAGCAAATTATTTTTGTAGTAAAGCTTCTGATGCCGCTAACGAAGATTGGCAGTTACCTTTGTCTTTTCTCAAAAAGCATCATGTGGAAACTATTGAGGGGGCAGCCACAGAATTTCACAGTTGGAGAATGAAGGAAAGGGTAAGAGGTTAAGTAGCCTATAACTAAAAGCCCTAGGCCTATGTTAGGCAAGGCACTAACGAATATAGTTAATGATATTGCATTGATAGACTAATTGCAACAATAAATGACGTAGGGCCTATAAAACAATAATAAGTTTGTGTTTGAGTTAAATTTGAATAAGCTCAGAAGAAAAAGCTGCAGACAATTTAGGGCCTTATTGTGAAAACAAAGTGGAGCGGCGAGGCTAGAGCGTAACAGAAAGCGTAGCTAAGCGGGTTTAAAATCATACAAGTAACTTGTAACGTAGGTGGACTGAAACATAGTGGAGCAGGAAGTGTAGCTTCTGGTATCCGCGCCAACACGTTTGCCTCTCCACTCCCATATTCTACCCCGATTTCTTAACCTCAAGGGTATGGTCAAGGGTCTAGCCTCAGGTCAAACTATGCATTGTCTAACCGACATTAATAATAGGTATAAGTTTGAGGTATTTTGCCAGTTTGAACACTGCCGTCCTTTTTGGGACCAGGACAAATTTTATTACAATGTTTGAAATTATATCCAAACGTGTAATTATTTTTGTCATAAAGGTAAATTGAAGTGTTCTTTTTTGGTGACATAAATGTTATAGGCCTAGTTATGTACTTAACACATTCATTGCGGCATTCAAACAGGCGCTTGCCAATGGCGACGAGGCACGGGCGAAGCCCCGCTGCGCAATAAACCGGCGAACACAATTGGCATTAAAATATTTCAGTCTGACAAAGAACAAAAGAGCAGCGGTAATTGTGCTGCCTTACCCTGAGAGTGAACGTAGTTCATTGAAACAACCAAAGGTAGCAGCACTGCCTGGATCCGTAGCCACTGTCTTTGTAATGTAGCTCGAAGAGAGAAAATCACCAAAACCGGAACAAAAGCATTGCCAGACGGGATTTTACGTTAAATTTTAGTACCAACCTACACCAAAATAAAGCTTGCATTCTAAGCTTCAGGCTGGCAACGATTTAACTTATAATGTTCCCCGGCAATGGCTGAGCTCATATTGAACTCATACTGTTTGGGAGAGGCACGACTACATCTATTGATGTAGGCCGATTGGAGCGCTCGTGACACACTATAAAAAATACCTACCTGATCAATTGATGTAGGCTGCACTGAACATGTTAATCCAATAAACACTTAAGTAGTTTTTTAAATTTTTTATCTAGGCCTAAAAAGGAGTTTCAAATAGGTAATACAAATACTATGCAATTTTTATCATTAGAGTATTTCCTTATACTGTCTATTTACTTTAAATTTTAGATTATATAGGCCTATATATGTCCATGAACATGATAATTTGAGTATTTTTTGTCCAATTTGAAATTTTTGAAGTTTGGACTTTTGATTTATAGATGAAATTTGGCTAAAAGATGAAAGACAAGATTAACTTGAATGAGTTCTCAAACCAGCATTCTGATCTGTCCATGTAGGAACAGGGTTTTATGGGGAATTTTATATGGTAGGGCCTATAAATACCGGTAGTTATTTTCTCATTTTAGACCCCCAAAACAAAAAAAAATCTCAATTTCTCTTTAAACCACCAAGAAATTAAAATAACTGATTTGTCTGCACTGGTCAACTATTGTCTAATTCTTGATGCATTTGACGTTTGGGCTAATCTTAACACCTCTTTGGCATTCTTAACACCTTTTACCGATTTAATGAACCCTCTTCTCCTTTCATAATCTCCTAGCCTCTTAGGCTATAAATCCTCTCCTAACCTCTCTTTCTTTTCCAAACCTCTACAATTTTGGAATGATTCATCCCGAACAATTAGATCCCACTTTGCATGGAATTGCTTGTAGTGGTTTTGTTTGTTGTCTAAAGCAAAACAGCTGTTAACCCTCCACATACCTTCCTCTAGAACACACCGCTAGAACTTGAACTTGTCCAAACCACAATGAACTCTATCTAAACCACTAGGCCTATGTGGTCTATCCAAACCACTCAGTGAACCCTAAATTTATAATTTTTTATTTAATTTTCTTGACTCTTAAAACCGATAGATTAGATTACATTTTTGAATTCAGCGTCAAAAAAACCATGGTGGATCTAGGCCTACATAAAAATTACAATTTTAATCGGTGAAAGTATAACTTAGGCTATTCAATAAGTAGATCTACCCCCTTGACAAACCTAAATTTGACTGTGTCATAAATTTTGAAGTCAAATCACAACAGTATTTATAATCTGAAGTCTTGAAGTAGGCTTGAGTAGGCTAGTTTAATTCTAACTCATTGTCCCCTTTAATACTTTTTATTCAAATGGCAACCATACAAAGTAGGTATTTTAAGCCAAGTATGATTCGAAATGAGTGTAGGATGAGTGGCGCGATCTTGTAGTTTTGTTAGTGACTAAGGCCGACATATTCCTTACAGACAGCTGTTAATTAATAGCCCACAGCTAATGGCAACCGAGGGACCTACAGTTTATAGTGGAATCCAAACCATATTTTTGCCTTGGTATTAACAAATTGATCTAATTATCAGGATAGTACTGCAGATAGTCGTAGTACTCACTAGTGCAGACGTTAATCCACACCAGGGAGTATCATATTTCTTTATACTGAAGTAGGCCATTCTTTTAGGATCATTTCAGTCCACCCAATTTAAAATTATTGTAGAAAATAGTATTAAGCAGCATGAAGTAGAAAGAATATGTTGGTCTGCAAGTTTAAGTGTTTTCTTGTTCCAGATGAAGACAGTGAGCGTTGCCCTCGTGATATGTCTCAACGTTGGAGTCGATCCACCAGACATTGTCAAGACTCAGCCTTGCGCCAGGCTAGAGTGCTGGATCGGTCAGTATAAAACCGCTCAACTTAACCTAACCCAGTGCTAATTAATGTCCTGCCTTTTTTTTAAGTTTAGATGTAATTTTTTGTTTGGTTGATCCATTTTAGCATCTGTTTTTTGGAAGAACAGTTTAAACCCTGGTCTATACCACCAAACTTCCCTAACCTACACAGAAACAACCCAAACTTTCCTAACCGACACTCACACAACCTACACTAAAGTAACAGGTACATTAATTACTTAACCTATTTAATCAAAACCATACTAACCTAGCCCACACCAACCTAACCTGTGACTAAACTAATCTACAATAACCTAAAGCTTAGTCTAACCTGACAAGTAAATTTAAATTACCTAACCTACATTAACCTAACCGACACCAACACAACTCACACTTAAGTTCCCACTAACCTAACTTATTACAACTTATTATGTATACTATTAATCTACATTAACAAGCCTTTACTGACACCGCCTACTCCAAACTAATCTACTTTTAAGTTAATCGACTTTTACTTAAAATAATCTAACCTAAACCAACCTGTTACAGACCCGTTGTCCATGAGTCCGCAGAAGGCCCTGGAGAGCGTAGGCGCAAGTCTGCAGAAGCAGTATGAACGTTGGCAGCCCAAGGCCCGCTACAAGCTATCCCTCGACCCCACAGTGGACGAGGTCAAGAAGCTGTGCACTTCCCTCCGTCGCAACGCCAAGGAGGAACGAGTGTTGTTCCACTACAACGGACATGGTGTACCCAAACCTACCAGTAACGGGGAGATTTGGGTGTTCAACCGGGTAATTGAATTTTAGCAGTTTCGCCTGCCGTTTTAGTAGTGCACAATGTTTTGAGGCTTGGTAAAAATGGAAGCGCTATAGGTCCACACCCTGATACCAAAAGAAATCTGACAGAGTTATTAATTTTCCATTATCCTACCGTATTTAAAAAACTCTGAAATGTTGTCTATGGTCATTCACTATTTTTTAATTGAATCATTAATCTTATGTTGTTCAGGGTGTCCACCAACCTGGAAAATCTGGTAATTATTCATGAATTTCATGTTTTACCGGGAATTTTCAATTTGCTGCGACTTAAAGATGACATTTCCGTGACCGCGGGAGACGATGATATGTCCAAGCAGCCGTGGGATTTGTTAGTGATTTTGCCGCGATCGCGCATGACGACGATGACGTTACTGTGACCACAGGAGTTGACGATGACGTTTCCGTGACCGCAGGTGATGACGATGACGTTTCCGTGACCACGGGAAGAGCGGCTGAAGGGAGCCTCTTGGGATGAAGATGATAACGTCATTATTTCTCGTAACTCACGTAATCAATTTTGTCTGCTTCTTTCTTTGCTGGCGTGTGATGTATAGCCATCGGTGTTTGTGGCGTAGTGGATAGAGAACTCGGCTGATGTGCGAGAGGTGTCTAGACTGAATCCCATCGGTGACACTTAACTTTTTGTCAAAGATTTTGCTTAGAATGCCATTTAGACGACAATAACGTTTTCGTGACCGCGGGTGACGACAATGACGTTTCCGTGACTGTGGGAGACAATGATGACGTTTCCGTGACGGCGGAAAACGATGATGATTGTCCAAAAAATATTGCTTGACGATGATGACTATTTGAACTAAGCTACAATCGAGGAAGATGATGATTACTTCACTGTGATCGCGGGAGGCGATCCGTTACTGCTGAACAATATCAGGATTTTGTGTTGACCACGGAAGATATTAATGATTTTTTTTACTGAGTGAATTATTCAGAATTTTTCAGTTATCGCAGAAAAAAATGATGGTGTCACTAAGACTTTAGATGATCATGATATAACCTCGAGTTTGGCTTGACCAAAAATTTCATAATGGCACACTTTTAGAAAGTTTTATTTATATATTTTTTGCAATATCTTCATTTACCTTTAACGTGGTATTTATTTAATGTGTTTAGAAGGGTTTAAAACTTAAATTGACTACGTGAAATTTTTGTAATTTCTGCATTAATTATTTTTTTAACACTTGAAAAACAACCCATAACTCCAAAATTACATACTATATGAAAGTCATAAAGACGGGGGTTGGTGTAGCAATCCTTACGGAAAATTTGGTAAAATTGAAGTTATCAGTATTAAGAATCTATTTTTCTGGTGTACGTACGGAGATTCGATAAATTTTGGTATCGACATACTACTTTTTTTAAGAAGTTAGGCTATTGATAAATTGCAGGTTTAATGATTAGTTTTTAATTTTTGGATTATTTAATCAGTATTCAGTAATATATAAAAATTGAATACTTGTGTCAGGCAATATTACAGTACCGGTAATCATAATTCTTTTCTTTAACTGAGAATGCTTTTTCCGATAACTAAAATAGTGAGCTGTGTTAGCGCCAAAACAGCATTGCGGGAGTTGGCGCAAAACACGTTGGAAAGTTTAGTATGAAAAGTACTACCTGGATTGTTTTTACCCATGAATTACTCATGAATTTTTTCTGGTTGGCCTGGTGGACACCCTGATTATTTCATTTTGTTCATTATGGTTGTTTGAAATTTATGCTTACTATTTCCTGTTGCAAAATAGTTGTTAGAGATTATTTATACTGTACTGTTGCTGTGAAATTTTAAAGTTTCTATTTACGTAATGTAGCACTATGACCGACACTCAGTATTGCAGGATTGTAATAAATGTCCTGAAAACCTACCTTGGAGCAGAAGTCCTTCCTTTCTTCCTAACAATCCAGTAAGTTCAAACCCACACACTCCTTAATACCTTCAAACCTAGTAATTAAATTTTAGTACAGTAGAATGCTCATACAGTGTTTCCATAGACCGGCTTTTCATTCAAAAAAGCCTAGTTGATCGAACTGCGAATTTAAGGAAATGAATGTGGGGATGAGCGGCAGCAAGCAGAGCATTAGGGCTGCAACAGTTCTACCAGCTCGACAGCACTAGTGTTTTAAGTTTACGGAAAGTAAATAAAAGATACGTCTTATCTATCTATAATATTAAAACGAAACAGGGTTTTTTTATTTCACGATTCTGAATCAACCACTTTACGGATTTTCATGATTTTTGTGTTGAAAGAAAGATAATTTTGAGAACTAGGGAGTGTCGAAGCCATAACTTTAGTTTAGGGTTTCAGTTTTTTAGAAATTAAGTTTTAATTTTTAAAAAGTCTAGCAGCCGACGCTAGCAATTTAAAGTATTTTCAATACTGGTTTAACTAACAGCTGGTTTATAACTGTCATTGAAATGTTTATGTTACGAGTTGTTTGTTTACAAAAATATTGTTCGTTGGTGTTTGCCTACATACTATTTCACTTTAAAATGTAGGTAGTTTTTCCCCTACCGTGAAGGATCTGCGTTATCAGGAAATGTGTTATATTGAACTAAACATCTCAAACACTTGTGTTTAATCAAGTTTTGTCGTAAATGCAATCTGTGTAAGTATTTAGTTTATGCATTGCAAATTTCAACTCATATTTGGGAAATATTTTTTCAGCAGTTTATCGCTTAATTGTTTGAGATATATAAGTGGTTTACGTGTTGATACTTCTTTTTCTGTATGTTTGAATGTGAGTATGTCGGCATACTAAAATTTTGGTTAGTAATGAAAGCGTCAATCAGTGTAGTAGGTCTCTATAAAACTGTCAAATAACCTGCAGCAGAAACCAAAGTCGACTCATACCATACCAACTATCCCCGTAGTACTGATGATTCAGAAACTTGGGCACTGACCAAAGAACCGAAAAACCTTAATGCTGGGTTTGATAATAAAGTGCAGAGAAAATATATACAGACCAGTTCAAGATAACGGCCCGGAGGTCGAAATAAAAAAGAACAGTGAGCTAAGAAAAATGTGTTAACACCCAAATATAGGGATGCTTTCCAGAAGTAGGTACAGCTTGGATGGACAGGCTCTGCATAAACTTTTAAAAAGTATATTCCAAGGAGTACCACACGATAGACGGGAAATATCAAGTTATGAAATGCATCCTCAGACTGGGATCTAAATTTTGAAGAGGCAGGTGATAGAAGAGAATCCTCATAAAAGTTCCAGTGGTCACGGAGGTAAGATAAGGTACGGTAAGTACATAAGTAGTACAGTATGCAATTAGAGGTGGCATGCAGCTACTCTACTCAAAACCAGTGTGAATCTGTCGCCAATCTCACTTCAAGATTTTTCAAATCGACACAAATGCTGTTTTATGGTAAAATTATCGGATTTAAAATGCATATCGCCATATTTTAGGTCTATATTCGAATGGAATGAATAGGTGGTCACGTTACATTTGTTTATAAGGTGATCTTCCCCATTAAAACTGCCAGAATTTGTGTCTATGCGTGTAAACTAGATGTTCTGAATTATTCCGTTTTAGTTGACAGCTCGATTCCCGTACGTAGGACGGGCCACCAGCTCGTAACACTTAAAACATATATTTACGCTTATACTGTTACTCACAAGACGGTAAATATACAAAAAAGATGGTAAGTGGTGATCGATTTTGATTAGACACTCCAATCATCATTCATCATTCATTCGCCTATTGGGTCTGATGATTATTGGAGTGTCCAATCGAAATCGATCACCACTTACCATCTTTTTTGTATATTTACCGTCTTGTGAGTAACAGTATAAGCATAAATATATGTTTTAAGTGTTATAAGACGTATCTTTTATTTACTTTCCGTAAATTTAATAACCCATACAATGCTGATCAAGAAGTTATTTATTGTTTTAAGTTGGCAATACTGGTTTCTAACCGACAGTGAGGTGGTGAACCATAGCAAGTGCACATCACTCCATGATTTCCTAGATTTGTGCTGCCTAGTTGTTCCTCATCTCCATTTTGAATGTCTACAAAGTCACATTACTGTGAACTGTTGTCAGCAAACAGGATTCTCATATTTATTTTACTAGAGGACCGATGTAACTGGCCTTTAAACAACTTTTTGACAAATAGTGGTTCAATGTTTCCATATTTATCAATTTCATTTAAAAAGAGGGTCATGTGGCCCGATGACCAATAATTTCCGACCAAATGGTGGCCTCCCATGTATTGAAGCTACCGAGTTCTGTAGTTTGCTGCCAGGGTAGTAACTAACATAAAGTTTATAGCTTATGTAAAAATTATTCACAAGATCGCCACTAAACCCATACTGTCATGTTATCAGGTGAGAAATTTGGTGTCTCTAATGTACTGAATGATTTAGTAGTTAATAGGTTATGTTTGTTGTAAAACCTTTGAAAACTGTGTGAACATTCACCCTGTCCACAGATGTACACACAGTACATTCCACTGTCAGTTTATGACCTACAGACGTGGATGGGAGCTCCGTCCATCTACGTGTATGACTGCTCCAATGCTGGAGTGATTGTCGATCTATTTCGACAATTAGCTGATCAGCACGAAAAGGAGTACGAGGTTAGTTAAATTTTGTAAGTTTTTTTTTTTAGGTAGAGCCTACTTTTTCATAATCTTAAGCATGGTAAATTTATATTGTTAATTTCCTGTCCATCCACGTCATTGGCGTTGTTTAAAGATTTTTTGTAAGGGATTGGTCTATATTCTATATCCTGGTCTTGTCTCTAAACATTGACAATTTGCTTGATAGTCCAATGTTGAAATTGACCCAACAACCTTTAGATAGGAAGGCGGGACTTATATAACCACTGGGGTACCTAGATAGTTAATAATTAATTGTCTATTTCTATTGTATATACTTTTGGTCAGATAAGGTCAAACTAATTTTTTTTTTTATTTAAGGGCCCCAACCTAAGCGGACAAACTGTATAAACATTGTTTTGTTGAGGTCCAAAAATATTCATATAGCTGCATAAACCTTAGAGAAAAGGTTTTCCTGCAGTTTTTTTAATATAATTAGTTTTCTTCCATTACTTTGAGGCAGCAGTAGACTTTCTGAACTTTAAAGATATTTGGCATTGCTACGTCTCTTAACTATGTCTTTCAAACCTACTTTCGATTGTTCATACATATTTTGAAAGAAGTGCCATTTACCTTAAAGTGAACCATAAATGAGTCGACTCAATTCATCCCTTTCGCTATCATATTGGTATTTTTTTAGCAAGCGAATCCCGGTGCTGGTAATAGAGGTGCAGTCTCGTTCAAAAACTGCATCCAGCTGGCAGCTTGCGGAGCAGATCAGATTCTTCCGATGAATCCTGATCTCCCAGCTGATCTGTTCACTTCTTGCCTCACAACGCCAATCAAGATCGCTCTACGATGGTGAGGGGTTATGTTGAAGTTATAAATGTAAATGTCAAATGTGTAAAAGAAAGAATAACAAGTCTCAATTCTGGTAGTTTTTTTCCTGACTGAGCTGAGAATGTGTTGGCAAGACTGATTTAGTTGAATCAAATAATGTCCGTTTTGTAACTGCCATTTAACTTCTTTCTTAAGCCTTTAGGAGCGAAATATCAGGATTATTTTGTTGTGAATTTTTTTTGTGTGCTTTAAACTGCTTGTAACTCTTTTCTTGGGTAAGTTAGCTGTGTATCCATTCCTTCTTTCTTAATGTATTCAAGTGCTTTACCTCCAAAAAACTATCATTGATAATTTTATAATTTTAGGTTTGTGATGCAGAATCAAAATCGTCTAGAACCAAGAATCACACTGGATTTAATTGATAAGTAAGTTATGTTACATTTTTATTTTAAAATTCTAAAAGTTTTTTACTATCTTCTAAAATATATTTTGACATGCATTTGGGTACTTTTCTGTTGTACCGACCCCACCAGGTTAGATAACAAAACATTTTAAATGACCAAATGTATTTTTAATGAACAAACAAAACAAGCTTTTAAAAGAAGATTATTTATATCTTTGTGGTTTCTTTCTCACACGAACAATAGTTTTCGATTATACGTGTATACAAGTCAAGGGAGAAATTTTATCAAGCAAAAATGAAACGGAAACATTTTTTTTATTTTCATTTTTCAGGATTCCCGGGCAGTTGAGTGACAGAAGAACCATGTTAGGAGAGTTGAACTGGATCTTCACAGCCATAACAGACACGATAGCATGGAACACCTTGCCTCGAGGTATATTATTATTATGATATAGTATATGTATACAATATAACCCATTGTAGTATAACAATCACCTTTGAAAGCTACCAAATTTCGGGCTATTAATTAACAGCTGTAGCAGCTCTAAGGAACATGTGGGCCTTAGAAACTAACTAGACTACAAGCTCACGCCACTCATCCTACACTCATCCTTCACTCATATTTGGGTTAAAATATGCACATAGTGGTGTCCCCATCTTAAATACTTGATAAATTGATAGATCTAATTTTTAATCTGAAAAAAATGTATCATTGTTTGCTTTTTGCTGCTTATACTTACAATCAATCAGAAACTGTACATTCTGATAGATTTGGTACAATGTGATCAGAATAACCATTTAATAAAACATTTTACAGACCAATTCCAAAAGCTGTTCCGTCAAGACTTGCTAGTCGCAAGTTTGTTCCGCAACCTGTTGCTGGCCGAGCGTATTATGAGGAGTTACGACTGTACACCAGTGTCGTGGCCTGTACTGCCTCCCACATATCAGCATCCTATGTGGCAAGCGTGGGACCTAGCCTTGGACCTGTCATTGGCTCAGCTACCTGCGGTAAGTCACTTTTTAGCGAATTTCCCTATAGGGAAGTAGCTATTACCGTAGGTCTCATGGTAAGACTTAGGCCCGGGACCGATTTACTTTTTCATTTTGATGTCCCCAGAGGCCAAAAACAACATTCGTTCAAATTTTTATATATGTATATATATATAGATATATATATATATATAGATTTATATATATATGTGTCCGTGAACACGATAACTTGAGTAATTTTTATCCGATTTTGATGAAATTTGGTTTGAAGGTGTAAGGCGGGATAAACTTGAATGAGTTCGCGATCCAGCATGATCGGACCATGGGAACAGGATTTTATGGGGGGTTTTATGGGGTAAAAATTGGTTTTTCTCACTTTTGACCCTCAAAACACAAAATTTTCCAATTTTTCTCTAAACTTTCTTAAAGAGCTTAAAAAACAAACAACTCAGTATATCAAAGTGTTTTTGTACGGTTATTGGTTACGGAGAAAACTAAAAAAAATTTAAATTTAAAATTTCCATGTTATTCTTATGGAGAATATTGTAAAATGTTGTAGTTTGCTTGTTTATGGATATCTTTTGATCAAACTTGGCAAATATATTCATTTTATACTAAGCAATAATTATTTTACTTAAAACACACACTTTATTAGTTTCCTTGTAGCAGCAAACCTAGGTACTCGTTAAACCAAATGTTATTTAAATAGATCAATTGAAAATCAATTCAGCCAAATGGAAATTCGCTTAGACGGCAGGTTTGCTGCGGCGGGGGTATTTTTGTCCCACCTTCACATCCTAGGACGCTAGGTTCTAGCTCGGAACTGTTATACAAATTACTTCAGGCTAGTCCTCGAGGGTCGTGGCATAGATAAAATCCATAGGTGATTGGCGGGATTTGAACCCAGGACCCGTATTCCAAAGCCCTGAGCTCTACCACTAGACCAGTTCGCTCCCCATTAACACACTAACACCTGTTAACTTACCATAACACACTAGCGTGTCTCATCGGTAATCAATCCCAAAACAAACACCATTGTGAAAGGGTTTCCGACTCAAAGAGACTGAAGAAATTCTCCTTTTAATTTTCCCTACAGTACCGTGTCTAGTAGATATTACCTTTTTCACGTAAGTTAACTTTTAAATGTAAATGAAATGTGATATTTACAAATAAATGTGGTGGTTTTAACCACAAAATTTTTAGGCTAATTACAATATCCATATTTTATTTTAGGACTGATAAATATGTTTTTTATTTTTATGTAATCAGGTTTTGGCGAATGAGGAAAGTTTCACCCATTCACCTTTCTTTGAAGAGCAATTGACAGCCTTCCAAGTTTGGCTTCAGCATGGGTCAGAGCATCGAAGTCCACCTGAACAACTACCTATTGTTTTACAGGTTTGTAAAGTTTTCTCAATATTATCACTCTTGATTCTTATAATGTTTTTGGAAGAAAAAGCACTTGTCTTGCATTTCCTATCTCGGGATCAGCTATATCATAAAACAAATTGTTAAACATTCAAATGATTAAAAACAAATAACAAAATAGCAGTGAATGTTTTCTGGCTAATTAGAAAAAAACATACACAACGAGGTTGGAGAAGAGACTACTCTATCTTCCTTCAAAAATCTGCCTTAACATTTCTGAAGTCACTCTTGTTAGCTTAACTCAACTACGCTAATTATTATTCTAAAACTGGCTACAGTTTGAACATCTAGTTTTATTCATAGTCAAAGCGTCTTTCCATCTGTCAATCTTTTCTTCTTCCGTTGCTTCATTCAATGCATTCTAAGTATCATAATAATTTGAGATGTCTTTCTAACTGCTCTGATGTATGTTTGCAGGTACTGCTCAGTCAGGTCCATCGTCTGAGAGCGCTGGAGTTGCTAGGCAAGTTCCTAGACCTCGGCCCGTGGGCAGTCAACCTCGCATTGTCTGTGGGGATATTCCCTTATGTCCTTAAACTACTGCAAGGTGCTAAGGAACTGAGGCCTCTCTTAGTGTTCATCTGGGCAAAGATATTGGCTGTCGACATCGTGAGTCTTTAATGCTGTTAATTTTGTTGTAGCCTATTTTATAGATTCATAGGATTATAAAGTTTGTTTGAAGTCACAGTAGAAAATAATTAGTATCTTGAGGGATCAGATGAACAGATGTATCAGGGAAGTTGGAGTGTTAGATTCATTTATTTTTTATGTAGTTGGTAGTCTTGATTAAAATTTGAATTTTTTTGTTGACAGACATGTCAAGTGGACCTTGTACGAGATAATGGACACAAGTATTTCTTGTCTATCCTCCAAGACACTTCAGTACGGGTAAAGTATCATATTTTACATTTTCACTTTATTAGTCCATAGAAAAACATTACTTTAAAACATCAAAAGTAATTTTAACCGTAATATTACATCGGAGTCATATTGCTGTTAAGCAGACAAATCTTGGTTCTTAAACCTAACAAAGACCATGAATCGTCAAAGAAAGGAAGATGAGTGATTCAGTTTTTGTTAGCAAGACCATTCTAGCTGGAGAAGTTCAATGGAATATAACAGTTTGTTTTTGTGCCAATGATTGTATTCAGCTAGTATCATGAGTGACAGTGAAGTATACAAGTGTAATGAAGCATATCCACTTAGTTGGCTTAAAAAAAAAAATAGACAAAAGAAACATGTGTCACCCTCCAAATAACTCTTTTAGGACATTGTACATAACCTAATCTAGCGCAATTAGCTCAACCTACCTAACTTATCTAGCCAACTCAACCTATCAACTCAATATAAACAAAACCAACCCATCTAAACTAGCCTAATCAAATCAAATCAAAACCAAAAATTTTTATTCATATCTCTGTAAATACATATTTACATGAATAGTGTCAAACAAGTTAGATATTTAAGATGTACAACAATAATATTATATATGTGCAGCAGCTCACTAAGAGGCGGTTTGGGAGCTCGGTACTAGCGCAAGGTCCGCGACTAAGAACCGGATATTTCCGGTATTTAAGCTGCTGCCTAGAAAGCGGGTTTGTGAGCTCGGGATCAGTTAGGCGTGCGCCTAAATATTGTTTGTTTGGGAGTCTAGTAGACTTAGGCGCCAGTCTAAGAGGTAATCTCGGTGTATTGTATTGTATTGTGCATTTGTACTGTGTGAGATAATACAGTCTACCTACCTAACCCAACCTGTCTAACCTAGCCTACCTAACCCAATCTATCTAATCTAACCTATGTAAACTAACTCATCTAATCTTGAACTAACTATCTAATCTAGTCTTCCTAAACCATCCTACCTAACCCAACCTCCCAAATTCAACTTACCTAACCCATCATCTAACGTTATCTACCTAAACCATCCTATCCTAACCTAGCCTGTCTAATCTAATCCAACCCAACCTAACTAACCCATCCTAACCAAAGCTGATGTTTCAGAGCGATGACCGGGTGATGTCAGTGTTAGTGTTGGCCAGCATTGTACACAAACACCCGGCGGGCCAGGACGTGGCACGTGCCAACAACCTGGTGTCAATCTGTCTGGAACACCTACAGGACTCGGACGCAAGGATGCGCCAGTGGCTTGCACTGTGTCTGGCGCGTCTCTGGGACAACTACGACCAAGCTAGGTGAGCGATACTGCTGTTTGAACACTGTATCTAACAAATTTACTATGGGTCATTTGACTTCAGTTGAGCTAAGTGTCTGTTTTTTCCACACCATTGGCATTTTTTGACATTTCTTTTAAAAGAATAGTTGGTGATTTGGTGGCCCAGTTGATAGCACAGACTTAAAATCATTAAAATATAACGTGGGTTCACATCTTCGTGTCGTCTTCACTGATATTTTTCAGCACAGATCTTGAGACTGTATTGGTTCACCCATTGCTATGTTCGCAAATTTGTTTCTAGAATGAATGATAAAGCATTAATCAAAATCTAGAGGAGTAACTAGTGTAGCCTACATGATTTAAACTCTATGTTCATGTTCCTGAAATAAAAGCCAACTTAAAAACTTTAAAGCAAACTGGTTATAAATTAACAACCAAAAGTATATTGCCTATACTGTGGCAATAAGTTTAAGTTGTAACACTTAAGTATGGAGCCTTTATGCAATTTAAAATTAATAATGATTTATTTAGTTATTGAGGAATGTTCTAATTTTCTAGATGGTGCGGAGTGAGAGATGTGGCCCACGAGAAACTTTATGTTCTTCTCAACGATCCTGTACCGGAGGTAAAAATAATCTCATTTGTATATAATATTAATATTCTACTAGTGAACCTGTGCGGTTCAATGCCCCGCAAAACGGCATATGAATTTAGAAAACGTAATATATATTGACTCGACCTCGTAAATTAAATGCAGTAATAATGAAGCCTTGGAAGGGAAGCAGTTCAGCCATTTTCTAGCTGTATGTGTATTATATTTAGTAAATTAATAAGTGTTCAGGTTCAAGTATGTTATAGGCAGCGAGCAAGGTTATAGCGTAGTTATTTTTTAAAGATTTTTAAAACACATTTAACAAAACATTTTATCATATCAAACCAATAGGCCTATGTAGCATATTTTGAGGGTCATAAAAATGCTGCTTGAAGAAAATACACTTTTAAAAATAAACACTAAAAAAACCATATTTTTATCACAAAATCACTTCCATGAATACTATGATTTTAGCCTTAAAGTTACCTTCAGGAAGATTACCCTGGTCAGAGTTTTCCGTAACGAATATGCGTATCCTATTAAAAGATGTAGCCTTACTTAAAACAACATATAATATAGTTGCTCATGACTCAATTGGTCTGGGTAAGAACAGCGCTGCAAATGCCAAAGGTAACGGAAATTAGCATCTTTCCATTTTGAAAGGTAAGTTTGTTTCAGACGGGTAAATTTTTATCCTCGAAATCAAAATATGTCCCCACTCACTTGTTCCAGTTAAGACTTTACATTCTATTAAGTTGTTAACCATTGATTCTGATCACATGAAGCCTTGTGCCATTAATAAGGCCCTTTTTGATATATTAATATTCCTCATCAATAAAACCACTGCCCCCTTTTATTAGTCTAATCTGTTTCTTTGCAATCCACTGACCTCTATATTTAAAAACTCAGTTGGATTTTCTAGATGGGTGTCTCCGCCTTCGTCTGTTTTTAAGGACCCACTCTTCTTCCCCTTGGTATACTGACAATTAATTACCTGACTTGTCAAGTTCATGTAGTAATTCAATAATACTGTTAGTTTATAAAGAAAATTAGATAAAAGTTACTTGGCTTGGTGCTTTCATAACTGCAAACTCAAAATACACCCACAAGTAAAAAAGAATGGTTAAAAAAACTATGTGTAATAACATTATTCACATGAAGTAGATGATTTGTTTGATTTGTCGATCAGCTGTTTAGTTTCAAATGAATTAATAATGTCAAAGATTTGTGATTTAAATACATAAATTATTATAGTAAAGTTTTCTGAATCATGGTAACTTGTTCTCCACTAAATTTTACTATTCCCAGCATTAAAATAAAGTATTAAGATCCATTATGGGTAAACTTTATAGGGATGGACGAGATTGGATTTTTAGTTTGAGACGAGACGAGACGAGATTTTTTATTTCTCATAAAATTTCGAGACGAGATCGAGACGGGATTTCCCTTCTCATACACAACAGGAAATGCACGTTCAAAATTTTTACCTGATTTTGTAACATTGTTAGATGACTGTTTAAATACAAAAATAATGATAATAGGCAAGAATATTTACAATCTTTTATTAAAAAACATCAGCATAACATTTTTTTATTAATCACGCCTAACTTATTAAAAATGCCTACGATTAGAAAACATAGTGATATCAGTTAGGATAGAGTTCAACTTATCCTAAAATAAAATAAATCATAAAATAAAAGCAATATTAATATTTATAAAATAGTTACTTGTTTTGACTTTGTATAGTACAGTAATAAAACATTCCTCACACTGCTTACACTTAACAAAACTTCTCAAATGTTATTAAAGTAATATTATTAAAATAATTAAAGTAATATTTACATTTAAAGAATTAATTAAATAAGAACGCCTTCGCAAAGGAAACGCAACTACAACACGCTCCTGTATTGCGGGTATTGCATTGACTTTCTGCAGGCGTTTTTAATTTTTTTTTTTTTTTTTATTCTTGTCTCGATAAAAATCTCGGCCAAAAAGAAATCTCGTCTCGTGTAACGAGATTTAAAATTTCCCGAAAATTTCCCGAAATTTCGAGACTTGACCATCCCTTCTTTAAGGTACACAATCCTTGATTGAAATGTAGTAGAAATGAAATGAAATGAAATGAAATGAAATGAAATGAAATAATGAAATGAAATATTACTTTATTATCACAAAACATTTCACAGATCCAGCGTTAGCTGGTGAAACAGGTGATATTGTCAGAGATCTTAAACACTAAGTTACATAACAAAACTAAAATCCACATAGCTTAAACTAAAATATATTTACTTATCATTTAAATAATCAGAAATATTATAATAATTTTTCTGTAAAAGGTATCGTTTGAAATCATTTTTAAATTTTGAAATACTGTTAATTTCTTTAAAATTAGTGGGTAGACTGTTGTAAAGCCTTAATCCCATATAATAAGGAGATCTTTCATATAAACAAAGGCGATGTCTTGGATATTGAAAATTTTTTGAGCGTGTAAGATATGGATGACTGATTTGTTTATCATTGTACATTTGATAATTAATTTTAAAATTCACCATCATTTTAAATATATAAAGTGAAGGCAAAGTTAATATCTCATATTTAGCAAATAAAGCTCTGCATGAGGTTCTTTTAGGCATAAATGATAAAATCCTTATAAATTTCTTCTGAATTTTGAAAACTGCTTTAGAATAAGAAGTTGCTCCCCATAATTCAATCCCGTATTGCAAGACAGAAAAGAACATTGCATAGTACACTGTGAGTTTAGTTTTTAAATCTATTACATTTCTCAAAACATACATTTGAAAGCAAGCCGTATTTAATTTACCAACTACCATTTTTATGTGTGTTTTCCATGTTAAATTCTTATCGATATCTAAACCCAAAAATTTTGCATTTTCAGTAAAGGATATAATATTATTATCATAAGATAATTCAACAGTGGAGTTTTGTCTATTCTGAATTGTTTGAAATAACATCACCTGTGTTTTAGAATTATTAAGTTTTAGCCCGTTGGCTGTAAACCAATTAGATAAATTAAGAATAGAAAGACTGATTTCTTGTTTAAGATTTTGCAAATTATTTGATTTAACTATTGCTGTAGTGTCATCAGCATATAAGATAAGGTTAGACGATACATTTCGAGGTAAGTCATTAATAAATATTAAAAATAGCAAGGGGCCTAGTATTGACCCTTGCGGAACCCCACATTTAGTGTTAAGCCACTGTGAAATACATTTTTTACCATTTTTTACGATTATTGTTCTTTGATGTCTGTTAGTCAAATATGAATGCATCCAAGACAGAGCCATATCAGAAAATTCATAATATTTAAGTTTACTCATTAATATATTGTAATTTACACAAGTAGGTATACATTAAGAGTCATAATACACAGCCATTATTATGTAGTAGACTTTGACCATTTTCAAGTAGCAAACATATGTTTCTGTAAATAAAAATTATCTCCCATGTTATCCTTATGGAGAAATACGAAACTTTAAAGGGCTCCAGGGCCTCAATATCACATTATTTCCCTAAAAAGAAAGTTTCCTGCACAACTTCACGTTACCCTCTTTCCAATGACACCAAAAACATGTCAATCGGTTCAGTAGTTTCGGAGAAGTAATTGTCACAAAAAACCTGCTTGCGTATTAAATAAGTATAGATAAGTTTTTTGTTTTGACGTAACTGTGTATACAAAATACTGCAAGGAGTTTTTTAGGCTGTGCTATGATGGTGCTATTATGATAACAGACAACGCTAAAAATATGAATAAAGAATATGAATAATATGAATATGAATATAACCCAGCGGAAGTCTGTACTTAACACGGTTAGGGTCATCTGTCATCAAAACTAATTAGGAACTGTAAATGTGTTGATTAGGTGTATGTGTGTTGTCTTTAAATGTTAGTTTTTACATATTTTAAATATGAAGCTTTCCATATGAAGAAAGAAAACGTCCTTGATGATTACTGAAAGTACCGCTTGATGATTGCTCGATGTTGAGCTGAAACTAGTTGTTTAGCAATTTAAATGTATTACCATTACCTAATAGCAAGTATTTAAAAGTTTTTTTAAAAGTTCACTTGGCCGTTACAGGAGCCCGTTGAAGATCTTAATTACATACAACTCACGTATTTTATCTTCAGTATGGTGTTCCTAACAATGCTACGTTTTCATGTTAATGACGACAAATTGTTAAAGAATGCCTACTAAATGACTAAAATTATTGTCGTAACTGCATATTATAAATACCTTCTCCTGTACAGGTGAGAGCGGCTGCGGTTTACGCCCTCGGAACATTCATCAGCTCGGTAACCGAACGTAGCGAGCACGCCAACAACATTGACCAGAGTGTGGCTATGATGTTGATCAACACCGTGTCCCATGATATGTGTCCCCTGGTTAGAAAGGTGAGTTGGACAGTGTTTTACTGTAGTCAAGTTTGTACTAGTCTATGTTGTTTTTTAGCGAATTTCCCATAAGGAATACGCTAAATTACTGTAGGTCTAATGGTAAGACCTCAATCATAACCAGAATGTAAATTTACTTTGACAAACATTAGAATAATAACGTGCACTTAAATATTGGCATTGACTATTAGATACTGAAGTAGACATCCCATGGACTAGCTGTTGTCTATTTTTTATAAAAAGTACCTAGTTTGTGTGAGCCAGTCACAGAATGCGATAGTGTCTAAAATTCCATGTTGTACCTTATATTTTGTTGCTGACATAGTTGATGGGTCAAAACAGTTGCTATAGCTCACAATAAGTCGTTTCACAGGTTTGACTTAGTTGAAAAGTTCTTGTATTCAACAGAAATCAGTAATTAAGATCAGTGCAATCTGTTGGCGGCTCATATCTACTATGACGATTATGATAAAAAAACTGGGGATCACTTTTACATGGGGATGGAATGTCTAGTTATATAAATAGTCAAAGATATCGCGTTTTTTTCAACTACATCGTGAAATACATTTTCAGGAGCTGGTGGTTGCATTGCAGTGGATGGTGTTGGTTTTTGAAAACTCCTTTCTCTCAGTCGCTCTGCATGAGTTGAGGAGGGATAGCTCACAAGTAGATAAGGCTACCGGTTAGTACTAAATCTAAACTGGTTAATTACTCTGAACATATTAATAAGTGTTGGGGTTTAGTGTTTAATTACTTTACTTAACTAAGTGTCTTTAAAATAAAATCATTTCAAAAAGTGTTGATAATAGTAATACACTGTTTTTTCCTGAAATCTATGTGGAATCATTGGCTAATACTCGTATACTTTTTGGTTGGTAAATAAAAGAGTCAAAACATTTTTTAATCATACCATTATTGCAGGAAATAATCCAAACATATTAAAATATCAGTTTTATCTTAATTTAAATTTTAAATTGCTATGTGTCCAGTCAAACGTAACCTCTGTCGTTCAATCTCTCCCACTAGTCCCACGATATATTCAGATCTTTGTATTGGGTGGTGGATTTAATGATAATGTTTAATCCTTCAAAATCATCTTTTTGAAAGTTGGACCAAGGATCTTTCAATAACCTTGTTTTCTAAATATTTTTTAACTCCTAGAGTTCATCGTATAGGTTTCCCAACTATAAAGCTGTACTGGGCTAATAATTGTTTTGTAGATTCATATTTTCCAAGAATGTGAAAAAAGCGTTGAATTAGTGCTATTATTCTGTTAGTAACTTCTAGTTCTACCGAATTACTTTGTGTGTACTCCTAGATTTTAATTTTTTTAATTTGAAAAATCACCTATTTTCTGCATCTTAAATTTTTGCTGTTGTCTCCATCAAAGTTCTGCTCATAAGTTCAGGTTCTTTTCATTTTTATTTCCAATAGTGTTCTGTTAATTTATTCCTAGTCCCACACAATCAGTAAATTCAATCAACATTTTTGCTAGATATATCAAGGCTTATACACTTAATGCAAAGGCCAGTATTACCTTTGTCCCAATCTTAATTCCTCTGCCCCTTGCAATACTTCTATGGTAGTTTTAAACAACATACCGGGTATTTTAACTTATTACTAGACACTTTGGTTTGCCACACCAAACTCCACTGTGTTTGACCGATGTGTGTGCTACAACTAGATGTTCTGTCAGACGCTATGTTGTCACCGACGTCCTCGTTGAAGCGCAACGTATCCCGAGAAAGGATCAGGACGATCAGCAACAGTCTGTACGCGAGCGACCACAGCGACTCCAGTGGCCACGGATACTCGGCTCAAGAGCGGCTGAAACGAGTCTCGTCTAGTTCCTCTATCAGCTCTCTAAGTAGGTGGACCAAGCTAAAATAACCTTGATCTAGAAGTTAAATTGTGCTAATATAGGTCAGTTAGTAGATTGTGTGGAAATTATTGTGTAAATTAAATATCTAACTAAAAAAAAATGTTTTTCATTTTCAGAATTTTCCATAAAATTATTTTATTATCAGCTTAAGCATATATCATAGAACGAAACTAGTTAAAGCAATCAGTAAAACAGTAAACAGTAAATTGACAAGCGGTGTTCCTCAAGGTTCTATTTTAGATTTATTACTATTTATTTATTATTCACATTTCTAAGTTGTCTTAAAATATTAACTATAAATTCACACTTTTTGTAGAGGATGTAGTCCAAATTGTGTCTAACTTCAATTACTTAAAGCTTACATATTTTGTTGCAAGCTCCGAAGACGTTGCATTGCAACGAAACATGTAAGCTTTAAGTAAATGAAATTTGACACAATTTGGACTACTGATGGAGGTTAAGTCTAAAAAGTCATAAAATATTGACAATGTCAACTCCCTCTGTGCTGGTCCCTGTGTAAAATCTAGTGTGTCAATAAAGTACTTGACAATCAGGAGGCTAAAATTCAATAAAATTAACATATTTTGCTGTTTATATGAACACTTCCTTTTATTCACCAGGCGGCTGCAGTCTTATGAACAACCTGCCACAGCTATCATTCGGCAGTGTCTACATGAAGATGTGGCAAGCTTTAACAGCATTGGATTCTGACCCCTTCCCAGGGGTATCTCAGTTGTCGAGAACAATCACTGACTACATCCGTGACCAGGTTTGTCTAAAGTTAGGTTTGGTTTGTTATTTGTAAATTCTGTGATTGTGTAGACAGGTGGTTTTGAGTTGGTTTGTGAAGTCCAATGATTCGTTCAGTGTCAATATTACATTTTTGCGCATTGAAGTTAGGATGAATCAAATGAGGTGTAATGAAGAAACTGTGATAGCTCTAGGTTTGGCTGTCATTTCTTGGTAATGTAGCATAATGAAAATGTCATCTTGCCTTGAAACCAATGCATTTTTATTCAAGAATCAAAGCCGTAGACATCTAAATCGCTCATTGGAATCTTCTGGAAATCCAACATCACATTGAAGACATTCTATAATGTCCGAAAAATGTCTGTCATCATACACACATTTTATATTTTTATATTATCACAAGTTATGTTATCTTCAATTTGATGTTGGATTTGAGAGTGGGTCATATAACTCGAAAATAGTCATCCTGTACGTACTATTTTATAGGACTTAGACAGACTAGGTACCTTAAAAACATTGAAATATTTTGATTCACCAGTCTTATTGGCAAGAATGTTTGAATATTTTGCTCAATTTGTCACATTTTTTTGGACCATCTTAAGAGGCGGGCCTCTAAGATATTGTGTGTTGTAAGGTCTGTGCTTGGCCTCCACATGGCCTTCACCATAAGGAGGAGGCTTGGGCTGGATCTACAGGCCATTTACTGAGCGTAAGAATTGTCATTTATGTGTGTCGCCTACTTTTACGTCTCTTACTAATAATTTTTTTGTGATAAACAGCTGTAGATGTTGTTAAGACTTTATTTTGCACAATTTAGTGTTTTTTAGATTATCTGTTTATTTTTATTGGTTTTGAGTTTTTGTTTATGAATCTAGACATATTTATTAATTGACAATTATTGTTGTTGCCCAGAGTAGCCTAATATTTTCAAACTTAACAAATCTCTCAAGTCCTTCAAAAATAATAAAAAAAACATACTTTAAAATGCTAGCTCTAGGCCAGGATCACCAATTGTAAAATAAAGAGAACTAGAGGTTGTCAAATGGTTGAAAACTCAACCAAAAATATGTAGTGTACAGACTTCTCTATTTTCACCCCAAGCAGTAAATAAAATATGTGATTGGAATTTCTTCCATTTGTTTTGATTCTGTTTATATTTTGTTGTCATTTCATCACCCATAAATCCCATGTTAATTTTTTAAAATTTTAAATTGATTTGTTGTTCTTATTTTCGAGCCTATTTGAATTTTTAAAGGGATTCTGCCCACCTACAAGAAAATATCTTTCTGACAGTGTTTGTATATTTTCCCAACGTTGCACACGAGCTGAGAAAAAAGGTTTCAAAGAAACATGCTTTCCTATTAATATATAGATGGAAGTTAGCTTACCTTGCTTGAAGAAATATACACACTTTTTCAAAGAAGCTAGCTGCTATCCCCCCTCTTTATTATACAATTCAAAATATTTTCAAATATAGTAATGGACGATGGAAATTTTGTATCCAAATTTGTATTTATTTCCTTGTTTTAGTAATGAAATAAAACTTTAACACATATAATTCTCGGTAATTTCCTTAGTTTGTGTATGTTCCATATGATTTACATTGGTACCTATTTTTGTCATATGTAGACGATTCATAATTGGAAATAATACTGTATGTATAACCAAGTTAATCCATTGTGTAATATCTGAGGCTTTTAAAAACTGACATTCATTGAGCACCAACTTCCTAATTGGGCTGTAGTTTGAGCGTTCTTAATCCGTTTTTGTTAGATGTTTTATTATTTTATTATTAATGTTGTTATTCTTTTAATTTATTCAGTTTTGTCTCGCAATTTCTGTATAGCACGCTGGACTGTGATTTTTTTTTATGGTGTTTATTTGCTTTATATTTCCTAACAAATGCTAGATTTGTTGTAAAACAATCTTTGTCAGCATTTTAATTTTGACCAAAAAAGAGATTAAACTTTGAGTAAACTACCATCATGTTTCAAACTCAGTCGTAGTGTAGAATTTATTGGAGATCTCAAAAGCACAAACCAGTTGTAGGAAAAAATAGTAATAGATTTGGGAAACTTTTGTACAACAGTTTGATAAACTATCAAAATAAAAATAAAATTTGGGTAGCACGAAACTAATAATCATAATCCACCTGGATTATATAAACCTACAGTAAAGCCTAGTTCTGATTTTGTTTATTTCTAAGTTTGTATGGTTTTAAACGTAACTGTGTATTACTCATACATTATTTTCATATAAAAGAATCATTAATACTGCCGTTAAAGGGAACTAGGGCAAACCCCTCAGTGTTTTTTGTATGTTGAACCCGTTTTTCTCTCATACTGATGTCCGAAATGCTGACCATTAGGCTATCAACACAACCAAACACCGTGATGGGGCAAAAACCTTTATGGGAGTGTAGACAATCATGTATTTAAATTGTTACTATATTGGGATATATATATTTCAACTACATTTTTCAATGTTTTCACTTAATTCTATGTTTTTTTCTAGGTTAAAGACTTGACAAAAGAGTTAACAGAAACAAGACTAAACACTTCAATGTCTCTTCCCCCCTCCCCTTCCAACAGGTCCTATCTGGGGTGAGTATAGTGTTTATATATTGCCATTCTCATTATCATAAACAATTTTTCTATATCCCTCTATTGTTTGATAATAAGTCACATATTTGCATACATACAAGTTTAAGACTTAGTTTACACGGATACAATCTTTCTTTGAACATACAACTATGATTAAAATTGTAATTATTTCATTAGGTTAAAATTAACTAAGATGCAGAGACAAGCATGCATAGAGAAAACGAGTGAAGGATGAACATAGAATAATTCAGATGATGGTTTTGTGACTAAATAAGATAAGTCAAAACCAATTGGGAGCCCAATGATCAAGAAACCCAGGTCTAGTTTTTTTTTAAATCCAATATCGGAAGCCCAATGAAGAACAACCAGATCAAGTTTTGTTAACCATTATCAGAAGCCTAATGATCAAGGACAACCATGTCCAGTAAAAAAAAAAAACATTTTTAGAAGCCCAATGATCAAGGACAACCAGATCAAGTTGTTTAACCAATATCAAAGGAAGTCCAATAATCAAAGATAAGGTCCAGTTTTTTATCAATATCAGAAGCCCAATGACCAAGAACTAAGAACAACCAGTTCCAGTTTCTTAACCGTTATCGGAAGCCCAATAATCAAGGAAGACCAGGTCTAGTAGTTTTAATTTTCTCAGGATTTAAATGACTTGTTGATTCCTTAGTGAACACTATATCCACTTTGTTACTTGTACATTTGAATTTCACTTGGCAGTTTGGTTATGATATTTTTTTATTTTTCCAGGGAGTCCCCTCCTCCCAATCAACTGGGTTCAGCCAATGATCTCAATCGCCTTACGGGTGGACACCGACATCTTCCTAGAGCTCGGAAAAACATGCCAAACACTGTAAGTAACAATACTAAAACAAAAAAAAGGATATTTTAGAGTTTCCAGGTGTCCTGGAAAACCAGGAATTTTTAAAGTAGTTTAGAGAAGTCGACAAATGTGACCCTCAGTCCTGGAATTCTTCTTTTTTGTCATGGAGTTGTATTACTATCATAATCATGTTTATTGGCACATAACGTACAGAGTTTACATGTAAATGTACAGGTACTTCGTCATCTTCTTATAACATCTTATTCCATAAGTTTTGATACAAAATATTTGCACACAACTTTTTTTGAAACTTAAGGTACTTCATTTCATGTCGCCTTTTTACATCTTCTATATAGGATGACGTAGGCGATGATTTAACCACACTCATTACTAGTGGAAGAAGTCAGAAAGCAGCAAAGGAAGGATCCGAGCTCTTATTTGCGGCTGCTAGCGAGTGGTTTGGTAAAACATGTTGAAACATTTCCAAGTTAAGACACAGGAGCTCATCTATTATCTGACGCTATTGCTTGAACAAGTGTCAAAAAATGTGTCACTGATTAGTGCTTGGTTTTACTCTTGATCCCAATTTAAGCTGGGTAGGGTAATTTAATTGGTAACATCTTCAAGAGGATCATCCTCCTGATCCGAAAACTCACCAAACATGTGCCCAAATCCTAACTGCTAGTGCTATACAACCACCATGCCTTGTTTCATAGCTAATTTCATAAGGTTTTAGCTATGGGGCCATGCACGATTGCACATAAATACTTCAAAGTCCTAAGACAATAAAAGATGCCATTGTGAATCGTCTCTCGTCTCTGGTGTTAGACAAACCTCATAGTACTCACAAAAAAATGAAACTATTGATTCTTTCCCTATCTTTACATTAGATTCATATTCTTCAGATTTTGTTATCAGAATGTTTTGAATATGGTTTTATTTCTTATAAGCACATATCTGCTTCCGTTCTGGTTCTTTATAGTTCCACGCATCTTACTCGACTTAATCTCCATCTTTTCTATTTTTCAACAGTGAATTGTCTTCATTATGTGCCATCATTCCTCTCCTCTCCACATCTCATCCATGATCTTTGCCTAGGTCTTCTTTCCTCCATCACCATCACTCCATTTCTACATCATCTAAATCTTGCTCAAAGTAGAATTCCAATTAGTCATGTAAAATTACAGCTATTTACAAACAATAGGAACAGTTACAACCTAAACCTTGTAAATGTTTCAGATAATTAATTTGTCTTGTAAAATTACAGTTTTACAAACAATATTATCCAACAGTTACGAACTAAGCATTATCAATGTTCCAGATCACAGAAGACTGTAGTGAGGAGAATACAGGTAGTTTACGACCTCTGGTTACGACTCAGTTCACGGAATGGTGTTGTAAATACTTTGCCCAGCCAACGATGGCCAATGGCATCGACCAAGAAGACTTTGAAAGCCCCAGGTTTTACCAACGGGAATACAGGTATTTTATCTTCTATGATTGTGTAGCTTTTAAAGATTCTGTTTCAAATTCAAAACACAATAATTTTGATAGAGCCAGTTTTGTTTTGTGAGGTATTTAGATTGTGATTGTGATTTTTTTTTATTTTGGGCTGTTCATTGTACTACTTCAGTAAAAAAATTCCTGGAATGAATTTCTGTAGAAATTTAGCACAATCGCCAGTTGGAAATTTGACTTGCAGTAGGCCTAGTTGGTACGACTCCTGGGAAGGGCATATCAGTAGTGGGGGTATAGCTGACGAGCCGTAGTTCAGTATTGAAATGCGCTTTTTCTGTACCTGCAAATCTACATTGTCGGTTCCTGTTGGTCATGTACCTGCATTGAAAAATGGCATTTCACGAACAGCGTGCAAACATTAAGTTCTGTGTTTTACTAAAAAAAAAACCATCTAGTGATTCTCTTGAGTTGTTAATTCAAGCCTATGGAGAAGGAGGCGAAGAAGAAAAGTCAAGTTTAGGAGTGGCACAAACGGTTTCGTAAAGGCCGTGAAAGCATTGACGATGACCCTCTTAGTGGACGTCCTTCAACAGCAGTCAATGACATAAACATTGAGCAAGTATGACAAGTTGGGTGTGAAAATCGCAAATTAACAATTGATAAAATTGTACTTGCTCAATATTTACTAGTGATGGTCAAAACCAGAAATTTCAAATCTCAAAACCGAAACCGAAACTTTTAAAAATCGAATCTCGAATCTCAAAACCTTAACGCGAAACTTTTTTACTTAGCTGGTTACATAGGTCAAGGTGACAAAAAATGTAGGTAATAATAAAATGTTAAGTATGCAATCAAAACTGAAAGAGATCTACACCTGACACTGACATAACATAAATATTTGTCTGATAATCTTAAACTTGAATAGAACATTTTTTTTTATAAACAACCAACATTAAAATAAATTAAACCCCTAACAACAACATTAACATTTATTAGATTAATTAGAACATTTTAGTAGTCAATAATTCCCTGTATTATGAAAATTGATATGAAACTGAATTGTACGTCGTTCGAGTTATAGTATTTATTGAAGATGCCTTTTGAAGTTCAGAATATAATTTACTTGTTTCATTACTGTTGATGGTGATATGTTTGCTCTATTGCTACGAGCTTGTGTGGAAACAGTGTTATTAACAATAATAATGACACAAAAAATGTCAGCAGTTTAAAAAATAAAACTGCCAAAATCTTCAATTTCGAAACTTTTGAATCTCGAAACACAGTGATTGAATTTTGAAACCGAAACTTTTCCAAAGTTTTGATGGTTTTGAGATTTAGTTTTGACACATCACTAATATTTACATCATTGACTGCTGTTGAAGGAATATTATCATTAGCTGAATATATCATTCAGCTGTACCCACAGTACCAAAATGCTCTCCCCAGGAGTCGTACCAACTACTGCAAGGCGAATTTCCCGCTGGCAATCGCGCTAAATGTCTACAGAAATTCATTCCGAGAACTTGTTTACTGTTATATGTATTATATTTTTGTTTTAGGTTGAAAATCAGCTGAATTTCATTTTAAGCGAATATTTGTTCAGTGTATTAACTTACACACGTATGTTTAAACATTTCCATTATCTACAGCTCAGTGGCTAAATAATGCAGTTTAATTCCCAATATTCTTTTGAAGTACCCAAAATATTAAGGATACGCTCATTTGACTTTCTGCTGTAGTTAAAGACTAAAATATAGAACACCGACCAATAATAAGAAATTTTTTTCAAGATTGTTGTGATATGGGATTGTTTGAGTTAGTTTTTTATTATATCTTTTCAGGTACCTAGAAAACACAAAACTGAGAAACACTGCGCGTGTAGAGTGTATCAGGCTAAATCGAGGAAGAATCGACCATCAGGTAAAACATCAAGGGTTGCAAACAAGGGCTGTAAAAAAATATGTATTTTGGGCTTTGTACTTTTTAAATATAATAGTTGGATACTGAATGGGAAAATACAGTGTTTACATTTTATAATTTGATAAAAGCTTATGGTGAATGGTTTTTTTATTTTTTCTCGCTATAAGTGTACTATTTTCCCTTTCTTTAAATTTAATAGGTTGTAAGGGAAAGGTGCTTTTTAAAGTAATTTTAAGAAATAAATCTGTATATAGCAGAAGATAACAGCAATTAAATAAAAAACAACAGACCAATTTGATGATTTAATTTGATTTTGATGGTCTTAGCTATTGCTGAAGATCTCTTTGAACTAAATAGCCATTCAATTCCAACTTTTCATTCAATGATAGAATAGTATATCGATTCAGCCTCGTCCTATTTAATTAGTTTATTCTACATTATTTTTAGATAGAGAAAGGGCAAGATGCAGAGTTAACATCAGAGTTTAAATTCACAATGTTTGCAGGTGTTCAGTGTGAGGACGCAACACGCAGCTACTGTCCTTCACTTCCATCCGTACCTCACCCATGTAGCGGCTGCCGGCAAAGATACTATCAGGTAGTGAGATAAAGAAAATACAATAGCCATGTGAATAAAGCCTGGTCGAGCTGGGTTTTTTTTATACAGTCCAACCTCAGTATAACGAATCTGAAGGGACCGAACTGAATATTCGTTATATCAAGGATTTCGTTAAAACGAGGTTCGTTGTATAGAGGTTAGGTTTGCAGGAATTTCCGCTAAGTCGAGGTTCAGAACCAGCGTCGGTCAATATAGGTCGGGATTTGACCTCATTAAAATACAGTACAATTAAAGTAGCATAGGCTACAATACTTTACAGTACAGTGTTTACATTGTACAGTAGAACCTAAATTATCTGGCATAATAAAGGGGAGGGATCTTGAATATTGCGCAATCATGACAATGGCATTGACCTTGGTACAGGTTAAAAATTGTCAGTTTAAAATCACAGCTTGTTCTAACCCTCCTAAAACCTAGCCAAACACTATATTGTGTAGTCATAAACCATGTAAAGAACAAAACAAACAGTAGAAAGCTTTGTAAGCTACTGCTCGCGATAGGCCGGTAGGCTACTTACAGTACGGTACTGATTTATCACAACAGAGGAATGTCAATAATAATCAGCATTGGTGTTGCTAGTTGAAACAAATCGTATTGAAAACAATAAATTATTAGATAAGTCATTATAAAATTGTATAATCATAGCCAACTTTAGGATAATAAAAAAACTCGTAAAAGAAATGTTAAAATAACGATGTTGCTATTCTTTCTCTTTGGTTTTGTTTTTATATTCTTTCTTAGGTTTCTCTTTATCCAAAAATTGTACAATTCACCATAGTGATCCCATATCGCCCAATCACAGCTTACTAAACATTACGTTGTCATCAGTCTTCAGAGAATGAAATCAGTTCTCAGTTGCAGCATAGCGCGCGCAGCGACAGCAGACAAAGATGTAAAATGGAGTAGAGACGAATGTTAGCGCAAGCGATGACGTGACCTTTCCATTTCATTTGATAAAGAAACAGATTTTCCAAAAACAATACTGGGGTGGGGGATTTGTTATATCGAGGGAAAGACGTAGACAATTTGTTATGCAGAGGTTAAATTCGCAATGTAGAGGTTCTGACAATGATAAATTCGTTATATTGAGGTGTCTTATTTTAGCCGAAATCACGAAAAATTTGTTAAATCAAGGTGGTTGTTATGGTTTGTTCGTTATGTAGAGGTAAAATATACATTGTGTCTTATGGAGAGTTCTAGGGGATTAAAAAAAATTCGTTATATCAAGGAATTCGTTATATCGAGGTTCGTTATATCAAGGTTAGACTGTATGATGAATTTGATCGCATGCCATCAAAATGGATTATATTTGTCACAAATCTTTTAAAATTCAATTTAATGTTTTCATGTATTAAATACACAAGCAGTATGAAATTTAGTACAGTCCAACCTCAGTATAACGAATCTGAAGGGACCAAACTGAATATTCGTTATATCAAGGATTTCGTTAAAACGAGGTTCGTTATATAGAGGTTAGGTTTGCAGGAATTTCGCTAAGTCGAGGTTCAGAACCAGCGTCGGTCAATATAGGTCGGGATTTGACCTCATTAAAATACAATTAAAGTAGCATAGGCTACAATACTTTACAGTACAGTGTTTACACTGTACAGTAGAACCTAAATTATCCGGCATAATAAAGGGGAGGGATCTTGAATATTGCGCAATAATGACAATGACATTGACCTTGGTACAGGTTAAAAGCTGTAAGTTTAAAATCACAGCTTGTTCTAACCCTCCTAAAACCTAGCCAAACACTGTATTGCGTAGTCATAAACCATGTAAAGATCAAAACAAAACGGTAGAAAGTTTTGTAAGCAGTACTACAGGCTACTTACAGTACAGTACTGATTTATCACAACAGAGGAATGTCAATAATAATCATTAACTATAGCATTGATGTTGCTAGTTGAAACAAATCGTATTGAAAACAATAAATTATTAGATAAGTCATTATAAAAGTGTATAATCATAGCCAACTTAAGGATAATAAAAACACTCGTAAAAGGAATGTTAAAATAACGATGTTGCTATTCTTTCTCTTTGGTTTTGTTTTTATATTCTTTCTTAGGTTTCTCTTTATCCAAAAATTGTACAATTCACCATAGTGATCCCATATCGCCCAATCACAGCTTACTAAACATTACGTTGTCATCAGTCTTCAGAGAATGAAATCAGTTCTCAGTTGCAGCATAGCGCGCGCAGCGACAGCAGACAAAGATGTAAAACGGAGTAGAGACGAATGTTAGCGCAAGCGATGACGTGACCTTTCCATTTCATTTGATAAAGAAACAGATTTTCCAAAAACAATACTGGGGTGGGGGATTTGTTATATCGAGGGAAAGATGTAGACAATTTGCTATGCAGAGGTTAAATTCGCAATGTAGAGGTTCTGACAATGATAAATTCGTTATATTGAGGTGTCTTATTTTAGCCGAAATCACGAAAAATTCGTTAAATTAAGGTCGTTGTTATGGTTCGTTCGTTATGTAGAGGTAAAATATACATTGTGTCTTATGGAGGGTTCTAGGGGAATAAAAAAAATTCGTTATATCAAGGAATTCGTTATATCGAGGTTCGTTATATCAAGGTTAGACTGTAATCACAAATTTGGTGCAATGTGCCTCCATCCCAATGTCACAATGACAATGTGTTCGTAGTAATACGCAGAAACTTATCAATTTCGCGCCCCTGTGAATGTCATCACTGTCTCCTGCAATCACAGAAAAATTCTGTTTAACCCTGCAGAAATATCATAGTCCACCGCAGCATAAACCTGAATATTTCCTGCAGTAACAGAAACATTATCATCGTCTCCTGCAACCACGGCTAAATTGTGAACATATGCCAGACATGATCTTTGCCTCCCGTGATCACAGGAACCTTATTGCAATCCTCGAAAATTGCAGTCAAAACGTGAATTTTTCAACTGTGCCATCTTTGAAGACAAGTAAAAGCTCAGTTTGATCACCTTTTTCTGACTTAACTTTTGATCTCTCGAGCTTGTAGGATGGGCTCGGCAAGGCTTGTTAAAATCAGCTGATTTGGCAAAACTTGAACCGGAACTTGAGTCTTGGTATTATAACCATTTCCAATATTTATTGGCAACTTCTAGACCATAACAAATCATTAATCATTTCAGCTTTTGATGTACTTGATGTTTACGTCACCCTATTTCAGTGTGTGGGACTACCAGGCCAACACCAAATTGTGCTACTGGAAGATAGGCTCTGCCAATGTCAAGATCACTTCTGTTAACTTTGTGAATGCTCACGACACTTGCTGCCTCCTAGTCACTGGTTCTGAAGATGGCACTGTGCGGGTGTGGAACAATTACAACGGCACTGGTGAGTTGTCTACATTTGTGGACATTTCTCTTAAAATCGACTTTCTGAAGAAGCTCTACATTAGGAGGAAATATCAGTGTTATGTCTTGTGTTCTTTATTGTGTACCTGACTGTTAAACCCCGGACTCTGATTTTCTCAAGTAAGCTAGCTGAACTCTTATGTCTTCTCTCTTCACAAACAAATTTTGAAGAGGGGTAGATTTCAACTAGCTTTCCTGAGAAAATTAGAGTCCATGGGCTAATAGATGATATAAAAGACAAGAAAAAAAACTTAACACCAATATTTTGTTCTTATACAGAACTTCTTCAGAGTAGATTTAAAAGAAATGTGAATTAAAACTGGAGTAGTCTCATCGCATAAAAACAGGTTATTTTGAAATTATTCTCTGTTGAGGGCTAGCCTACTAGAATATTACACACTTCAGAGATCCTAACCTCATTTGTCAATAACAACCTCAACCGTATAGTGTTTTTTTTTTAAGTATGTCACAGAATATATAATAACGTAGTGGAGCATAGATTGAATTGTAGCAGTTACTGACCCAGACCGACTGTTTCTTTAGCAAGATTAATTCTTTTAAAGCCAGATGATCAACAGCTAAGTCTCCATTTAAACAATCAAATATTTTAATTTTTAATAATTTTAATAGTAAGAGTAGGTGGTACCTAATCTTCCAAAGTAAAGAATAGTGTTTAACTATTTTTTCTGTCTGATACTGTTGTTTGGTTACCTTAATGTTGGCCACTATTTTTACAGTTCAATATTGTGATTTAATTTTGTTATGTTAGCAGCAGGTACCAGGGAGCCACAGTTAGTTACTGCTTGGCAAGCACTGCCTGAGAGTCAGAGCCCCTCAAGATCTACACATTCCTCAGGTTCGTAGAGTTCAACTTGAACTTTCTGAATATCCGTAACTTTTGGCCCTTCCGTCATGGTCGGATATGAGGGATTCTACTGTAATTGAAAAACATTCTATAGTTTAAAAGATACTACTCAAGCTATTTAAGTTAATGGGAGTTTTTTATCAATCATGTTTTAAGTTTCACCAGGTATAATAAATTAATTTTATGAGTACAGAGTGATTGGTAAAGATTCAATCAGTTAAATTTAGCAAAGTGATGTGCACCACTTTCAAAGTCGGTACTAATACTGGTTCTAGGCAAAAAAAAAAACTTTTCTCGATACTTTGGTATCAATACCATAGATTCCTAATTTTAAAAAGTTCTCATTTATTAAAAGTAAGATGCAAACATTGAAATTTTTTATGTCTTACTCTTGTTGATTATACATGTTGGTTACATGCAAATAAATAACTTCTTGATTAGCATCGTACGTGTTATTAATTACCTGAAAAATACAGAAATATATTACGTCTAATAACACTTGCAATAATATATTTACACTTATACTGTTGACTTACAAGACGTTTTGCAATAAACTGAATACCTACATGCTTATGCGGAGTGTCTTATATTGTTACTGTAGTAGGCAGTGGAGGCAGTGGGATGGTGATGACGTGGGACCAGGCGTTACAACAACTCATAGTGGCTGACTGGAGGGTCATCAGAGTGTGGGACGCTGACAAGGAACTCAAGGTGTGTGACTTGGCCAGCGGCAGTGACTCTCCCATCACGTGTCTCGACTACGACCACTCTGGTGAGTCAGGGTTGGTTCAGGCCTGAAATAGTTATCGGACCAAATTTCATGTAGGGTTAGCCAAGCTTTTGTTTTCTCGATCGCTAAAAGACCTTTGCAAAGATTTGGATTGAAAGTTGACTATTCCTTGTCCCGTGTTTTGATACAGGTTTTCCTACTATAGTGGGAGTTGATGATGATTTGATCACAGAAGAGGTTCACGATTTTGCTGAGATTACCAAAGACTTTGATTAGATGTTTTGATTTTTCTCTGACCACGGAAGACGTTAATGATTTTACTGTGACTCTGATTTGTCTGAGACTGCAAACGATGTTACAGAACATTTTCATTATTTTACAGTGCTATAGACGTTTACAATATTATCTACAAAGGATTGTAGTGTTATTATTATTTAAAAAAATCAATACTTTCCAAAGCAACCCCATATTGATCCGAGACTAAAGGACCAAAATTGTTGACCCAACTCAAAGTAGAAATGTCTGCCCCCAGCCCCTATTTAGAGTCATGATGTATGGCCAATTAGGAGAGGTTTATAAATATAATTGGTAGTGATGGACGGGATTGAATTTTTAGTTCGGGACGGGACAGGACGGGATTTTTATTTCCTTCTCGATTTTCGGGACGGAACAGGACGGGATTTTTTTCTGTGCATAAAAAGAAAGTCTTGAGTATTGCAGTTACCAAAAAAGACATACGAAATCAATTTTTACCGTTTGTGGCACTGATCTATAAAAAAACCAAAAAGTGGGTAACAATTTACAGGTACCTATAGAAACTTGTGACTCGCGGTCGAAATAACTGGCGGTTACTGTACGACCATCAAAATGACCGCGGTCACGGGGTGATCGTCGTTATGACTCACGGTCACGGGAGGATCGTCGGTATGACTCGCGGTCACGGCACGATTGTCGGCATGACCCCACGGTCACGGCGCGATCGTCGGTAGTACTCTGCGGTCACGTCATGATCGTCGGTATGACTCCGCGGTCACGGGGTGATCGTCGGTATGACTCGCGGTCACGGCATGATCGTCGGTATGACTCGCGATCATGGCACGATCGTCAGCTTGACTCCGCACGATAGTCGGTAGGACACCACGGTCACGTCGTGATCGTCGGTATGACTCCGCGGTCACGGGGTGATCGTCGGTATGACTCGCGGTCACGGCATGATTGTCAGGATGACTCGCGATCACGGCACGATCGTCAGCATGACTCCGCGGTCACAGCGCGATCGTCGGCATGACTCCGCGGTCACGGCGCGATCGTCGGTAGGACTCCACGGTCACGTTGTGATCGTTGGTATGACTCGCCATCACGGCATGATCGTCGGTATGACTCGCCATCACGGCATGATCGTCAGTATGACTCCGCAATCACGGCACGATCGTCAGTAGGACCCGCAGTCACGGCGCGATCGTCGGTATGACTCGTAGTCACGGCGCGATCGTTGTTATGACTCGTGGTCACAGCACGATCGTTGTTATGACTCCGTGGTCACGGCGCAATCGTTGAAATGACTTCGTCTCCAGCGTTCGCGGACCTATCGCTCGCAATAGCGGCGTCATCGGCACTGACTCGCGAAGCGCCAAAATCGCCGACGATCGGACCAAATCCCGTCCCGAAAAATTCCCGAATCAAATGTAATCCCGTCCCGATAATCGGGAATATTTTTTTCCCGAAAAATTTCGGAAATTACGGGACTCGTCCATCCCTAATAATTGGTTGTAAATGGGTTCCAGCTAAAAGAAAAGTGTTTAAAGAAAACAAACAAAAAAGCTGTACACAAAATCCATTAGTCTGTAGGGGGCTGCAAAATTTACAGTTTACGTAGTAAGATTTTATCCATACATATAGACACAGGCTTAAGTCATTGGCGATCCTTATGATCTTCGTACTACTATGAAACTTGATTTCTTACAGTCTATTTGCGTTTGACTCACCATCTGCCAGCTTGCGCCTATTATAACTTGTAACCAAATCGATCAGAAATACTAAAACCAATCCATGATCTACTTAAAGAGAAAAATGAATGGTTTTGGGGAGAACAACAACAGCATGCGTTTGAAAGTATAAAAAAACTTCTGACCTCAGCACCCCAACTAGCATTTTACGACCCTCGCTTACCAACTCTTGTGTCAGCAGACGCTTCTTCTTATGGTCTCGGCGGATTGCTTCTTCAGAAACATCATGATAATAAACTAAAATGACAATAGTCAGTAGAGCCAACCATTACATAACTATAAGTAATATAATCTGGCCAACTTTTAAAAATGTTTTGTTTGTGTGTCTTTGTATAAGTGTTTGTGGACCGTCTTCTCACAACCCAGGGATGAAGTGATCTTATAAATCTGATATTCTGTTTGAAAAAGTACATTTTGTTTTGAAACCTTGGTCACAGGTTTGTTAGCACCTTCCAAGGACCACCAATGTTTTGAACTATTGGTGTTTGCAGGTGGTTCACTGTTGGCTGCAGGATACTCTGACGGAGCTGTGCGTCTGTTTGACAGACGTCTGTCTGCGAATGAGGCCAAAGTGATGACTTACAGAGAACACACGCAGAATATCACCTGTGTTAACCTGCGCGGAGATGGCGGCTGTACTTTGCTCACTGGAAGGTAAAGCAAAAACTAATATGTTCGGCTCCATGTTTAGGCGTTTCAATCCGCTCACTCACGTCTATTCATAATTTAAAGGAGAGCTAAGTTGCTGATTGACGAATGTTTAAAACTAGCTTGTCCAGGGGGTAAGATATATACAAAAAACTTAACACTAAATTTTTTTTCGATGTGAAGCACTTCTTCAGGGGGAGTATATAGACGACATAATAAGGATTTTTTTGAAAAAGGACAAGAGTTCAGCTAGCTTACCTTAGAAAATAAGATTCCACGGGTTAAAAGATACTCAATAAAAGAACACAAACGAAACATTGATATTTTGTCCTGACTTAGGATTTCAGAGAGGGTTAAAGAGCAATTTGTTTTCCTCTTCAACCTAATCTCTAAAGAAGTCCTACATCAAGAGAAAATATCAGTCTTTTGTGTTATTTTATTTAGGGGTGGGCGAGTAGTGATTTTTCAATTCGAGTCGAGTCGAGTATTTGAGTAAAAACTCGAGTATCGAGTCGAGTCGAGTAGTTGCGCGTTAAGTAGGCCAAGGCCCAGGGTTTATGCTGCGGTAGTATTTTTAGCATCTTGCTATTCACAACTTAAAAATGCTAAGTTTACATTGTTTTGCAGGCTAGGCCTATGGCAAATTTTCTACAAATAAAATTGAAAGACGTAATGTTCAAACAAATGTAATATTAGCCTACTGGAATTTTTTGTTTTAAATGCTTAAGTTATTGAATAATATTTTTTCTACAGTTAGGCCTAACTTAGTTAATTGTCTTTGCAGAGAGTTTGCAGCATTTTGCTGAAACAAATTTCATCCTAGCCTAAACCCTGCCTAGGCCTAAATAGGTAGTTCAAGTACTTATACCAAATTTTCTAAGTTATATGGTTACTAATTATTAGTACCTCCTACCTTAGGCCTAATAAAAAATTTGGCCTAGACTACTTGATGGCTGCAGCATTAAATTATTTAGGCCTACACATCACTTGTTATTGTGTGTTTTATTTTTTCTTGCCTTTAATTCCTCCTCACTAACATGATAATCAACCTAACTAACTAACTTAATAAGGTACCTAACTTTAAGAATAATTTCAATTCAAATAAGAAACAAATTTATTTATTTAACAGAAAACTTATATCAAACTACATATTGTATCACAAGTTAAAAACATCAATGAGGTATTTTAAAATAGGTAATCACTTGGATAAGCACTTCATCTGTCTGAAGTTTGAAGGTTATGGGTACTAGGGCTATCCTCTTCACTCAGTACATTTATAAAAATGATCAAATGCCTCGTCTTTGACAAACTGAAAATATCAAATAAAAACATAGTAGGCCTATTATCTCGAAATAAAATCCCACATTAAACACTTAATTTAAAATTAAAACACATTTCACTGTAGCCTGGTATAGCCTATCTGGCCTTTCTTTATAAACTTACATTTTCAAGGTTAAGTTACAATTCAAACTGTAGTTGTCATGTTTCTGCCACCAGATTGAAAATTGCACAATTAAAATCACAAACAGAATATGTTTATTTTACTTTCTATTAAACTTCCACTAACAAAATCAATTTTATTTTAAGTTACAAATTCACTTCAAAGTAAAAACATTCAAAACTGACGTTGACATAACTTCAATCCATTGTTTTGTTTTGTTCTTGTTGTTGCTATGCGTCACCATCTTTATCTCTCTCTCTCTCTCTCTAGTCGGTCTGCTCCTGCTGTCTGCTTCTGCTTTGTTTTCCCATCAAACAGCTGTTTTGCAGGGCTGACGTTGCCATATTTATCATTACACCATTATGGTGAATGTCGGCAAGATTATCATAAAATTGTTATAGCTTTTATTTCGTAAAAAAAGTTAATAGTTTGACTAATTTAAATCATGTTTATGTAAACTGATTAGAAAATTATACTTATAGTTTTTTTACGCCAATACCACAGTTGTAAAAGTACAAAAATTATCGTCCATCTGGCAACACTGAGTTTAAAGTGGAACTGATCTTTTCTTTCTGCCATTTGCCTAGACCCAATGAGATTGCGTCATTCAGATGCATCGATGTTCCTTGCAGTAACTTATCGGTTTGTAAAACTAAACACCAATACCGATTAATTTGAAAAAATATTATGCTACAGTAGGTTATTTTTATTTGTTGTACTAGCTGTGTACCCGTTCTACGCACGGGGATCTTATAATATTCAGTTGAAACCTTCTTATATAAAGAACAGCAGTTGGTTTGCATATTTTAAGATATGCTGGCCAAACTATTATACATAGCTTCATTTTATGTTGTTTTTTGTTGTTCCGGATCGGTATGACAATCAATAAAAGGTTAAATTACCTCTGTGTCTGCCGGTCGATCCTATAACGGTAGGCTTACTTTTATTTTTACTATCTGATCTCGTTTGCATGGCTCAATCACGTCCTGGTTGAAGTTCGTTCGCTACGCTCACTCACCTGTATGTTGGAGCTCGTTCGCTGCGCTCACTTTCCTTCAGGTTAGCTCGTTCGCTACGCTCACTTGCCTTCAGGTTAGCTCGTTCGCTACGCTCACTCGCCTCCAGGTTGCAAATTAGCTGTTGTCATAAATGTAAAAGAAATAATAGTGCTAGTGCTGCACCCTGTTGGTAATCCTTGTAACTTTAATGCTAATGAACATCACAGAACAGCACCAACTTGTTTAATTGACACAGCTGTTAAGATTCAATAATTTCATTTCTCATAAGGTTAACATGGGCTTCCAGAAATTCCACGTCAAAAATCGACAAAAACTTGATTTTCAAGGGTTTACTGTTAAATATCTAACTGTCTCATATTCGATGAAATACGTCTAAAACCATCTCATATATGTATAGTATTTGGAAAATAAGTTTCAGGCGGGACAGTGCTATAGTTATTGAGGAGTAGTTGTAATAAAGTGCGTATTTTAGCGTTACCAAGAGACTGACAGATAGACAGACAGACAGACAGACAGACAGACAGACAGAAATTGAGATAAGGTTTGATTCGGTTTCTCTGACCTATGAAATGTAAAAATAACCAAAAAGTTCATTATTCTAAGCAATGTACAGACAAAACTCTAATTTTATTTATATAGATTTCTATATTTTGGTAAAAAATATGTTGTTATTTCTATATTTTGGTATAAAACATTTTTATGGCAGTTCAAACTAAATCTGATACTGTACTTTATAATATCTTCAAGAATCGTCTGCCATTGTTAGGCCTACTATAGTTCGGCCGGTTAGAAAACGACCTGCGCGCTAATGCTAAACCAATGCTGGAGGAGGTCGTTTTCTAAGCGGCCGACCTATAGTCACGAGACTCCCTTGTTGACTATCGACTATTGCAATTCGATAGATTCATTCAATGCTTTATTTCAACTTACTGTATCGTTATTGAGACGTATTGTTGACTGTTGTAGGAAAGTGAAAGTCTGTTGTTAGTAGTAGTAGTCCTCTTGCTAGCTCTGCCGAATGACGATGGGTGTTTGTTGAACATTTGGTTTACGCTGGTCTAACCTATATGAGGTTAGATAGTTGTTTTATGTAGGAATGGGGATTAAATAAGGCATCAACACAAAACAAAATATAATTTATTAAATATTGATGTAGAAAATCGTGAATTGGCACTATTTATAACTACTCGACTCGAAATTTTCGAGTAGTAATTACTACTCGACTCGAGGTCGAGTATTTGAGAAAACTCGAGTAATTACTCGAAGGTCGAGTACTTGCCCACCCCTAATTTTATTGAATATCTTTTAGCCTCTGGACTCTAATTTTCTCAGATAAGCTTGGTGAAACTCTATTCTCCTGTAAAAAATCCTTACTAGTTACTTGCTAATTTGTTTCTTTGAAATGATAACATAAAACTTTATCCATAAGCCCATTGACTCAAAACGCCAACTTTATCCGATAAAAAGCTAAATAAGGGAAGTTACTAGTTACACATGTTTTGTGACTAAAGCGAGTCTGTGACTGAAATGATCAGTAATCACTAAATATGTACGTTATTATTTTTGTTGTATTTATAACTAGAAATAACAAATTATTTTTTCAGTGGCGGGGGAGACTTCAGAGTGATAGACACTCGGAAGCATTCAACAGTGGTCACCAACCAGCTGGTCCAGGGGATGACCGCTATGGCACCACACAGGATGGCGGACATATTCGCATGGTGAGAGGTGGACCCAGCTTTGCTTGGTGAAGGTCATTTACCTAAATAGTAGATAGGCAACTCAGAAAGTAGCTTGCCTCCTTTTCCTGGTTGGATGATGAACATCTACAATAATATGATCTAGTTGAATAAAGTAAAGTCTTCAGCCAATAAAAAAAATGTATGTTCCCATCGATAGTTGTAAGTTTAAGCTAAAGATAGGCGTTATTTGACGCTATATAAATAATACTATTACTAATGTATCACCTATTACCCTGGTAATAGATTACTGAAAATACCCTATTTTTTAGTAACGTTGTCTGAACTGTTTAAACAAACAAATGACTATCTCGCTGATCGCGTCTCCCTAACAGTACCTTGTTGATAAGATTATTTTTGTCATGTCGTCTGAGCTGTTAGAACAAACAAGAAAAATAACAATGATCGTCTACCTAGTAACAGAAAGCGTCATGTAATTATATATTCCTGTAAGAACGAGCAAGTGAAATATTGCTGATCTTGATTTCCTATTAGAGGTGATCCAAAAGTAACAGGTGAAAAAAATATTGGTATTATTTCACCTATTACAAATAAACTAAGGATCTTTCCTGATTATAATTGCAAGGAAAGGCTCTAGGTCAGGATTTTGAATTGCAGAATAAGGAGGATAGCAGCTAGCTTACATTTTTACCATTTTATTGGTAAGCTAGCTGCTATCCTCCCTACTCTACAATTTATAATTGCAAAGTAATAGTATTTCCTGTCTCTAATACAGTATACGTTCGGTTGTATGTTGCTCTTTGGGAGGTTTAAGAGTCAAACTGCTACAAAAATGTAATAACACTTTCAGTAATAGTAAAAAATCACTTTACCTAAATGATGTAGACTAATGATTCTTCCTCATTTAGTGTTAATTTTACGGTGTAAACTTTTTCTAATGTAAAACCATACTTAGAATTGAATATCTTTGGGCCCTTCAGTTGGTCTTCTACCTTGGGGAAAACTTAATCTCTTCTTTCCTGAAAGTGTGTCTTGTCCAACAATCTGTCAATCCAATCTATAACAAAATCACCATCACAGTGATGTGTACTAACACACATTTTTGTACAGCAGTGGCGCAGTACACCAGTACATCGGTGTGTACAGCATGTCCGGTGTGGCGCTCAACACCATCAAGTACCACGAGTGGTTCATGGCATCTCACTTTGTCCCCGTCACGTCTCTAGCGTTCCATCCGCTGAGGAGTCACATGGCCGCCGGCTCACTGGACACTAGCATCACCGTGTACTCGGTAAGTCCAAGACAATCTATCCTTGTGTATAGGGATGGACGAGATTGGATTTTTAGTTCGAGACGAGACGAGACGAGATTTTTTATTTCTCATAAAATTTCGAGACGGGATTTCCCTTCTCATACACAACGGGAAATGCACGTTCAAAATTTTTACCTGATTTTGTAACATTGTTAGATGACTGTTTAAATACAAAAATAATGATAATAGGCAAGAATATTTACAATCTTTTATTAAAAAACATCAGCATAAAATTTTTATATTAATCACGCCTAACTTATTAAAAATGCCTACGATTAGAAAACATAGTGATATCAGTTAGGATAGAGTTCAACTTATCCTAAAATAAAATAAATAATAAAATAAAAGCAATATTAATTTTTATAAAATAGTTACTTGTTTTGACTTTTTATAGTAATAAAACATTCCTCACACTGCTTACACTTAACAAAACTTCTCAAATGTTATTAAAGTAATATTATTAAAATAATTAAAGTAATATTTACATTTAAAGATATGATTAAATAAGAACGCCTTCGCAAAGGAAACGCAACTACAACACGCTACTGTATTGCGGGTATTGCATTGACTTTCTGCAGGCGTTTTTAATTATTTTTTTTATTTTTTATTTTTTTTTTTTTATTCTCGTCTTGATAAAAATCTCGGCCAAAAAAAGAAATCTCGTCTCGTGCAACGAGATTTAAAATTTCCCGAAAATTTCCCGAAATTTCGAGACTTGACCATCCCTACTTGTGTACATTACAATTCGCTGCCACTTTTACAACAACAATGGACGTAACAAAAGTTGGAGAAATTCAAATTTTAGACTGTAGCGCAGTCTGTGAGTGGCTCATTTAAAGATTGGTTTTGCTTTTCACTTTATATATGTATGTCCCATTTTAAATACGATAAGGAATTTTTATTTTGGCTGTCCGATTTTGACATAGGATCAATATATAGAGCTTTTAAATGGTATGGATTGGCCCTAAGCAATTATTTAAAAGATGCTTGATCAAAAAGATGGAAATAAAAAAAAAAATCATATTTAAAAAAAAATTATTATTTATTTAATTGTTTAGTAAAGTTATTGTTTAAAAAAGTGTTTAATTGTTATATTCTTTATCATAAAATATCTATAGATTTTATGGAAAAATGTATTGTTTTGTTTGAAAAAAGTAAAGTTTATTTTATAATTGTTATTAAAATATATGTTTTTTTAATATCTCCATTGTAGGAAAATGTATATGTTTTGGTTTTTTTATTTGTTTTACCACTATAGTTTACTTTAATTAATTTAACTATTGCAGTTTGGAATTTATTTTAAGTGCTGACCAGGTACAGTATGTGAAATAAACCTCTAAATATGGTGTGTATTCTAATCTTATCTTAGTTTAAACAATAATAATTACGAGGACAGAGGTTTTAAGGTACAAGGTTTAATGGTACATAAATGGTTAAAATAAGGTTACAAAAATTGTTCAGGGGTGGGGATTCGTTCTGGCTGAATCAAAAGATTTTGTTGATGCCTAATTTAAATTTTCAATAAGTATGGTAAGTTATAAATTTAATAATCTTTTAAAAACAATAAATGGGAAGGATTTTGATTTTGGTGAATGGAGGTAAGTTGGGTCCAAATGGATGCTTGAGGAGTCTTAGTCTGAGTTAATAAATTAATAAAATGGAATGTTCTCGCCAATCTTCTATAATAATAATTTTCTTCTTAGTAATGTAGGCTTAAACTCTTCTTTCTTCAGTAAATTTGGAAATTTTGACAATACTTTCTTTTATAATTTCACAATTATTTTCACAATTAAGTTAATAGATTCTGTGTGTTCTTCTTGGATACTTTAACTGCACTGTTACTATTCATTGTTGTAAATCATTTCAAGTTATGGGGCTCACATAAATAAAAACATGGTTGAAATTTACTTGTAATCTGGACCCCAGATGCACTGTATTTTAAGTGGAGGAATTGTTTTGAATAATAATAATTTTGGATAAGCCAATGAATAAATATTGATTATAAATTATATATATGTTGAGACAATATGGTTTTAATAATTACCAATGAACATGAAAAATTATTGAAAATATAACAAGATTGAATTTGGAATTTAAATAAGGACTATATTTATAAACATTGAATTTTGAGTCATTACATATGCCAGGCGGAACAGACGGTCTTAATGATCATTGTTGTATGTAGTGCAAAGGTAGTGCTAAGAATGTCAATTTTACCCACTATTTTTTAAAATAAAAGCACTTTTTCATGGATTCAATATTGGTCTCGTAAATATTTTATTTGATCTTATAGTATATTACGTTACTAGTCCTGAAAATAGGTGTTTACTGGTCGTTCCCTTGCGAGACAAAGTCGAGTGCGGGACTACCATACGAGTCCGGTAAACAGATTTTGGACGAGTGACGTACAATATTTTACACCATACTACTCTAAAGCTAACTTAACAATAAAAAATCCTTATAGATACCCACCGACTAAATGAGAAACGATCAATACTCAAAAACCTCTAAGAGAGGTTGTTATGTTTTTGTTTATAAATACTCATTGCCAAATATATTCAGCTGGTTGGTGTCCGGTAAAAACTCATTACAGCTGTTTTCTGGACTAAATCCTTGCTTGGGAAGTTTGTTAAAACATTGTAATGTGGTGTAAAAGATTGTACATATTTTCTCTATTTACGTGTGTCATTGTGTTCAAATACTTGTCTTATTCATTATGAATCCTGTAAAATACAACACTCAGGCGCGTTTTTTAATACAACATAAATATGTTAACCACCATTGTTTAAGACTTTTGTATTTTAATACCCTTTCTTGTTCAATATTATTTTATTTTGCTGATTAGCCGCGATTTTACCTGGAAAGCCTTTATCCTGATTAATCTTAAGTTGGGTGTATAACTAATTAGTAATTAATCAATGTATAATTTAGTGTAAAAGAGTAGTGTCCAAAGAAAAGCAATCAAATTTTTGTTTGCCAGGTGGAACCCAAGAGATGACACTCGCTTTCGCTCATTCACTAGCAGAGTTTCGTTTGCTCACGTCTGCTAGTGTCCGCTTGACACATGACTCCAGTTCGCTTGCGTTTTGCGAAGGATGACTAACTGAGGCAACTTTACACAGACTGCGATATTACAAAGATGTCTCTACTTTTCCTGATCCTTAGGTAATTTCCAACACCGAACTTATTTTAACAGCCTTTGTTAATTTATTTTAAAATGCATTGACAATGTTTTAAAGCTAAAAACCTATAGCTTAAGTATCAAATTATGATTGTTGTCAAGTATTGTATCATTAAGGCATTAAAAATAACAGAAATAGGTGAGCAAAATTGTAAATTTTGTATTAAGGTTGAAATGTGAAATCTTTGTGTTTAGTTGCCATATGCTGCTAACATCAGGGCGGTCAGTTTAGTAATTCAAGAGAGGTTATTTCATTGTTGCCCAAGCAAAGGTTTTGGGTTTGTTTCTAACTTATTTTAGCTTTCTACTACCTGTCTTTCCATCTTAACTTAGTCAAGATGTAAAATTTTATATAAATTTAAGTTCAGTAGCAAGTTTTGCCAAGACTGTCTTGTTTTCTGTTGAAATGTTAAATGTATTTTTTGACGACTATTGTTGACAATTTTACATTTTATATGCCTCATTGGTAACTATTTTAATAACAGTTTATTTATTACATTTAGTAGTATTTAAGGAAAGTGAGCTTTTATTAAAGTTAGTTAAGATTTTTTAACAACAGTTTATTTAGGATGTAAGAAAGTGAACTTTTATTTATTTGTGGAGAACTATAATTTTTTTATGTAGAATCAGGGATATAGTTTTAAAATCAATATAATTGATCATAATCATTTAGGTAATTGAGAACCAATTTCAACATTTTTAGAGTAGTTTTTTAAAAGACCGTCCTGATGAATCCATAGGTTTTTTTATGTCTTCTAGATTGTTTGTATCTTAACGTTACTGATACATAGTCTGTGTATCCATTGTGCTTGGTGAGCGAGTGAGCGTGTGTAACTTATTGATAATCAAGATTATTTTGTTAACTATCAAATATAAGTAATTAATTAAGAGTTAGTTATATCTAGAAGTAATTAGTAAAGGCGTAGATACATTGTTTAGTCATTAGTTTGGATAAGATAAGTGGATTATTTAAGTTTCATACATACCTTATAGAAAATAGTGATGTGGAATATAATATTTACTGGAACATAACATTCTAAAATTGTAGCAAAAAAAACTAGTTGTTTACCTGTCTTTTCATTAGGGAAATATTGCAGCTCATGTTAATGTAAACAAAACATTAGTTTATTCCAATATGAAAAAGAAAATTGATCTTAAGATGTTATCCTATATTCATCATTAAAAGGTAAATAATCTGAACTGCGGAAATCACTGTTCAATATTAGGGTGTAAATAGGGGAATATGATGTGCGGAAAAGCGTGTGATTGGTGAGATGCCTTGTGTTACTTTTTTGTTGACTAGGACAGCTGTTTCATAAGCCAGAACTAGAGGTGTGCTTGTGGCTAGATTTCTAAGCTGAGCCGAGTCTAGCTAACGAGCTCAAAAGCCGAGTCAGAAAATTGAGTTTGTGCCAATCTTTTATGATTGCAATATCATCGCGATTGCAGAAAGTGTCTACCAAGACAACACGTTTTAAAAATTCACTCTTTTGCCAAGATCGCGGATGGTAACGATAAAATTTCCATTTTAATGGGAGACAATGATTATGTCTTCACAACCGCAGGAGACGCTCAAGATTTTGAAATGAAATGAAAAATCATTTATTTACACAGGCAAAGATAGGGCCACATGGCCCTTTCTTACACTTAACCTGTACTTTAAAACATAATATAAATATTTTAACATAACCAGCTTATACAATAAAACAAAACGGAAATCATAGATACAGAAACTTTTATCAAAAATCAGTAAATTTTCAAAATACTTACACACACACACTCACTCACACATACATACTAGTCAGCGACCGCCATGCGCACAGGCCCCTACGACAAACCTACCATGGCCATACGTTCAAAATAGTGATTTTTAGTGCTGCCACAAACCGGGAACGACTATCGAGGGATTTAATAGCTAAAGGGAGATTGTTCCAAAGACGGCAAGCAGTTACAACAAACGCTCTGTCGTAAATTGCGGTCCTATGGTGAGGCATACGCAAAGTTAATGATGCATGGCGTGAGTATCTGACACTTTCTTCAGCTACAAACCTAAAATCATCTACAAAATATTTTGGAAAATTGTTTTTTAATATTGAATAGGTTAGTGAAAGATTGTTGATTGATCTCAGGTCACATAGCTTTAATAACTTAGAATGAATGTAGAAAGGGGTGATGCGCTCACTGCGTCTTAGATCATAAATGAATCTTAGGCAGTAGTTCTGAGCGCGTTGGAGAGCATCAGTGAGGTTTACAGTCATGTCATTGATCATAGAGCTGCAGTAAGTGAAGTGGGGAAAAACAAGTGATTTAACCAGGTGTAACTTTATGTGCAAAGGCAAGAAATTCTATAACTTTTTAAGTGAGTGGATTGATGCAAACACCTTTTTACGGATGTCTACTACCGCATTGCCCCAAGTAAGTGTTGAGTTGATAGTAAGCCCAAAGTTTTTGACCTTGTCATTGTAAAGCAAATCTGTTTCATTTATAGTTAGTGGATTCGTCGTCAGAAAGTCAATAGAGTTCCGTAAACGTGGATGACAAATTATTTTTTTGAAGATTTTGCCGTGATCGGGGAAGGCAATAATGTTTCTGTGATTTTCTGCGATCACAGGAGACTCTGATGATGTCCTCACGATCACGGGAAATGATCACGTTATTACTGCGATAACATGTTATGGCATTATTTTATTTATTATATGGTCTTATAGTATTGCATCAAATCCATAATATAAAACAGCTCGGCTCCAAAGAGGCCTGATGCTTAAGCTTTTTTTCCAAAAGCTCGACTTGAGCTCAGCTTGATAAAAAATCTGAGGCTTGTACACCTCTAGCACCATTATCAAAGTCCAATGATCAAAGACAATTCATTACTAGTTACTAAACTAACAAAAAACAAATAGCAACTCAGCAAGAACAACACAAAGCCAGTTGATTGATATACACTCTTGAAATGCAAATTATATACAATTTTCAGTTGTACACATTTGTCATCTTATTGAGATAACAAAGTACGAGGGTAGTTTTTAAAGTAAGAACTGTTTGTGTGTATAGCTTATTAGCTAGTTCTTGTTAATTCCTGAGATGCCAGGTCGCTCACTCTCATCATTTGTGAACAGAACGTGTAGACACACAACAAAGTATACATGTCAGCCACAGAACTGCAAAATTTACTGGTACCGTTTAGCACTAATGATGCCAGTAAGTGGCAAGGAGCCTCGTTGCGGCAAACACGAACCTAGAAGCATTACACACAAACAGCCCTTACTTAAAAAACGACCTTTGTAAACCAATACCATTACCAAATCCTTGATTGTAGCCCATCTTTGAATAACCGCGTCAATTACATTTTTACATACATATATTTACACTATTTACATTGAAGTATACATCGGAATACACAGTTTATTAAACACAATATGGATTTATTAAATGGATATGAGCCCGTGGAAATGAGTCTGCTAAGAGTCTGATTAAGAACATTTCAGCTAAGCCTGATGGGCATGGTTCTCCTGTATGGATTTCATCAAATGATTTTCATTAAATTACTATACTATTTTGGAACCACATTTGTTTGGCTGACAGAGTAATGACTAATTATTTGTTAGATTAATAGAGCTAACCTTCAAACTTGAAGGTTGCTGGTTTGATTCAAAGTCCAGTCATTTCTGAACCCAGACATCATTTTGTCAGTAGGCTATTTACAAATTATGCTATTTAACAGTAGATGGATGTTATGTGATAGCAAACAGTAGTTTTGGACCTTCCATTATCAAAATTGTATTAATGTAATGGCGATAAAGACACACAAAAAAATATTTGGTATTCTGGTATTTTTATTTGCAAATTTTTCCTGAATAAAATAAATAAAACTCAATACAAGATTTTTTGAAATAGTTAAACTCTGATTAAATATAAAACATAGCATATTTCCAAGACTGGTAGCATTTATCATAGTTTTAAATCTGAATATTTCAAACTCAAATATTTTTTATTTTAGTCAAGAAAAATAATTGATGCTGCAATGAATCCAATAACGAATGACAGGAGAATCTACAAACAACTTCTAAATATGTTTTTAGATATTTCCATTTCCATACAGCTAGATAGAAAGTCAGTCCTGATAAAATATCTGTTGAAAGGTGAGTTTAACTGGCTATACACAGAGTAGACTTCCCACGTAATGTTAAAATTTAAAACCAAGAAAATAGATTATGTTAAGAACCATCTCACCAGAGGTATTGGGTTAAATATTACAGTAATTAAAATCAATGCAGTATCATGGTTTAACTTACTACAGGTACAGGATAAATAAGTGTTCCGATACTTCAAGTTTTGAGCCTTTATTTAACATTGCGGGAAAAAAGGTAAAGAATACTTTTAATTACTTCTTACAAATGCAATGACATAAAAATATCTATCTAAAGCTAAAGAAACAAATACAATCTATGTACATATAGACAATTTACAAAATGTACATAGAGCACTGAATATCGCACTAGTTTAGTTGTAAGGTACTGTATTTTTAAAAGAGGGAATACTGTATATAAAACATGTATAGATTTATTTCGCTTACAATGCTACTTTTTAAGATCTCTAATGTGTCATAGGCAGGATTTTCTGCAGTGATTAATTTGTTGAAAGTCTAAATAAAAAGCAATCATTGAATGTTACCCAAATACATTTTTGTTTGTTTAACTAGTCTTATTATTCACCCAACTGCTTTAGTTTGAGGTAAAAGCTGAAATTATACCACAGTTAAAAAAAATATAATCTATACTTATTTAATTTAATTTAAATCACACAAAATTGATCAGTAAGAAAAAAACATAGTATTGGTATTAGGCAGTGCTTGATTTGTAAAAAATGGGGTGCCACAACTGTAAGCTATTTAATGTGATTAGTACCTATTTATACCAATATTTTTATCTTTCCATAAGACAGGTACCAGAACACATTTCCGTCGCGTTCCCCTACAAATCGAGCACTGGTATTATTAGGAAAGTAAAAAATATTCTTGGTAAGATCATTTTTCTTTTTATTACAGTTCTTAACACAATTTAATGTTTAGCTATCCTAAATCAAGAAAGATTTTAAAGAAACATTACTCGTTTTTTCAAAAGGATCTTACTTTAGTAAATGTATTTTGTGCATCATAGTGAACTTATTTTTTTCTCTCCTAGTAGTAGAGAACCTTTAAAATGAAACAGCTACGTAACAATCAATTATTAGTTTAAAGTTTTAAAACTAAAACTGAAAGGATTTTTTTCAGAATTCCTTTTAATGGATGTTAACTCATTATAATGCAAAGCCTTGAAGGCCTATATTTCTCTATCAGCTCATCATCTTGCATTGTGATCTTGCTTTTGGATGTAAAGTAGTCATTCTTTTCTTATCGGTAATTCCATCATCATCCGTCAAGCTTGCCAATGTTCCAACTTTGCACTCAGATAATTTGCAGGTTACCCAAAACGTAACCTTAAGTAGCTTCAAGATTACATTAATTCATCACTACTGAGGGATGATGGGACATTACAGTCTTCAATACCTTCAAATGGATCAGATGGTTCAAAAAACTCTTCTTCAGGCTCCGATTGTTGTTTGGGTTCCAGTTTATTTCCTCTATATTTCAAACCCAGGTAGAAGAATTCACTGGAAGGTTGTCGCGTTGCTTTGGGATGTACCACTATGCCTTTTTCATACATGAATCGCAAGTCTTTTATGATCTGTTTGCACTCGACACCATCGAAGGCTTTCATGACTAAGGAGGACCCCAACTTACAAACTCTTGGGACAAATCTGGAAGAGGTGCAATGAAGAATTAATACATAAGCAACGAGGAAAGGAATGGAAATTTTAAGAATTTTGAAGTTAAGGGATTTTTAAATTCTTTGTGAATATATTCCATTCGTCGGTCAAATGTGTCAGTTATGCTACATTTGTAGAGATTATATATCAACCCAAAATAACATTGACCCAAAAGATTTTGACTTTTGAAAATAAAATAAAATGTCAATACTCACTTTAGAGTGGAGTAGCAGAGTTCAGCCACTTGCATATGATCTTTGTCTCTGATTCCTGTTGTATTTGGCGCCATATCACTAGTCAGTACGTCAGCCTAAAGAAAAGAACATGTTTCAATGTAACTATGATCAGTCACGATTTAACTCAGAATTTCAATACGATAGAATCCATCCATACCTCACCTGCCACTGCAGATATTTCTCTTAACCAATCAGTCACTGGAAGTAGGTATAGCTGTTGAGCTGTCAAAATAAGCCATCAATCTATATTTATTTCGTACATTCTATAAAATAAATAGATAAAAACCAATTGAAATTACAAAATCTTTGAGAGAGAGAAATTCTTTATTTACAAATTATTTTGCAGCATTACATGAACCAAATAAAAATATCACATGGGTCACAATGACCTGTGCGTGATAGAGTCCTTATTTGGCTGCTTAAAATCAAAATAAAAGTTCTTCACACTTCACATAAAAAAAGAAAATAGAACACTAACTTAGTAAAATAAGCATAACAATTAATTTACTATACAATTATGATAAAAAAAAAAAAAAAAACTGTGAAACCTAACAACCATATGCAAATGTAACTCAATAGTAGGGGAGCTCATTGCTTGCATCCAATACCTGTTTACCAATACACATTAATTTTTTTCCTGCGATTCCCAATTTTACTGAGGCGTGGATTCCGTCAAGTAAGAGTGCTGTAGAAAGTACAATAGATAGTCCAGTTATCAGTTGGTTAGGTCTAAACGAGATATTCTGGGCTGATAAGCAACTCTGTATTGTCGAGGCCTATCTCCATCAGCCAATTAGCGATAACCCTCTTATATACACTCAGTGACACTCGCAGGTCCCTAATTTCTGGAGGAATATTACGCAGCAAGCAATTAGCAATGTAAAAGGAATTTGTTAAATTGATTGATTTGAGAACTCTTGGGACCCGTAATCCCATCATCACCGAGTTTCTGGTATGATAGTTATGAACTACGGGCGATGCGATAAGGTCTAAATGAATGTATGAATAAGCTAATAAATCTTTAACATATAGCTGCCTTATTGATAAAAGCTGAGATTCTTTGAACAGATGATCAGTAGAATAACGTCTCGGTTTTCTCTTTAATTATTGATTTTTGAATTACGAACAAAGGTACAATTACCGATGAATAAGCCCCTCCCCAAGCTATTAAACCATACTGCAGATGAGATTGAACGTATGCGTAATAAATTCTTTTAATTTCTTCATGTCTTAAAATTTGACCCAATTGGTGAAAAACAAAAATTATTTTTCTAAGTTTGTTTTAAAAAAAATGTATATGACTTTCCCATTTCAATTTAGAATCCATTATAATGCCCAGGTATTTATACTGCGACACAGTCTCAATAATTTGGCAGTTGCAATCGCTGCCTGCGGTGCCACATGAGTGCAAGGTTAGTCTGAGTTCGGCGGGCGGCTTGCTAGCGGGACGAAGTGCGATAGGCAAACATTTTGTTTTACCGACATTCATTGTTAAAATGTTTTCTGAGAACCATCTTTTTAAAATTTGTAATTCTGATGATGCAATATTAAAAACCTCTTACCAAGTACGTGCCCTAAAGATTACTGCTGTGTCATCTGCAAACAAGAATATTTTTCCAGAAATATCAATTTTATCTATGTTATTTATGTAAATTAAAAATAGTAAAGGCCCCATAGTAGAACCTTGAATAATTCCAAAATCTACATTCATTTGATCACTAATAACGTTATTAATTGATACTACTTGAGTCCTATTGCTTAAATAACTTTTAAACCATGCCAGGGCTAAACCCCTTACACCCAAATATTCTAATTTTTTGAACAGAATTTTATTGCTCATCAAAAGGTCGGGCTTTAACTAGTTTACTCATTTTATCTCGTTTTCTAATAGCAAATATTAACTCTGTGTTTATCCATGGCTTTAATTTTTTAAATCTAGAGGTGGGTTTTGTCACACGCTAGTTTTAAACTAGAATCTATCTATTATTCTAGCTATCTAGAAATCTGCTATTATTCTACAATTAACTCTGTACCAAATAAGCACAAACAGTTAATTGTCATTTACCATCAGCTGCTGATAATTTAACTAATTACTGACTACTTACTTTCCGTCCTTTCAGTGCTTGTTTTATTAATTTCTGCGAGCTAGGATCCAGAAAGTCCATTTTATCCATGATTTTTGCCCCTTTTATCGGATACGTCTTTTGCAGATCCATCCCAAGAACAAAGGATCCAAACTCTGAAAAATGACTCACAGTTTTTGTGAACAGAAGAAGAAAGAGGAAGAAAATATCATATATCAGCCAAAGGTTGATTTATCAGAAATTTAGAGTAAAATTACCAAAACTAACCTCTATATATGTTAAGAAAAACAGTTTAAAGCTTTAACTGACATGCTACACCCTAGGGGTCAAGTTTAGAACTTGTTACTATCTTTCAGGTTAACACCAACATTATTATCAGAGTTCTGTTGACCACGAGGTCTGGTTAATGGTGGTGTAGGCTGCGAGGCAGAACCTGATTGAAGTTTCAAATTCACCACAGTCAGGTCGCAGAGCGGTAAGGTACAGAGGAAGGTGGGACGACAAGACACTTATAGCATTAGTATGTTGTGCTGGAAATATACTTGTGAAGATCAAGGAAGAGCCCGAGCGGCGAGCACAGTACAGAGATTCCCATCGCACAGGGCATAGGGTCTTCCTCCACAGTGAGCGTTTTAGTACACAAGGGCGAGGGGGTCGGTATAGGACTTTGCCCTAGACACCAACGACTAGTGCTAGATACCACTTTAGTGTGTTGAATGTTTCTGCTGTATCTAACTTTGCTGTGTTCCAAGTGACTAAAAACATTTAAAATTATTAATCAACAGTTCATTTTACCCTTATCTACAAGTGCAACATGCAAAAAATTTGTGCTCCGATAGTGATACTTTTAAAGTGCCTAATATGAGGTACATACCTTTACGTCAACAGTTTAGTAAGTAGAACTCACAACATGTTTCACCTATTCAGGCATCGTCAGGTGATATCCTAGCCAATGATATCCAGGTGAAACATGTTGTGAGTTCTACTTATTACAATTAAACTGTTGACGTAAAGGTATGTACCTCATATTAGTCTAATTAAACAGTTCAGGTGCTACATCATGAATTTTAATTTTAAAGTGCCTCTAAAATAAACTTTACTCGACTTACTTTCATATTTTGCTCGTGTGGCATTGACCGCAACTTGAGTCCAAGATCCCGGACAACAACCCAGGTCCACAACCGTCTGTCCGGGTTTGAACAACTTGTATTTGTCATGAATCTCGAGCAGTTTGTAGGCACTGCGGCATCTAAACATGTTAAAAGATTCCTGACTGCACTGTGTTAGTTACCGTACTCTATATGATTGGCATTTAGGTTTCTCATCCTTCTGTCCGTAGAATAAAGCCTTTAAGTGTATTTAATATCCAATTACACTGAATAAAATGTTATTGTCAAATGAAATTTGGATACATAGGAAGACTAAGAAAAATTAGAATAAAGTTGGTTTTACTGCGTCCAAATGCGCTGAATGTGCTAATGTCAAATGAATATTCTTCACATTAACAATTTTCAAAGTGTGCTGTGCTATTTACTAATAAGGACAAGGGGTAAATAGTTTGCACAGGTATAGTTTTGTTCAGTTTCACATGTATAGGGCATAGAGTGACTCTTTTCGACCTGAGCTCAGGTCAGAAAATGAGCAAGGGTTGAAAAAGACACTTTTGCCAGTGTGATGAACTACATTTTCACTGTATTGCAACATTATTTAACAAACTATTTTGGAAACGAAAATACTTTTCATGTAAAGTAAACCTCTCAAAACAACTTGCAACTTGTTTTCAATTTTTATAATACAAATAAGCAGACTGTGTAGTTAGTGGTTCAACCATTTAATCTATTACGTTTGTGTTAAGTGTACATTACCCTATCGACATGTCGAACTATTGACAAAAATGCAACAATAAGCTATAACTGTAATCAATCTATTATTATGTTATTAAGAGGGTTCCCTACCCCTGCCGAAAAACGTCAGAAAACCGCTTCGCGCGGTATCATATAGCGATTCTAGTTTTAACATTTAAATTGTGAACCAAACACCATTTTGTACATAAAGAGTGGTTCTACTAAGTTTGCTTTTTAAAAAATGTCTATGCTTACGCAATCAAGGGCAACGACTTGTCAAAGTTAGTGAACTTTACAGTTAAATAATAATATCTTTTTATGAAATTATCGATTTTTAATAAAGCAATATTAGTGCGAAATTTAACTAAAAATATCAATTCACTTTTAGTTTCAAGAAAAGATTATTTTTTGTATATGCAAAATGAAACCGCGTAAAACCTTGCACGGCGAAAAGTGCTATGATTCTGACGGACTCTAGCGGCCTTTATCGAAACTACTGTCTAGCGGAGGGATACAAATTTTACACATTCTTCATCATTCATAATATTTTCCCCAAGATTATTCCAAAAATTATAACTTGGGCTATAATCCCATAGTTGTTTTACAGCGATGTCATCTGACTGGAAGAGGCGCGCAACGGTCTTGAGCTGTATGTACGAGCTGTATGGCGTGAATAGGTTCAGGGAGGTAAGCCCGTTGTCACCAGTCGCCGAGGGTTGTAAATCAGAGAGAGGGAACTAGGGGAGAAAGTGAAAGTGAGTGCACTGCTGGGGCGGGTTTACTAGGATGGGCCTACTTCCACTGCGGAGGCGTCCTGGCGGTGACACGACCAGCAGACAGCAATCCTAGGGAATATTTTGTCGTCTTGTAGTTCCAACTAAACTCACCAGGGTCGCAGAAGATTGAAAACAGTTCGAGGTAGGGAACCCCCTTAAAGTGATACAATCAATTTTTATGTAAATGATGGTTAAGGCCCTTTACCGAATAAAAATATAGGCATTTGGGACATCAAAATGAAGCTAAGAGTGTAGATTTGCCAAAAATTATTGGTATGAACAAATTTCTTACACACTCAGCCCCACGGGACGATTTCCAAAGGGCTACGCCTGACATACTTCCAAAGTTCAAACGATTTAATTTTTTTAACCAAACAGCTGGTCAATGCAATAAACCTGGTGTTTGTTTATTTACTCGAAAAAGATGTTTGTGATGCTTTATGTAGATTGAGGAAATAATGTGGATTATTTAGTAAGAGGGTTATATTTGGTAAAGGAAAGGTAGTGCTCGTTTTATAAAGTTTATTTGTAATTTATACAGTAAGCTACATGTAAAGAGGCTTGACTAAAATTGAAGAATTATGGTAAAACATCTCATTCATGAAGCATCAATATGAAGCAAATGATGCTATTGCTACACTAAGGTATGTTGTCCTATTATTCTGAATCGATTAACATCAAAAGTATGGATTTGAAAGTAAGTATCATATTTTATCTTATTTTCAAATTAAATCATAGACTTACTGTATTTTTAAAACACACATCAGCACCACTTATAAACTTTAATGGCTGCCTTGCCTAGGTCACATTTTCTTTCCCTTGCAAAGAATGGGTATAGCAGCTCGTAAATACATATTTAGATACAATGAACAATATATACAATTTATATAACAATACAGTATACAATTTCTTACAGTGAATGTTTACAACAGAATTTACGACTGACTTTTACTCCCTAGAGATGGAGCCAGTTACTTTAGACCTGTGTAGCTGTTTAAATAAAAATGACAATGCTAATTACACCATTGAACCTACAGACATAACAAACCTCAGCATTGAACTACAGTGTGAGCTAATATCTGTGAAAATAAAACAGGGCTGGAAAAACTTACACGTTGTTGGCATCTACAGAACCCAAGGAGACCTAGACTCATCCTTGGATATCATCTCTGAAACCCTAGAAAAAACACATACATGGAACAATCGAGTTATTCTCATAGGAGATATCAATATAGACAGCTTGGAGCCAAACATTGAAATGACAAAATTAAACGAAGTTCTTCTTAGCCACAATATGACACGGCTCCCCCTGTCTCCTACAAGAACAACACCTACTACAATAAGCTCAATTGACTGTGTCTGCACAAACCTAGGCAATGATGATATTCAGGTTGGCGTTCTCAATGCCGGACTCTCAGACCACACAGCACAGCTCTGCAAATTAAATACCTCTGCCCCAGAAGCTCAGAATCAAACCTTCTATTCTAGGAAATTCAACCAAAGGAATGTCATGAACTTAAATCTATTCTTGCCCAAGAAACCTGGGAAAGTGTCTTCAATGAACATCAACCAGAGGACGCCTATCATAACTTCAGCAAGATTATTGCTGGAGCTATTAACCAAACTTGCCCAATGCTAAAGTCAAGGAAAAAAGCCAGAAAACATCGTCCTATAGCAAACCATGAAACTGAGGTACTAAAGCAAGAATTTCTTCAGGCTCTGAAAAAATACCTACTGAGTGGAACAGAAGAGGACAAAATTACAATGTCAAACAAGAAAAAAGATTACGACCTGAAACTGAAGACACTAAGACGACAGGCCACGGCAGTCCAAATACAGCAAGCTGATGATAAAACCAAAGCACTCTGGAGGGTCATCAAAAGAGAAAGAAAGCCGGCTCGAGACACATCAGAAAAATCAATCACACTAGAAATAAATGGCCTCAAAACCAACAACCCTCAAAATGTTGCTAATCATCTTAATGAGTTCTTCGTTGACATAGCTAATGACACCCTTGCACAAAATCCTCAAAACCAAATCATCCAGCTGAAATCACAGAGGTATACTGTCAGACACCTGAGATGTCTCTTCAGTTAACAAACAAGCAGGAACTGACTCAAGTGATCAACGCCCTAAAAAATAAAACATCTGCTGGAGTAGATGATATATCCGCCAGTCTACTGAAAAAATGTAAAGAAGAACTTGCTGGACCGTTAACACACATCATCAACCATTCTTTCCAAGAAGGAATTTTCCCAAGTGGGCTTAAAATTGCAAAGGTATACCCCAAATTCAAGAAAGGAAACCATCTGGACTCAAAGAACTACCTCCCAATTTCATTAATTTCCACATTCTCCAAAGTATTCAAAAAAATAGTACTAAACAGACTTCTTCAACACCTATCATCCAATGAACTTCTCACACCACATCAGCATGGATTTGTACAGGGAAAATCAACCACATCTGCCATAATAGATAACTGAATATGTAATAGATAATCTAGAAGAAGGAAACATACCAACCGCAATTTTACTTGATTTCAGCAAAGCATTTGCCTGCTTAGATCATACACAACTGTGTAACAAGTTGATAAAAATTGGGATTGGTGGGAAAACTGCAGAATGGTTCAAGAGCTATTTAACTGGAAGAAGTCAGATGGTTGAACTTAAACACTTCAGGTAATACACTGAAAAGGGATCTACACAAACAGTAAGATCAAAGTTACTACCTGTAAAAGGGGTGTTCCACAGGGTTCTGTGCTTGGCCCCATTCTTTTCATCTTGTTTGCAAATTATCTCCCTCACTATTTGGAAGACTACAGCAAGACTCTTATGTATGCGGATGATACTGTACTCCTCCTTGGGGAAAAAAAGCCTGAAGCCCTTGAAATCAGCTTGTTTGTTTCCATAAACATGGCAATACAATATTGCCAAAACAACAGCCTAGTAGTTAATTAAGAGAAAACACAACAACTGGTCTTTGGCAGGCGAAATGGTAGGGTATGCAGGATCCCAGACATCGAAGGCCCAGAAGAAGCAGAGTATTTAGGTTTAATAATAGACCAGAAACTGACATGGACCCCCCATATTGACAGAGCCTGTGTAGTAAGCTGAGTAGCAGTGTCTACGTGATAAGAAGGATAAAAACCATAAGTGACACCAACATAGCCAAGATTGTCTACCACTTCCTTTTTGAATCGCATCTTCTATATGGCCTTGAAGTATGGGGAAACTCATCGGCAACCAACCTCCAACGTGTGCTTATCCACCAGAAAAAAGCAGTAAGAATATTAGCAGACATTGACAATAGAGAAAGTCACAGACCGAAATTCCGTGAACTAAAAATCCTAACGATTACAAGCCTGTACATCCTAGCTGTGGCTACTCACGCAAGCAGGCTACAGCTCCAACGAGGTATGGATAGGCACAGCCATAACACCCGACAGGCTATGAATTACACACTTCCAGTCCATCATCTAACTCTTTTTGAAGAAAAGCCTTCCTACATGGGAGTGAAGTTCCTGAACCTGCTACCAGAGACAATAATTAGCCCCAGCAAAGCAGCACCAGACAACGCTTATCGGCTTGGCTTGTGGAGAGACCATTCTACACAGTTGAGGAGTTCATGAACTGGAGAACATCACCGATGTTCCAGTGAAAACTAAACAACCCTCATAGTAATAACCATGACTAAAGACAGACTCAAAGCCCAACAAATTTATGCTGTTTTATATTTAAATCTCTGTAATGTTTGACGCCTATTCTGCACTCTATGTTCAAGAAATTAAGTATTCTGATTCTGACCCACAACATATGTATGTAACGGCTGTTTTTGCTGCAGTATGATGAAAAATAGTTTTAAAGCAGTTTGAATAATAATAAATAAAATAGTAAGCATGGAAGCACCCTTTAGGAGACTTAAAAAGACAGAAACAGAAAATAGTCTTTAGCTGATTGAAAGAGTGATATATCAATGGGAGTCAGTTTAATCAATGGTTTTACCTTCTAAAAATAAATATGTTAAATACCTGTAATCATCATACTGAGCTTTCAAACAATATTCATCTCTAAACTGCCTTTGAAGCCATTTTTTGGAACTTCCCGATAAACTTTTTTTAAATTTTGGAAATTTGATTATCCTCTTAGTTATTTGTCCCATTTTTATCACTATAAAACAATATATTTGTGTACTACACTTTTGCTACGGCAATGGTTCAAAACTAAATAATTATCTACATCAATTTTAAGGTTAAACTTTGTTTGTTGAGCAATGACTTATCTGCATTGCATATAAATCACATCTCCATTATTACGTCTGTTTTCAAATTAATGATTTATTTCTTTAATAATGAGATAAGAAAATACAAGTTTCTTTTTGTTTAGATTATTAGTTGAAGTGACTAATATTTTACTACAGAAATAATACTATGGGGAACACGGTTAATGCTTCTTCAAGAGTCTGATGCTGTTCAAAAATTAATGTTTTAATTCATTCCTGTTTGTATTTGTTGAAGATTAGGTTGTTATCAGCAAAGCACTGAAGGCATTATATCATCAAAGTTATAAATGGTTATTTTAATACTACTAAAACAAAAAGTGGCGACCATACAAATGTAGGTACCAAATATACATAAAATACTTAAAAAGCCAAGTATGAATGGAGTTGAGTGGCGCGATCTTGAAGTCTTATTGTTAGTGACTAAGGCCAACATGTTCCTTAGACTCAGCTGTTAATTAATAGCCCATACAGCCAATGGCAACTAAGGGACCTACAGTTTATAGTGGAACCCGATTGGCTTGTAATTAACAAATCAGTCTAACTATTAGGATAGTTCTGCGGATCGTCGTAGTACTCATAAGTAAGGACGTTAATTCACACCAGGGAGTTTTGCATCCACAGTGTATGCCTATAAATATCCAAAATTTTGACATCCTAGTAGCTGGATTACAAGAATAAATGTTTATGTGTTTGTTGTAAGTCTTATCGGTTTAAATCTAGAATAATTTCACTAGCTTTCAGCTTTCTGGTTCTAGGTAACATGCAAAATTATTCAATTAGAATAGTTGATTGGTGAGAGTTCAAATAAAGACATTTCACACCAGCATTTATTAGTGTGTGTAGAGGAACAGGCAAGATTTGTAATAAGGGTTTATAAATACAAAATGTATTCATTCCTTACCTGTAAGTTTCTTTTCTCAACTCTTCAGTGTCAACTTCTGCCTCCTTTATTGCTTCCAAATATTCTCCGTCCTCTTCTTTTTCAGTTTCTTCCACTTGACCCTCTTCTTCCTCGTCAGTATCTCGGTACTGTGCTAGTTTTTCCTCCACTTTTGCTTTTCTCCAAAACTCTGCATCTTGATGTTTTGCCCATTTCTGCAATGCGATTTTCTTGTATGGAATCCTTTTTACAAAGTATCCAAATCGGCCCATTTTTGTTAATGATGATACAACTGTAAATCCCTTCCAAACCAAAGTTGTTTTCCTATTTAATTTCAAATTAGTAGAAATAAGCTCATTAAACAGCAGATAAGATAGATAAAGATAAATGTTCTTATAATTTATTGGATATGACTGCAAAAATCTTAAGTTTCCCGATGGCTGTACCTTCTAAAGGATGTTTCCTTCTAACAACTAAAATTTAAAATGTGCACAGTACATTTTGAACTCTTCAATATTTTAATGTCAGTGTGTTGTACTATGCATACCTAATTGTGGGGTTCCTCTATTTCACGCAATATTTGTTTATGTTCATGTCAATCCTGTCTTGTTTATGTGTTTTGAAGACTTTGACGACCTCTCAGGAGTGACATCCACACGTCTTAGGCTTGACAATGATACCACAGGAGTGACATCCACACGTCTTAGGCTTGACAATGACAACACAGGAGTGTCATCCACACGTCTTAGGCTTGACAATGACACCACAGGAGTGACATCCACACGTCTTAGGCTTGACAATGACAACACAGGAGTGACATCCACACGTCTTAGGCTTGACAATGACAACACAGGAGTGTCAAAACCGGTAGCGATTCAGACGACCAAGGATTACTTTGGCAACATCTAACCTCTAGAATAGGAATAGTTCACACAACATCTCTACCTTTAATTCAAAATCAATAGTATGTTTTACTAACTATAACGGTACCGTAAGCGTAACTGGCATTCTCAGTGTGGGCTCAAGTTTCATGTGAGAGACAAAGTTTTCTTCATATTTAGACAACAGAGAACAGTTTGTTGAAGTTGATCATATTGTCGAGAGTGATAGGGCTCGATACCTTGAAAAATCCAGGTCTCAGTGTCAGACACTGCGTTACCGGGTTCCCCAGGGGTCAATCTTAGGCCCTCTGCTCTTTCTTTGCTACATAAGAGGCATGCCGGAGATGATCCCTGGGCCCGATGCATCAATGTGTCTGTATGCTGATGACTGTAATATTCTGTTTTCAGGAAAGTCACATGATTATGTTGAAAAATCTTTAAATAAAACAGTTCAGTTTATCCATGAGTTCCTTGATCAAAAAAATCTATTAGTAAATAAAAAGAAAACAAACCTAATATCATTTTCAACCAAACAATCAAAAGTCAAATTCGAGCCAAATATTTTCTTAAAATCAGAAAGAATAGATCAAGTGGGCCTAACTAAATTTCTTGGTTTAATCATTGATGAAAATCTCTCATGGGATGATCACATCAATCACCTAGTAAACAAATTATCTTCTGGTATCTATGCTCTGAGACAGATGTCCAGAGTCTGTGATTTGGAAACTTTAAAAATTATTTATTATTCATTAGTTCAATCCCACATTTCATACGGAATCACAGTCTATGGTGGAACAACAAAATCAAATCTTGATAAAGTACTTAAACAGCAAAAAAGAGCAATTCGCACTATTATGAAATTACGGAAAACCATCTCAGTGAAGAATCTTTTTCGTGAATTGGACATTTTAACTGTGTATAATTTATATATTCTTGAAACCATAATCTTTTTGAAACAAAGGGAACTAACAACACCCTCCAATCCCGGGCATAACTATAATACTAGGTTAAAAATTAGATTGCCTCAGCATAAATTAGAATATTATACAAAGAAAACCACCTATACAGGATTGAAATTGTTACAATATTTACCAATAAGCATCCGGCAGGAGACAAATTTAAAAAAATTCAAAAAACTTTTAAAAGATTTCTTAGTAAAAAATCCTTTTTATTCATTACAAGAATTTGTAGATAAAACAAAATATTTCATTTGAATTTCCATTTATTTTTCATAATGGACATTTGCGTAGATTTATATGTTTTAATGTGTATGATTTGTATATAGATTTTGACTCTATTCAGATACATGTATGTTTCATATATGTTATATATTGAATAAAGACTATTTGAATCTTGAATCTATGAACACCAAATTTTATTTTTGCGTTACAGCAAGTGCCAGAAATTCACTTTTTTTACAAGTTTACATTACAATGCACAAATACTCACATTCAAAATAACAGGCCTCAGTAAAATCAAAACTATTATATTTCATATTTAACATTATTTTAATACAAAAATAAAAGATCAAAGTCGACAGTAAACCTAAATAAGAAAATCTAAATTATAAGTTCAATTTCAAGGCTATGTTCATTATGCAGTAAACACACACTACAAGCATAGATAAAACAAGGGAGTATGTTTTATCTATGCTACAAGCTAAAACACAGAAAACTAGCTTATGCCTATTACTGTTTTTATTTGCATTGTTAAACTGTAAACACAGCTGATATAGTTATTTGTGTAGAGAGCAATGTTTGTGGAATGATCTTGAGTGCAGCAAAGGCCTTTTGCACTCGTGTTAAACATTATATTTTTCCTACAGTCACTATAAAGCATAAAAGTAATTAGTCTTTCAAACACTATACAACACGTTTTTAGGTTCAGCTGGCAACACAAATAGGTGCCCTAGAGAAAGTAGTACCCGGTCGGTATCACTCCGCTATTTTTCCTAGGCAAGAAATGTGCTCCGCGACTTGAGAACATAGTTCCCTATGTTTTTGTAATTTGAAGTGGTTTCCGCGCCTAAAAAAAATGCTTTAAAGGTATTTTCTTGTTTATTAAGATCGTAGGAATGTTTTAAAAACGTTTAAAAAGTCCAGAAATACCGAAACTATAAACACGAAATGACAGGTTAAATCGTAGTTATAATAGTCAATCAGCTGCTCATAGTATTATTATCTTTAAGTGTTGCCAACCTATTTCCAAGCGTACACGGATTACGTGCATAATAGAACCACGCTGTTTTGTGTTGTTTCGTTGGAATCCTGATGTACGCCAAAGTATAAACCGTACGACAAAGTATAAACCGTACGACAAAGTATAAATATGCAGCAATCAGCAGCTTTCTGTACAATAAACAGTACAAGGAAGCCAACTTTGTCGGGTGACAGTAGGGAAAATAAATTGTAAACAAACACGTAGCGGGCAAATACAAGTGAAAGTAAATTTAGAACAAAGGAAAATCAGCTGATCGTTTTTGCTTTGCTCTGATTTAGGGATACATTAATGAAGCAGTTGGCTGCATTGTGCTTTTTATTTTGGTTGAAACACTGAAATACAGAGATCAGGACTAGTGGTGATGTTAACAAAACTTTCAAATATCTAAAATGAAACTGAAATCGTGCTATCCACCTGGTTAATGATATGAAAACTTAAACAATTTGCAGAACCTCACATGATTTTCTTATTGCCAAGATTTTGTTTAGTGCTTTTAATTTGGTTCAGGATCCAAAAATGTGGATACGAGTTTATCACCCCTGAACATTTTAAAAGTATGTTATGTCCAATAATGCTCAATCGCACATGGGTCATATATATTTTATTTGTGGCTATTTTTCTTAGTTACTTGGACCAAATAAAACAATCTATTTGTAACTAACTAGGTACTGTACCGAGGTAAAATAATATCAACAGTTTTGAAATGACAAAAAAAATTATATTTATAAATTATAATCATTGGTAGAGACACAACAAGAAATATAGTAGAGTATTTTACCTTGTAGGTTGGTAGACCTAGTTGATAGCCAGTTTAAAGAAGAGTGACCCATTTGTATACCCCTACCATGATTGCCAATTAGGTAGTATACTTTAATTTGTAATAAACCCTATTAAGCTGGTATAGTAGATGTGAGTTAAATTAATAAGACAAAATAGGCCAAAAAAGTATATTGTCCAATCCTTTACATCAATACAGAACTCTCTTCCATAAATAAAATATAATTAACTTTTTATTACTACTACAATTTCTAATAAAATAATAAATTGTTTTGATCCTACTTTAATGAAATACTGGGTTAATTGGACTCTTGCATAACTAGAACGTACTAGAAGTGGTTGATTTCTGTCTGAAAACACCAAATAAATGCAATACAGTAGACTCCCTCTTATCCGGACATCGGTTTAACCCGACCACACTCGGCAGAAATGACATATCTGTAACCGGTCAATTTTTATCAGCACATTGGTTTAACCGGACTAGATTGGCAGGGAGTGGGCGGTACTGAAACGACTGTTCTCGTGGGAAAGATTTGAGACCAGTGATCACGTGTCCATATACAATGCTCTCCTAAATTTAAGTCGAATATCACAACACAGTAAACTGTCCAATTTAACGAGTGTTTTGGGACGTCGGTTTAACTGGAAAACCTGTTATCTGGCCTGGCCTCGGTCCCGAGGAGTCCGGATAAGAGGGAGTTTACTGTAATAACTATTCTTGACAATTTCTAATAATTAAATGTGCATTGAAGATCCTTAAAATCATTTTTACTTTGTTTCAGACCTGTAAGGTTTTTGTTCTTGAAAAGCACATTTCCACTAATGATTGTAAGGATCTTCAATCCACATTTAATTATTAGAAATTGTCAAGAATAGTTATTATTGCATTTGTTTGCTGTTTTCAGACAGAAATCAACCACTTATAATACATACTAGTTATGCCAGAGTCCAGTTAACTTAGTATTTCATTAAAGCAAGGTGAAACTAATTTATTATTTTATTAGAAATTGCAGTAGTAATAAAAAGTTAATTATATTTTATTTATGGAAGAGAGTTCTGTATTGATTGATTTAAAGGATTGGACAATATACTATGTTGGCCTATTTCGTCTTATTCATTTATCTCATACTAGCTGAGTACCCGTCCTTCGTACGGGGTTGGTATACATTGCTTATTGTAGTTAAATACTCGTGCTTTGCATTTGCAATGAGAGAGGACACGTTTTGAGAAAATTTGGTTTACTATAATCTACGGCATACTGTAGTATATAGAACATCTACCATAGCCATAATGTTCTACCACTTCACCTAAACAATAGAAAGAAGTAAAGTTCTCACACTCAGGTTTTTGTTGCTGCTTGGTTCAAATTAGCTGTTGTCATAAATGTATAAAGAACTAATGGTGCTGCACCCAGTAGGAAACCGTATAACCTTTTAATGCTATTGAATATCATAGAAACAAATTTTGTAGTTGAAACAGCTGGCAAAATTATTTAATTCCTTTTAAATATGAATACTCATAAGGTTAACATGGGAAACTCCAGAGCCGCTGGGGCGGAGCCTGAAAGGATTTTTGAGGTAAGAATATGTCTATATGTTAATCGGGAATGTGAGCTATCATCATACCAAATTTCAACACAATCCAACCAGTAGTTAATGTGTGATTGAACTTCAAACAAACAAACAAACAAACACACAAACTTTCACATTTATAATATTAGTACCAGCTTAATAGGGTTTATTCCAAATTAAAGTATACTACCTAATTGGCAATCATGGTAGGGGTATACTACAATCTCTCATCTACCCCTCGTTGCGTAACTTAACAGTAAATTACACAGTGTAAAATCTAAAACCCCAAATAAGAGAGAAATATTTAGTCAACAACAATACCCTTGAGCTGAAAAAACAAAACAGAGAAAATACTTTAAATAAGTAGGAGTAATATACTTACAGTACTAAAATGTCAATAGCACTATTAATTGTCCTTAATGTTCTTTTCTGGCTCACGCTTTTTTGCTTGATAAGATCATGACAGGACTTTTTCACAAGAAAACGTAATATCTTTAGTAAACGAGGAATAAAAAGAAATTGCCTTATAGTATTTCAATAGGTAGTTAAATGAAACTTGCTTAAATAATTTAGCTTCTTTATTTAAAAAACATCTCTATTTTAAGGTGGACAAAACTTTGCTTGGTTGTAAGCAAATATAAATCATACTTATGTGTCTATTCATAGCATGGGGTGTTAACATAACATGGTAAAAAAATAAAGTTACACACACGGTTAGTTAGCTTTTACAGGGCAAATTTTCGCTTTAAAAATATTTTTTGACATAAAACTATATAACTCTTAACTATATTGGAAAAATGTAAATAACAAAGACAGCTTTGTCATTGTTTACAATTTAGATTTGAATTTAAAGTTTACAATCAAACTTAAATGCAAAGAAAAACATACAATTAAGGAAAAATTGCTCAAATTTGCCTGTTTTTGCCATTTACTGTATTAGCAATCATGAATATAATGGTTAAAATTAGGCACTTTTACCACCACCAAAATAAAACTGTCTTGATATAAAATCTCCTTAACTTATCCTTAGCGGCGGCGAATATACAAATATTTTATCAACGCTACATAACATATAAATTAATTTAATTAAATAAGCTTAAGCTAGCATACAAAATACTGGTGAAGACAAAATTGAGATGAGAATCACAGGGTTACAAATTAAATATTGGAAAATCAACGGAATTTATAAAAACTAGATTTTACTAATTAAAATTAATTTTATAAAATTACCTAGCAAAACACTTTAACTAGTACAATAGAAAAATGTTAATAACATTTCTAAAATTTTATGTTTTACCATAGTGGACTATTTTAACTAAATTAGATAATTTGAAAAGTTTAAATTACCGAAAACAAATTGTTGAACTAGTATTTAAAAGATAGTAGTTCAACTAAATAACTGTTATAATGGATTCCATTGTTTAAAATTTTAATAAATGCATAAAATGAGATGAATTTTAAATTGCATTTTCATTTAAAATATAGTGCATATATTTTTTATGACTCAAAATCTACTGTCGTACAAAATCTAAACTAGGTACTCTGGGACTCTGGGACAATATTGTCTGACTGACAAACTCTCTACGGCAAGATCAATATGAGCTTGTTTTTTTTATTATTACACTATTTGGAAACAGTTTACAAAAATACTCTTTGAAAAATAACCATTGATCACAAATGATTAGCTACAACTGATATGTAAGTACAAAATGTTTAATTATTCCTTGTTGTTAGCAAAAGTTATTAATGTCATTGTTGTTAATAAACCACTTCAGTTTAAAAACAGTTGAAACAACGGGAAAATTCATGTATGAATTGTCACTCGATATCCTAATGTTTATATAAAACCAACTGATATAAAAAAGTGACAAACTTCAACAAATTAGTTTTTAAGTTTGGAGCAAGCATGAAAAGTTTTAAACCTCTTTTCTGGCAAACAACAAACAGTTTTTAACCCTATAAAAGTTTAACACAAACACATATAAAACATCAATTTTAAAATACAACAAGGCGTAACAGACTCTACTTACAATTTATTAAGTAACAAAACCGAATGAAAAACGTATAAAATAAAAACCTGAGATACCAAATAGGAACCAAACAATTTCTGTTCAATGTCTTACGCAAATACAATAAAACAATGTTAAATTCTTTTATAGGCTACTTATTTAGATTTGAAATTTATTAGGATTTAAACAATTCAATTCCATAAAGTGCTGATAAACGGGAACAGTTTATGCAAGGTAACAAAACTGAATAATATACAAGGGCTGTTCAGTAAGTAAGGAGTATTTCTCCCTGACGCCGGTGGGAGTGCTCTGATCGCACACTTTTTGGTACAGACCTGTTCCCCTCCTCAATGACGGTCCAGCCAAGCCATCATAGCAGAACTCTTGTTATGCTGCCCATTGTTGCAATATTAAAGTTTAAGAAGTGTACAGCAATTGAAGATCCCGCCAGTTGTGAGGTACCGTCTGTGATACGGTTTTTGTTGGACATCATTTTAAAAATAAAACCTATAGAAATTTGTTGCTAAGGGTGAGAATTGTACAGAAACAACATAATAAATTTAAGTTCTGTCTAGAAATGGTGCATTTAGTTTCAAAATGGCCGAACAAAAGTTGACGTCCAAAACCCCAATCTTGCACATCAAACTGCACACAACTTCAATGATTCTAAAATGATATATTCCTTCATCCACACACCAGAAAGTCTATACCTGGCTCCGATTGATTTTCTCTTGTTTTGTGCACCGAAAAGAAGACTTGGTTAGGAAAAAAGTGCCTAGATTACGGAGAACCTCCAATTGTGCGTCACCGGGTAGCTGAGCTTGCAGGCGGCGGAATTCTACGACAAAGGAACTTCAAAGCTCGTCCACCGCTTTGCTAAATGCCTTAATGAGTTTAACAGCTATGTAGAAAAGAAGTATTTTATTCGCTCTTTGTAATGTATTTAGTAAAAACTGTTTCTTGTGGAATATCAAATTTTCTGGATATTAAAGGCGGAAAGTACGTCATCGCCGCTTGAGAACCATAGCTGAGTGCCTTTAAGGATGTTTGTGCTCGCAACACATACAGGATTTTTCCTATCGCCAAATTAACTTATCATAACAATACATAATTAACTTTTTACTTGTACACAGTAGAAGCCTGGTTAACCGAAATCAGGTTAACTGAAACCTGGGTTAACCGAAACGGTTCTATAAATTAATACAGGGCTAAAATAAAAGTACAATACTAATACTTGTAAACAGCGAGGCGTAGCGCTGAGCCCCTCTCTCTAGAAAGGGGCTTTCCTAACACATTGTAACATTTTTGTAGCTGAAATAAAACACTGTATTGTATAGAATTGTTTTAAATTAATTTTTCCTTCAGTCCGTGGTAATACATAGGCTATTTTTAGCAGATGATGGGTTAACTGAAAAATTGGTCATCCAAAACGGCTGTCCCACCTTTATTTCAGTTAACCGGGGTTCTACTGTATATAAAAGTCATTTAGGTTATGTTATTAGCTTACCGGATGTTATTGATTTGTAGAAACGCCAACAGTGGAATCAGCTAATTGAAACGCGAGAGAGAATGAATAAAGCAGAAATGAGATAGTGTTTCCATGTTTGGCAAAGTGATCATTTCCATGCAGCGATAGGAAAACTTTTTATTTTATTTTAAAACATTCCTTACTTCCTGAAAAGCTCTTGTAGATTATAGAGGCTGGGAAATATCAGTTGGGTTGATACCACGGCTTCTGTAAAACAATTATGAGGAAGGTCGTGGGTTTTGGTAAAGCTGTTAGAAGGTGCAGTTGTTCTAAGATTATCAGTACTGTAAGTTTCTCGTTCAACAGACACTCCCCAGATATTTACTATCAAAATTAGAAAAAATTAAGTTAATTCTTCAGACAGTTGATTTTACAACTGTTAAGGAACAAAGCCTATCACCAAAAGCTATAACATACAATATCGCATTCAATTCAAACTGCCTTGTACAAAATTTCATCTTATCAATTTACACGAAAAATAATCTTCCAGGAAGACAAAACAGAGAAAACATCTGGGTTGAATGAAACCCAAATCAAAATCACAAGCAACAAAACTTTCCCATGAACGGAAACAATGTAAAAAGTCTTCTGTGATAGTAAAACAATTGAGTTAAATAAATATAAATTTGTCAGAATATCATGAGTAGGTTGCAAGCACACCGGCGAGTCCATGCGAGATGGAACGTGTTGAGACATGCTGGAACATGCGGAATGTTTAGGCTGCCATCTCCAGCTGTTCTAAATCCTCCATCTTGGCCAGCGGCGCTTTACGCATCTGTGAACGGAATTGACATTTCAGTTGGACTTTGTCCTACAGGAAAAAGTATTTGATAAAGATACATCCTATATTTTATTGGTTGATGGAAGAGCAATTGGCTAAGGAATACACTAAGAAAAAATGGACACACAACTCAAAAGTGAGAATACTGGCATTGTTTGAAAGGTTTAAATAAGTTTGACAGAGTAAAATACTAGTTGAATTACAAGAGTGATTTAGTTGGTTCAAAGATTACCAGTTTTTTCCTCCTAAAAGGGTCAAATATCTAATTACTTGTGTTGTGAACTTTGCGAGTCTAATAAACTGCCTGGCATTTTTAGTTAAGCGAATTAGTTGTATATCCATTCCTACATTGGATTTAATTAAAACTTTATAGTCAAGAGTTCTTTAAGGACTACATTTTTTAAGATTTTTCAATTTACTTTATTATACATGTTTGTAAATAAAGTTATTAGTTTCAAACCTGCAATTCTGAAACAGGGGCCTATACTTTTGTATATTGACATTTTATAAAGCTTAACTTAAATTTAGTTCCCTTTTGTAGTAGGGGTGTGCGAATAGTGATTTTTAGGTTCAAATCGAATCAAATAAATTTTTACTATCCCGAATATCAATTATTTACAAGCGAATATTCTATTGAAGAGTTTTTAAGTTCAATTGAGTTCGAGATCAACTTAGGCAGCATGTTATGTATCTATAATAAAATGTAAGCCTACAAAAAATATAATTTATGTAATAAAAAATAAAAAGATATATGATTGTGTTTACTTATTTATATCACTGGTTCCTTTTTCCCCCACCATTAGTAATGTATCATTCATGACCAGGCCTTGGTATAGCAAGATTTTCAGTTGGTGATTTTTATATTTTCTGTTAAAATTCTGTATTATGAAAAATTGAATAATATTCTACAGTTATTTATGTTTAATAAATATTTTCTCAGTTAGTATCTTACAACGAGGACATAAAATAACAGACAACTCTGTCATATTTATGTTTGAACAAATTAAAATATTCAAACAAAACAGGAATTTGGTAACGAGATCTTTAGGTGTACATTGCATAAGTTAATAATAACGATAAATGACAAAAACAAATAATAAAAATCCTATTTGGCCTATATTGGATATCGATGGATTCCTCATCCATTATGGTTGTTCACTTGAAACATAAAACAAAATCACAAACTAACACAAGTAGGGATGAGTCCAATGTTTCCACACACTACACTGGTTGTTGCTACCACTTCAATCAGCCGACCATGAAGAAACTGTTTTATCGTACTGTATAACAGTTTCCCCTGCCGCTAATCAAGAAATAAAGAAATTCCAACCTCTATAAAATGAAAATACATTTTTTTGTCTATTTAGTTTATTTATTTAAACCTTACTTCCTCAACCATATCCTCATTTTATGTTAGGTAATAGGCACCTACTTGCGTAATAGCCGAAACAAAGTCGTCCATGTCCAAAAATTTGCATTAAGTGTATGTTATTTTAGATGAGTGAAGGAAAAAGAAAAATTATCACGGATGTTGAAATATATTTGGAGTAAGCTCAAGACGAAAGTACTGATGCTGTGACAAAAAAATTGTATCGATAGGCCTACTTTTTACCACGACAAAAATATATGCTACGCCTTTTTTTAAAGTAAAATTTCATTTAAAGCAAACAAAATAAGGTTTACACGGTTGTTTATTTTCCAAGTAAGCTGGTTGAACCATAGACTAAACACAAGTAGCCTTCTCATCCCATTGTAAATTATGAAGCTCGTTTTTCATGTCTAGTTCATGGTTGTTGTAGGTAACTTACACTTGTTAATTTTAAATTTGTTGATCGTTAGTATACTCTGTTATTACAATTTTAAATAACATATTAAATACTAAACATCAATTCAATCCACAATCGAGCGTCGATTAGGAATCGTATTGTCTAAATCGTCGTGCCGTCTGTCTTGTGTCTACACAGTACACACACACACGAACGCACTACGCAGACAAATACTATTGCGCCCATTGCAGTAGTAAAGGTTAAGTCAATACCGGCAATACGTGCTCGCACTACAACCGAAGGTAGCACTGAATGCAAGAATTGAATTGAGAGACGTTGGCTGACATATGTACTAGGGGAATAATACTTTGGAACTAGGAGATTGTTATTGCCAACAGCCAATGAGCTGATTGATTCTTCTAGTGGTACCAATAACAACATTTTACAGCGTCTCGATTTTCTAACAGAGTTGCCGTGCCAGTGATACCTCCATTTCGATGTTTTCAGTCTACGACTATTTTGTTTTGTAAAAAGCAAGAGCGGTTCCCTGATTCCGTTTGATTATCAGACTTGGATACGATAACAACTGAGAGCGCACGATATCTTTGGGCCAGCATGAACTAGGTAGAAAAAAAAAATTAGAACTCCGGTTGTCTAATTTAGAATTTCAACGAACAACGAAACATTGACCATGGCAACTTCCTTAAAAATATGAGTTTTTATATGAAATCGGTATTGAGAATCGTGAGTAATATTTCAGAACTGGTATCGAATCGAGAAATTCCGTTATCGGCCTATCCCTATTAAAATACAATTAATATTCAACTAGTACGTAATTCAAGTAGTCCAGTCAGCAGGTAGTTTTTGATGGAAAAAGGTCGGAAGTTAATGAAACTTGGGGATGTTGTTTAGGGATGATAAATCAGCATTTTCCCAAGTTTTGGACCTCGAGGACCCTGTGGAAAAAAGAGAGTGGGGAAAAAACTTTAAGCATACCTTACACTTTAGTAGAGCATTAAATTTTCTACAATTCTATAGTTCAAACATGTTTGTACGATAATTTGTTACCGAGCAATAGTACTTTTATTTTAATGTATTTTTTTTATCCACCAAAATATCCTTCATACTGTAGTTGTTTTTCTAAACCTCGTTTAGCAAATCAATAAAAGGTTACAGTACCTGCAGACTGCCTTGTGGGTTTTCTTAATCCAGTAGGATTACGCACGTTTCGGCAAATATATTGCCATCATCAGATCGAGAACTTGAAACTTAAAATCTTGATTCTTCGACATATATGGTCACGTCAGAGTTTAAATTCGTTAACACATACACAAAACGAACATTGAACTCATGTAGGCCTACTATTAAAACACCGAACAGGATATAATATGATGCAAGCATCTCTCTTGCCGAGTCTAACAAAACCCACAAGGCAGTCTGCAGGTACTGTAACCTTTTATTTATTTCACCAAAATATGCAAAAAAGCAGAATTCCAAATTATTTTTTCTATTACCCACAAATTATCAAAAAAATTTGTAGTAATTATGGTTCCTAGTTATAAGAACCATCTCTGGATACCCCCCCATATCCCACCTACCCCTCACTCACCTGGCCAAGGTGGCTTCCTACACCCCCCCCCCCTTGGTTCTACACTACCACAATATTACATTATCTTCTACGTATTATAGAATATTTCACAATTGTAATTGATTAGTATGTTTGTATATATACTATCACCATAACATCCATCAGTCTGCAAGGTTGTTAGATGTTTCTTTTCTGTCTTTACTAATTTTTGCCTTATATACTTTACCGTGTTGCCGCACTGCCGCGCTGTGTAGCTTACAGTTATATATTAGTTTTAGTCTCGTTTGGTTGGTAGCCTACCAGAAATGCTCTTCACGCGGGCTACGAAGAGCTATGGAGGACTCACTAGTGGACGCGGAGTAAGCGATTCTGTGCTTTCTATATGTACATTTGGCACGCTATGTCTTCAAAGCATTTGTGACCAAGTAGAATTTTTTGCTGGTGTACGCTCAGAGACATCTGAGCAACATTTAGACATGAGACCAACCTGTGTAGTGAGAGACAACATCGACATTGATAAACTGCTTGCATGGTTCACTAAACATCCCCAATTCCTTCTCATCCAGGAGATTTATTTGAGCACAGGAATCATTGGTCATGACGAAGTTAACCGTCACATAAGTTCTTAAGTTTGAACTCGACCCCTTCCCATATCAATCTTTACCGAGGAAGGAATGCGCAAGGGAAAAAAGTCTGTAATGTACACACTCTTCATTCCTATAGAGAAATTAACCCTTGTCAACAGGAAATGTAACGTAATTAATGGAGGATACCTAAAGGTATCCTTTGTAAAGAGTAGAGGTTACATAAAGTGATGTGGAACAAAACTCCTACAACCAAGTTTGAGATGCTGTGCTCTACGTACATCAACTACGTGCAGAGACATTTTCGGGGCCAATTGATTGTTGTATTTGATGGATACCCCAATAATGCTGGCTATAAAAGCACCAAAGCCGCAGAACGATTTCTCCGTACTGCATTAACAGTCAGCAACCAAAGTCGTGTTCTCCTCGTCTAATGTGGTGACTATACCACAAGAAAAGTCCTTGGCAAACAATAACAACAAGAGCGCATTTATTTCTATGTTGATGACACCAATGGTGGATGCTACATAGAAGTGAAGCAAGCATATGAGGACGGTGACGTGATGATCGTCGACACTGCCATATCCAAGGCTAGCGAATTCGACAGCATCGTAATTAGTGCTCAAGATTTATACACACTTATTCTGTTGACAGCATTATGAACCAACACAAATATCGTCTATCTTCATAAAAGCGGAAGAGGCAGATATTCCAGTGTCCACTACTCTCCAAGTTGCTGCTCCTTTCCTCCACGCAGTAGGTGGTTGTGATAACACCTCAGCTTCGAAGAGTAACTTAACATTATTATAACGTTCTACTCTGAGGATGAATTCTTTAACAATAAGCTACCGGACCATGGAAAAAGAAGGAAAAAAAATTCTAATTGTAATTGCAAATGACTATAATAGTTTATGTACATACTGTACATTTTATGTACCTGACGCATGAATGTTCTCTAGGAATATTTCAATAGAGATTTTGTCTATTGTCTAACTAATATCGATATCAACAAGATCTCAATATGGTTGGTTTTCATGGGAGAAGAAAATTAGCTTTTGATCATTTGGGTTGGGTTTGGAAAGGGTGGCCGGTAAGGTTGGGTGAGTAGGGGGAGGGTGTATCCAGAGATGGTGCTTATAACTTGGAACTATAATTACTACAAAGTTTTGTGATAATTGTTGTGTAACAGAAAAAATATGTTGGAATTCTGCTTTTTTGCGTATTAAAGTGGATAAAAATTGCAATAAACTTAAAATACTATTGCTCGGTAACACATTATCGTACAAACATGTTTGAACTGTAGAATTGTAGGAAATTTTACGCTCTACAAAAGTGTAACGTATGCTTTTTCGGTAGGAAGTCAGATAAAAAAGTTATTGAGAGAAAATAAAAAGATTGTCAAAAGTTCGAAGTTTTACTCCCACCCTCTTTTTTCTACAGGATCCTCGAAGTCCAAAACTTAGGAAAATGATGATTTATCATCCCTGAACAACATCCCCAAGTTTCATTAACTTCCGACCTTTTTCCATCTAACACATCTTTTTTCTACCTGCCGACTGGACTAAAGCCATGGCCTTGAGTTTTGAGACAGAGTTTGGCTTTGTTCTACAGCTATGCTGCTCTAGATTAACTCTGCTGCTTGCTGCTACACATTATTATAGAGCTGGCGGTGAGTCGGCGTATTCTGTCAGCGGTTTATTTTTTGTTGGTTAATCCGAATCTTTTCTTAGGATTCAAGGTTCGGATTCGGCTCATCTGAGCTGCCGTGCCTGTGTCGTCTCAGTTGTTTGTACTCTATTCTGCCGATCTTACGTATTCTTGACAGTAAACTCATAGTTGGACTTTAATATTTATTTAATTTACTCTTTTTTAGCTATGAAACAACATAAATAATAATGTATTAATTTGGAATAATAATTGATTATAACTTACTTTTAAATGATAGGTCGATAATTTTAATATTATATTCAAACTTCTAACCTATTAAGACATTTTTAATCAAATTGAATATCCCAAAATTTGATTTGAAAAAGTTAAAAGTTTGAATATTCACACACCCCTATTTTGTAGAGAAAGAGGATATACAATTCAGGACCTTGGAAATGTAAGATGGAGTTAACTTTTTAATATCTATCTTAATTTTGCTGGAAAGGGTACCTCATTTGGAAACCTTTTGCGGCTAACGATCGGATAATCCCAAACCAGTTGTTGAAAGGTAAAGATTTACCGCAAAACACCAACAACTGACACATTTTAAATTTACAAACTCATATTACTTATTGATGCATGAATGTAATAGTCCTACATTATTATTTTATAGTTACATTTAGAATTAAGAAAATTATACATTAAACCACATATCATTAAATATTTAATGGAAATGTTAATTAAATTACTACACTGATAATAAAATAGTTATATTAATATAACGGGGTTAGGGGTCATTTGTAGGTGCAAATTGTCAATGTATTTCAAAGCGTATTAAAAAAATACGATAATAAAAAATATTTTATTTTTATTAAAAATAAAAGGGTGATATAGGACTAATGGTTCAATTGTTTAAAAAAAAAAATCTATTTCCAACTGACACATATTATGGGCTATATGAATGTAGGATTTTCCAAAATGTTAATATTTTAGTGCTGGAGGTTAGTAATGATACAGATAAACCTACAACATTTAAAACACATAATTAACTTCATTGCTTAAACAAACAATATCAAATAAGCACAGCCATTAATATTTATATATAAATTAAAATTTACATTAGATTAAGGTTTTGACAACTTTAGTCTTGTTCATACAAACGTTAACAACATGATGACTGCAAAAATGGGGTTATTACTAATTATCAGTATTATTTTCTTCCTTGTTGACAAATTTCATGGCATTTAAAGCAGCTTCGTTCATCATTCAGATTTGGCACAAGCGAACAAACTAGTAAGAGCTCCAGCTTACTCTAACATCATTAATTACCTATTCAACTTGGCATTCGTTGTTTTTTGTTAGCTGTCATATTAAATAACTAGGCTACCCAACCGTCATGCCCTCAACCTTTCATGCACCTTTCAAGATCTAAACTGTAGTGTTAGTTTAAAAAAATTATCTTCCGTAAAAACATAAAACTCTCCATTACTGTTAAAATTACATTCTTTTCCTTAATTTGTCAAAAGGTGGTTTCTGTTTTAGTAAAAAAAGTAAAGGTGACAAGAGATTATACAAACACAAATTATCGAGTTAGTTTACTTAGTTAAATCTGATTAATCTTCCGATTTTATTACCAACAGACCCAAATTCAACTTGCTGTATGTAAAAAACAAAAACAAACCACATAATAGTCTACAACGATTCATAGACTCATATAATCCGCCTAAATCAGGGACAGAAGTTAGGTTAGGTATGGTTATTTCCCGTGCACCCAAGTCATGCGGTAATAGTGCTCAAACGAACCACCATCTCTAGAGAATACCTCTGCTAACATATGGCCTCCGTCCTGTATAGTGGGTGTAGAGGCTCGTTCCGGGGCTACAATACAACACACATGCTCAGCACCTGCCACTACGCCAACACTAAATTTCCCTTCACTAAAACTATCTATAAGTGAATTGTCGGCTAAGAGTCTAATTCTAACCAGTTCTTCAGCTAATTTGAGAAGTTCTCTTAAGTAACTTAACAAAAACATTTGTCTCTAACCAGGAGACACTTTCCAAATTCTATTGCCACTTTGTCCGGAGGCCTTTTGGAACTTTTACCAATAACTATTTTTAACGGTAAAACTTAGAAAACCTAGGAATCATCATGTTAAAAATTTTCTAACTGAACCAATTGTTTATACAAAAATATATTCTTAAAAATTTTGATCTTAAAAATTTGATATTTGATTTTTAGAGGAGCTTTCCTCATTAACTTTTAGGTTACTCACTTAAATTGACTTCAATTTACCTACATTTAGTTTAGCTAACTAGAGTCTATGTCTATGCCATACTAATCAAAAATATATAAACTTATGTTCTAAACAAGACTGTCCATAAAAAAATAAAAAATAAATGTAAACCTTAATTTCCATCAGCAGAATTTTTCTATAAACACATCTTCTGTATAAAAGTTGTGATAAATATACAATTTTATAAAGTGCTCTAGGCTCTAAGCTATGTGATTTTAGTAATATTTTAATACTAAATCATTGTCAGAAGTGAGCAAGTGCCGGGATCTTAAAGATTAAGACACTAAACTATTACGATAGAATATTTAGAGATCAATGAACAGTATCTAATTCTTTTACGAGGATACTTCTTTAAAACAGAAAACACAAATATTTGTGTAAACTGAAGACATATATTTGATCAGCAATCTTGATGTGCTCTTGCTTTGCTTCTAATGTTATTTTTGGGCGGAATACTACAAGCAACTACAAACTGTTAACCATAACACGATAACCATTCTATCTTAGGTTGACATGTGCAGGGACTATATGGATAATAAAAATAACTACAGTATCAATATACAGTACTTACAATTTTACTTATTTTTATTAGGTAACTTTTATTGGTGCAAAATAACATAAATCCAAAGATCCTACACTACAGTCTTACTTGCTTTTACTATATAACTTGCCTTAATAAGCCTCAATTTGTAATGCCTTGTTTGGTATATTATAACTTAATAATTCCAATAAATCAGACCCCCCTTACACCCTTTGATAAAAATATTTACTCTGAAAATAAATGATACTCGATAAAATGCAATGATTCCACAGTCGAGAGCTATGTTAGAAAATCACAACTGAACACAAAAAAAATAATTGTGCAGCATTGTACCTCACTTAATTTATTAATTTTTAGAAAACTGTTTGGCCAATCGTAAAAAATATAGAAATAGGTCTAGAATAGGAAACTTTAATTTAATAACCTTTTTGCTTCTAAAATAATTTCAAATGACCTAAATACAAAAACTTTGGCAACACTTATTGCAGTCAATTTGGAAAAACAGAAATGTATATATAATTTGAAGTATCAATTTTTATCACCTTTTTACGATATTGTTATTGTTCAACCAAATTGAAGCTTGTTATAGCACCAATAGTTTGGCGTTACACTCTTTGCATTGCAACACAAATACACTATTTAAAAAATAAGAGAAATTGACAGTCAAGAAAATGTAACTCACTCTCGGACGTAGGGGTGATGAGCGTGGTCTCATTGGTGGTGATGACAGTGGTTTTGACCACTACAGACTCTGTGGTTGTCTCGAGTTTGGTCATCTCTGTCGTCACGATCTTGCTGCCCTCCTCCTGTGAGGTGGAACTGGAAAACGGGAAAATTACGTTTGAACAAGAGTGTTGAGTTAGTAAGTGGATTGTTATGGCGATAGCAGGCTTATATAGGATGGTAAAGATTGCATCCTGGCATAAGGAACACAAAAGCATACACGTTTACTAAAATATTTCACTGTCACCATTGAAGTTAAAATCATCTTTCTTAACTCAAATCTTCCTTAATCGGAATTGGTATCTCGATCAAATATTGGATATATTAGTCATTGTACAAAATTAACTGTAACGTAACGCTTTGAATATTTGATAAAAATGGGAAAATACCTTGAAATTTATAGGCTAATCATTAAAATGATTATTGAGTGAAATGTAAGTGTATAGATTAGTGATGGTCGGATCCGGATATCGGACTACGGGATCCGCCGGATTCGAGCTAGAACCGGCACCGGATCGGATCCAAAAAATTCCGGATCTTGGGCTGGATCCGGTTTTGATAGATCCAATTTTTTTCGATTTTCCCCGATTTTTTTACTAACACAAAGCTGTCTGTATCCATGTAAAAGACCGAATTTTTCCCGATTTTTTACTCAATGTCACAGTGCTGTATTTTACGACGTCAATAACCTCTATAGTTAGGCAATGTCACAGTACTGTACATTACGACGCCAATAACCTCTATGGTTGTGCAATATCACAGTACTGTATATTACGACGTCAATAACCTGTATGGCTGGGCAATGTCACAGTACTGTATATTACGACGTCAATAACCTGTATGGTTAGGCAATGTCACAGTATTGTATACTACGACGTCAATAACCTGTATGGTTGGGCAATGTCACAGTACTGTATATTGCAACGTCAATAACTTGTATGGTTAGGCAATGTCACAGTACTGTATATTACGACGTCAATCAAATCAAATAAAATCATCCTTTATTCATAATATACAATATATACATGAATAGTGTCCATTATTAAGAATACCAACATAAAAATAATATAATACATAAAATAACAATAACCTGTATGGTTACACACTGTCATAAGGGCTTGTTAAAAAACCGTAATTAACAGAATGCCAATTAAAATCATACTGTATAAAATTAAATTGGTTATGTTTAAAGGTTAATATATCTTATATATAGAGTAATCTCCAGTTGAGCCTACAATCCCTCATTTTTTGGGGACACTAAAACTTTTCCAAATCTTAAAATGAAACTATTAGTTGATGACATTAGTTGGGCAATGTCAATAACCTGTATGGTTGGGCAATGTCACAGTACTGTATACTACGACGTCAATAACCTGTATGGTTAGGCAATGTCACAGTATTGTATATTACGACGCCAATAACCTGTATGGTTGGGCAATGTCACAGTACTGTATATTACGACGTCAATAACCTGTATGGTTAGTCAATGTTACAGCACTGTATATTACGACGTCAATAGCCTGTATGGTTAGGCAATGTCACAGTACTGTATATTACGACTAGGGATGTGTCGAATCCGGATCTCGAATCCACTGAATCTTAAGAAAAGATCGAGATTCGAGAATATATATTTTTTAGAATAGAATTATGAGGCATATACTGTAACATTGACTAACCATAGAGGTTATTGACGTCGTAATATACTAGGGATGGACGAGATTGGATTTTTAGTTCGAGACGAGACGAGATTTTTTATTTCTCATAAAATTTCAAGACGAGATCGAGACGGGATTTCCCTTTTCATACACAACGGGAAATGCACGTTCAAAATTTTTACCTGATTTTGTAACATTGTTAGATGACTGTTTAAATACAAAAATAATGATAAAAGGCAAGAATATTTACAATCTTTTATTAAAAAACGTCAGCATAACATTTTTTTATTAATCACGCCTAACTTATTAAAAATGCCTACGATTAGGAAACATAGTGATATCAGTTAGGATAGAGTTCAACTTATCCTAAAATAAAATAAATCATTAAATAAAAGCAATATTAATTTTTATAAAATAGTTACTTGTTTTGACTTTTTATAGTAATAAAACATTCCTCACACTGCTTACACTTAACAAAACTTCTCAAATGTTATTAAAGTGATATTATTAAAATAATTAAAGTAATATTTACATTTTTTAAAGAATTAATTAAATAAGAACGCCTTCGCAATGGAAACGCAACTACAACACGCTCCTGTATTGCGGGTATTGCATTGACTTTCTGCAGGCGTTTTAAATTTTTTTTTTTTTATTCTCGTCTCGATAAAAATCTCGGCCAAAAAGAAATCTTGTCTCGTGTAACGAGATTTAAAATTTCCCGAAAATTCGAGACTTGACCATCCCTACAGTACTGTGACATTACCCAACCATACAGGTTATTGACATTGTAATATACAGTACTGTGACATTGCCTAACCATACAGGTTATTGACGTCGTAATATACAGTACTGTGACATTGCCTAACCAAACAGGTTATTGACGTTGTAATATACAGTACTGTGAGATTGCCCTACCATACAGGTTATTGGCGTCGTAATATACAGTACTGTGACATTGCCCATCCATACAGGTTATTGACGTCGTAGTATACAATACTGTGACATTGCCCAACCATTCAGGTTATTGACGTCGTAATATACAGTACTGTGAGATTGCCCTACCATCCAGGTTATTGGCGTCGTAATATACAGTACTGTGACATTGCCCATCCGCATCCATACAGGTTATTGACGTCGTAATATACAGTACTGTGACATTGCCCAACTAATATCATCAACTAACAGTTTCATTTTAAGATTTGGAAAAGTTTTAGTGTCCCCAAAAAATGAGGGATTATGGGCTCAACTGGAGATTACTCTATATATAAGATATATTAACCTTTAAACATTACCAATTTAATTTTAAACAGTATGATTTAAATTGGCATTCTGTTAATTACGTTTTTTTAACAAGGCCTTATGACAGTGGTTATCTGGATCCGGATCCGGTACCGACATTTTCTTGGATCCGCCCATCACTAGTATAGATGCAATGTACAATTACAATTTAGTAGCTTTGACTTTCAGACAAAATAAAATTACATTTTCAAACAATTTTTTCGGTGGCTATTTACAGCAATTGGTGCCTAAGGTGCTTCAAAATGAAAACACCAAGGTGACCGATTTAGTTATGACAATTAAATTTGAAACAGAACAATGAAGCTACAAAGATTGCAGTGATCCACAAAAGGTTGACAACATATGTAACCTATATTATCGTAGTCATCGCAACGATGCAGGACAGGAGGTAAAAAAAGACGACTTACTTGACCATATGGTCTTTGACAGAGTCTATGGTGATGTCCCCCACACTGCTGAGGTCCAGATGGTTAAAGGTTCCTTCAGTCTCTGGCAAACCATTCTCCTTGATCTCCACTACCTGTCCTTGTCCTGCAACCCAAGGTACATTCACATCAGTTATACCAAAACTTAGAGGTGAAGGAGTTCTTTAAATTTTCTTTCCCTTGCTTCATTTTTCCACTAGGCAGTACACATGTATAGGTAGTAGGTACCATATATTTTTATAATTTAAATCAGCTGTTTACTACTTAACAATTTAAATGCAAATAGAAATAGGAATTTGTGTTGTGATCAACAGTATCATTTTACAAACTCGATAAATTATTCCTGCCCTTGGCTTTGCCTTGTGCATGAAACTCGGTCTCATGTGGCTTCCCATTGGACATGAAATTTTGTGTTTTTGTGTGAAGAAAAGCCAAGCACAAGAATCCTGAGCGTGCACTGGACAATGCCACTTTCGTTACTTGAAAGTTGTAACCTTAAACATCCCAGCTTTTAAACATTTTAAATACAGCAAAAAGAATTACTAAGCTGCATACTCTGTTATGGAGCAAAGTTGTGTCTTTTCTAGAAGAAAACTACGATCATATATTTACAAAACAAAATAAAAGTGAAAACTGTCAAAAACAAACGCATGCACTACAACGACAGGCAGAAAGATAAGACTATTGACCAACCACTACCACTGACTGCATAATACTCACTGTACTAGGCATGTTCAATACGTGAAAATTCAGGGTTACTTTAAAAATCTTTTGATGCTTTTTACAACAAAATGAATGATTTTTGAAACGGGTATTGGTTATTGTAATTGCCAAAGATGATCTTGATATTGTCATAATTTTGTGAGAGATTGATACGTCACTCATCACTATTACTGATGCAAATAGTTCAACCTAATTTTAAATCATATCTGATCCAGTAAAAAGAAAAATTGTTAAAACTTGTATTGAAGCAGTTAATTAAGCAAAAAGTTTTTGGAAAATATATGGGGTTTATTTAATTTCCCTTTATTACATGAGTTTATTGACAACTTTAGGCTTACATTTTTACATTTCCTAAATTATGGGGGGAAATAAATAATTTTCGCAGTGCCAATGTTAAAAACAATCTTGCCCATCCCTATATTTTACACATGCAAACTTTATTAAACTATAAAAACATATTAATAATACTGGTTCTAGCTATTCTATACTAGGTCACACCTTCAACCGATTTAAAATACTACCTTACCTTTCCCACTCACCAAACACCAAAAAAGTTTTGAACCCATCCGAGGATTTAATCACTTCCAAACGATAGACTTTCTACTTAAAATCCTTCTTTCACAACCACTGATAATTTTTATAAAATTGAATTTTAGCATTCAAAATAACAGTTGCATACAATTAAAAATTTTTGAGAAAGTACAAAAAAATTGGATCTAGATTCGATGACATTTCAAACATAATTGACCCCTATCTTCACAGTTGACTATCCTTCCATTACAGCTATCTATGATTCTTCCTCTAACCTCTTGATTAACAGTAATAATAAGGGATTCAATGATTTGTTTTACCTCCTGCCAGTGCTAACAAAACATACATTTGGTCCTTACAAACTGTAAAAATCACAACAGTAACTACTAGTACTCAGTGCCGGTTTTACCACTAGGCCGATTAGGCCGCGGCCTAGGGCCGCAAGCAATAGTGGGCCGCAGAGGATTGAGAAAAACATTTTTTTAGATTAAAAAAATATTTTAAACCACCAGTTTGCCGCGATCACAGGTGACCATAATGATGTCTCAGCAAACCGAGGGACCGTAACGATGTTCACGATTTTGCCACGGCCGTGGGTACCGGTGATGATGTACCATCGTAGTATATTTTTAATATACTTCGATGTGATGTACCCGTGATTGCGGCCCCGGGAAATGTTCACGATTTAGCCGCGGGTGCCTGTGATTATGTACCATCGTAGTATATTTTTAATATACTTCGATGTGATGTACCCGTGATTGCGGCCCCGGGAAATGTTCACGATTTAGCCGCGGGTGCCTGTGATTATGTACCATCGTAGTATATTTTTAATATACTTCGATGTGATGTACCTGTGATTGCGGCCCCGGGAAATGTTCACGATTTGGCCACGGTCGCGAGTGTTGAGGATGATGTCTCTTTGTTGCAGTCCGCGGGGGGTGTTAAAGATTTTGCTGCGGTTACGGATACCTATGATGGCTTTGACTTAGTTTAGGAGAAATGTCCACGATTTCATCCACAATCACGGGTGTCGATGATGATGTCCCCTTGATCCATAGGAGATATTCACGATTACTTCCGCGATCGCAAGGAATTTCCACCACAGGGGGAGGGCCGCTCAAGTAATTTGGCCTAGGGCCGCAAGTACCCTAAATCCGGCACTGCTAGTACTAATAATACTGCTGTTGCTGTTGGTACCCAAGGGTACCTCTTGGTGCCACAGCTCCTACGACCAAACCGGGTTCCATCTCCTCTTCTGCGTCGCTGTCTCCCACAATCGAGGCAAAACTGTGAACATCGACAGTGATCTTGGCGAAATCGCCAATTTTAAAAAGCACATCTTTATAGACCCTTACAGCAATTCCCAAAATAAAACATTGGCTCAATTTGACCTAAGATTGGCGCAAAAATCATTTCCAGCCTGAACAGTTGAGTTGACCCAACCCAAAAATATCATGGACCTGCAAACCCCTACTTGTAGCAAGCGAGAATGATAGTTTAAGTGTGAAATCCAAAACAGTAAGACAATACAAATTCATAAAAATTAAACGAAATATGGTGTTCAAACAGTATCTACAAAAAACCTTCCGTCACCACTCCCAGCTGAGATTCTACTCTTCCACCGGATCTCCCACCACCTCCGCAACTCCTACGACCAAACCTGTTTCCTTCTCCTCTTTCTCCTCCTCCGCGTCGCTGTCGCTGCTAGAGCTAGAACTAGACGACGAGTCACTGCTAGACTCACTGTCACTAGACGAGTCGCCCTGGTCTAGTCGCTGGGTCGCCCTTGCGTGTGGAGGCAGCTCCAGACCGCAGTGAGGCGCTGTGTGTCGCGTAGCCGACACTGAGAGTCGCTGCATCTCGCTGCTGGAGTGTAGATAGACTGCTTCCCCGTACCGGGTGAACACCAATGACGAGATGCCACTGGAAAACATGTGATGAACCGTTAAAAACAAATTCAAAGAAAGTGATCAAAGTGTTTTCATTGGATATTATTCTATACCTACATGGACGCAAGTTGTGGAGCTATGTTTTTTCAACAACAGTATTTGTTGAGATGTGATGGATAGGAGTTGACTTTGATTCACAACTTTGATTTTATAAATAATAAAATTTCTAAACCGACAATCATTCTCTGGTGACTCACTTGATATCTTCTCTGCGAATCACTGCAGCGTTGATCTGCCGCCTCAGCTCTGGCAGGCTCAGTACAATTACATCTCCGAGGTTGGTGAGACACAAGAGGCAGGTTTCCGAGTGAGTTGTCGTGGAAAACCTAACAAAAGACAATCAGGTTAACATAAATATTCAAGAGATTATTGCACACATTTTCCATAACGTTTCATAAAAAACAAGGTATTTAACAACTTTTGGGGTTTCGAATGTGATTTTGTGTTCATTTTTCATTGGACCGTTATTTACGATCCTTTTGAACATCCGAGCCACAATAACAAGAACTGTGGTCAAACTAAATTATAATGGCAGATTTAGAAATAACAACTGTCGTGTCATAATATTTGCATCACCATAAGCAAAGTTTGCTACCTTTATATAAGAAAAAGGTCTTGTCTTGTTAAAATGAAATTTTATAAATGTATTCTATCAATTTTGTATTTAATTTCCTAGTTTTTTCTTCATAGTCCACTACACAAGAAAACCCCTTTACATACCTAAATTGTGAGTATATAAAAATGTCTGGTAAAAAAATTACCTTTGACCTTACCTGGCTAAAGCAGTACGTCGCACCCTGGCTCCTTCCCCTGCTGTTAACTTCAGTTTACACAATGGCTTTAGGGATGGCAATGTGAATATCTACAACAATTATAATTTAGTTAAAATGCTATACGGGACCAATCATGAAACATTCAGGTTAAAGTCTTTAGTAATAATACTTACGATGCCGTATTCCAATACTAAGGAGAAGAGAAATTGGAGAGAGATTGGAACACAGATAAACACAGAATTCACAATTCACTGTAGCTGTTTCACAAGTTTGAAGCCCTGATAGCAAAATAATAACTTGGGTAACATAATGATTGCGGAAAATGATGACGATGTCTACAAGATCTTAGTAGATGTCCAGGATTTCAATGAGTTAAGGTATTCTTAGATTTTTAAGTTTAACCATAGACTAAGCAACACAAGTAGACTCCTCATCCCATTGTACATTTTGAAACATGTTTTTTTTGTGTATAGTTCATGTACATCCACATTGATCACTGGGGTGAACGGAATTTTGTTTCTATTATTTTATTTGTGCTTTACTATTTGGTTATATAACTAGACCAGTTATTGTTTATGATTATATTGTTTTATTTGGTTAAATGAGGTTTTAAATGACTTAAATAACAAAATACAAATTGTAAACAAAACACTACTTCTACAGTTGGACGTACAGAACTAACAATAAAATTGGCTTCAGCTGTTCCATAAGGATGACAGATCTGTTTAACCATCTATAGACTTAAATTGCTTGGAATTTTCTCATTTTGACTTCAACCTAAGAAAAAACATAGAAAAATGAAGGTAAAACTTTCCCTCTGCTACCTTAAAAAAACTAAACATCCTGGTTTCACGGACAAATTAAAAACGTATAAATATATAATTTACTTTAGGAATTTTATTTTTATTTTTGTAAACATTGTAATTCTTTCTTGTTTTCAATTGTATACATACTTGACTTCAAATTGGATACAGTAGATGTTCGTGAAGTAAAATTCATTTATTAGAGATTTTAGGTTTTCCTAAGAAGAACCATGCTCCTATGTGTATATACAAGTGAACCAAACGGGATGAGAGGTAGACATCCTAGCTTTACACTACTATAACCAACAGCCCTTACCTTAATTTGTTCCTCTGATGTGATGATGACCCTGTGTAGAGGCACTGTGTCACAGACGCGGCCCTCCACTTCATTATACTCCCCGTCTATCACGCTGACTGCGATCACCGGCGCCCTGTGTTTCAACTGGATCTCTTTACCTGCGGACAAAAACAGTTGTAATTTAATGCAGTTGCAGTATAAAATTTTACAATGTTAAATGACGATGAAAAATATCCATTTAGCAACTGTTTATTACTTTCTTCCCCTAAACATAGTATGTTAAGGAATTGTTTTTGTTAAAATTTTGAGATTGAGTTTTGGTTTGGAAGTATCCATTTTGTCTATCGTAGATTTGTGGGAGCAAACATTTATTTAGTATTCTTTTCACACATAAGATGACTCACCTAGTTGACAACCTACAGCTTCTTCGCTTCTCTTGTTCCCCGCAGGAACTGAGATCGTAAACACGTAAACTGTTCCGTTGTTGGTCCCCGCCCACAATGTAGGCATAACACTTTGGACTGCAACAAAAGAAAAACACTGAAGATACAGAACAAATTTAGTTACAATCATACAACCTTTTGGTAAAAATAAATGACAAGACAATATGTAACCATCTGAAACAACAGACAAAAAAAACCATTTTCAACACCAAATCAATTACTTAGTTTAAAAAAGTTAATTAGCTTAAAAGTCAATAGCTTAGTATAGCCTAAAATGAATTAATTTGCACAGATTGATACACAATATAGCCTACCTATCCATGAACAAACAAACTACAACAATTTACTTAGCCTATACCCATAAAAAAACATGAGAATTTTGAATTTACATTTCTTTGAATTTTCACTGTAACATAAATGAATAGGCTAACATAAAAAAAAACACTTAAAAATATTAAATGATTTGCACATATTTTTTTTATACAAAATGGTTTAGAGAGAAATTGGGAAAATTTCACTAAACTTAAAAAAAAATAATTATTCAATAATATTTACCCCATTTGCATGGTCTTATCACTGTGGTTCACAAACTACCTTGAATAGGTGATATGTCTACACATTTTTACACATCTATTTATGTCTACACATAAATATGTCTACACATTACTACCAAATTTAATCGAAAAAAAAGGATAATTTATACTCGAGTTATTGTGCTAGCAGACACCACATAATTGAATCTGAACGGATTGTGTTTTTGGCATCTGAGGACATAAAAATGAAAAAAGTTTATCAGTCTTGAGTCTACGCAAGGCCACACTAAAAAAACAGGCCGTAATGCTCGTCAAGCATGACGTCACGATAGAAGACGGCAATGACGTTATGATTGCGGTTTGTCAGCTGCTTGTTTTAATCTTTTCAACAACATAACATTACGTCATTGCCGTCTTCTATCGTGACGTTATGCTTGACAAGCATTACGGCCTGTTTTTTAGTGTGGCATTGGTCTACGGTAGTAGCTCATTCCCGATATAAAAAATTTGCTAAAACCAAATATTGGAGGTATAACAAATGCATCTTGCACCTGAGTCATTCTTACCGCTGATGATGTAGGTCTTAGCAAAGGTGAGACACCGCACCATACTGCCAAGCGCATCGTCTACTGGTCTGGCCTCTACGGCTCTCTCTACAGGCTTGGCCTCCGCGGGGGTAGTGGGTGTAGTGACAGCTGTTCCCGGGGAATCCACCACCACCTCCACGGGCCTGTAACATAACATAGCAGAGATTAGAACACATTTCGATCAATTAGTCTCGATTGTCTGACCTACACTGGCCTAGGCAACGTCAGATAATGCAAAAAGATAAGATATCATGGAAAATATATAAAACCATCGTATTCATAACGAATGTAATTAATTTAAAATATCTTTTATGCCAGATGGTCAAAAGGGGTTTCCACTACACTAGATCATGCAAAGGGAGGGTCTGGTATTACAAATGAAGTTTAGATGGTTAGATAATGAGAACTTAATAAACGATTTCTATTCAAATACTTTAAGTTAACAGATTCCTAAAACTCTTTTCTCTTTCATCCTTGCCACAGCCTATCATTCTTCTTGGCCTATGTTTAGAGGGGAAAAATACCCAACCACCCAACAACTCCCAGATTCTTTCCCAGTCCCAACTTACCGTTTCTCTCGCCTGTCCGTAGGGGTGGGAGATTGTCCCCCTCGTTTATCTCCCTGTCTCCCTGATCTTCCTTTCCTCAGTCGTCTAAATGACTCTCGTAAAGACTTTTTGAAAGACTTTCTTCTTGAGATCGGGGCATCCCCAATGCCTGAGAGATCTGAAAGAGAAACATATTTTGTTTTAAAAATATGAAGTATTAGATCATAAGAACCTTTTAAATTTCATGATGGCATGACCTCTGGATCATTTAATTAACTATATAGTGGTTTAAATTACCTTGTTACTGTCAAAACGATACTTTGTAGTTTGTAAGACTACAGCGGTTTAATGCTTCAAATGGAGCACATCATCAGGTCGGAAGAATGTCATGTAGTCTTCATTGGACATTCCTCGTAGAGGAGTTCGTCAATGTTTTAATAAATAATAGGTTACCTATTTTTGTTACTATGTTTTGTTGTTACCTTTTTATTATTAAACTGTTGACGAACTCCACTACGAGGAATGTCCAATGAAGACTACATGACATTCTTCTGACCTGATGATGTGCTCCATTCGAAGCATGAAACAGATGTAGTCTTACAAACTACAAAGGATCGTTTTGACAGTAACATGGTAATTTAAACCACTTAATAACCTTTTTAACACTAACTTTCCTTCCAATCAAATTTCAGTTAAATTAGGATACCAGACGGGTAAATGAATTAATGGAACATGCAGCATAATCATAATCATGTTTATTAGCACATAATGTACAAAGTTTACAGATAAATAAATGTACCAATGTTTCATCATATTCTTTTTATAATAATTATCATAGTCCTTTCTTAGAACTTACAGTTTTTAAAATATTTACAAATAATTTGTTTAAATGTGCAGCAGTAAAAAAGCATTGACACAAGAAGATTTGTTTTTCTCTATTACAAATTGTTTAGGTCTATGTTGTTTTATATTGCAACACAATATGTCCAATTTCAATCAAAATAACAGCCAAAATATTGAAATCTGCGTCCTCTTCCTCTATCTATACTAATGTAAAAAGAAGCAAAACAGATGTTGTGTGCAATCTCTATTAAACTCACCAATACCATCCATCAACTTCCACCCAAGTATGATACCATTTGTTTAGGTGGGAGTGTTCATCATAATTTTGTGTGTTTTAATTTTCATAATTAATTGGTCTAGAAATAGGCTCTTCAACGTTTTGACAATAGACGTTTGTGAAACAAAACAAAACGGTATGTAAACTACATTTAAAAGGTTTGATTATATAATTACCTAAACTTGTATTAAAGTTCAATGTAAATGTTACCCATTGTGAATTTTAGGTTAGGTTTTCACTATCCATGAATTTTAATATCCATGATTAGTCAGCAAATTATCGAAAATAATGGGAGTCTTCTGTGATTTCCAAAAACGATAACACAAAAGCCTTTTCCTCACCATGAGGGTTGAGTGTACACTTGAACGTGACAGATACGAATCTCTGGTAGTCGTAGAGCGCCAGGCCGTGCGCCGTCCCCACAGCCACTAGTCCCCAGCCTGTGTGTGACGCCAGCGCCGTCACAGCTGCGGGCGGATGTAGTTGTAACACTGACTCTACCTACAACAAACACTTTTGTTGTATTGCAAATACAAATATTACATAGGTTGTCTGCTTATAATACTACCATTTAGGGGTGTGCAATGCATCGAAAATGCATCGAAATTTCGATTTGATGCATCAAATCGCGATTCGATTCAGTGGTGGTCAAAAAACGATTCGATTCATGAGGGAGTCAGTATCCATATACGAAAAACTCCTGCAGAAAGTCAATGCAATACCCGCAATACAGGAACAACGCAATACATTCTTTGCATTAAATATAGCTTTAATTGTTTTATAATTTTTTGTTTTGACATTGCAAATGATGAGAGGTTTAGTTTTTTCTCTTGATGTAAGCAGTGTGAGACATGTTTTCTACTGTAAACCTTACCAAAACAAGATAGGCTACTCCAAAATAATTCTAAAAATTAGTCTGAAAAATTGTTACTTAATACTTAACTAGCAAGATTGATGTTTTAGACTGATAAATTTTGTATTTTTGTTAGGGGTCTGCGGGTCCCCGAATTTTCCGGGTCAGGTCAGAGAGCGCTTGGGTCAGAGATTTGTTCCTCGGGTCAGAGATTTGTTCGGGCAAAAGAAAAAAAAAGAATAATTTATTTCCAAAGAAACACTCTTATATTATTATATCTATTATTACAGAGGAATTAAAATGTTCAAATGAGAATTAAAGATTAAGTTGGCTCACGACCTTTAAGAATAAAGACACAACAGAGCAATTGCCGCACTGCCACTAGCTAGAGCCAGTCTAGTCGTCTACTGACAAGAGTGACAAGACAAAAGCCGTGACGCAACACTAACAGTGCAAAAAAAAACAAAGTCAAAAGAAAGACTATTTATCCAGACATACTAGTTTAATCATTTATTGTTTATCCCATACCTAATTAAAAATATATTTTTGTATTTTACATAATAAATTATAAACAAAATAAATATCTGATATAGTGAACAGATCTGTATCTTGGTTAGATGGGGTTTAAAAAAAGATATTTCTAAGATCCTATACAATATTTACAACTCACAAATTACAATGAATTAATTTCTTTGAAAATTATCTGTAACAGTTTTGTGTTTTTTAATAAAGAAATATATTTTTTTGTCTCTACTTCCTTGTTTCATCACTTGCATTTTGTCAGCAATTGAAGCAACCGGGTAGCAACCGGGTGGTGTAAGAGGGGTGGGGGAGGGTCTATGACCTTGAATGCACACATCTTGGCTGGTGAGTGATTCATTGTTTTTGTTGACATACCGGTACTACTACCCTCCCTTCAGAGAAAAAGACCCTGCTGTTCCAAAAACATTGAGGGTAGTTTAAAAACATTGACCTGTGTTGCTAAGGGCACTAGAAATTAGCATTTAACTTTCTTATCTCTTGATTTAATATTATTTTAATCTTCTATATATTATTTAAGAGTTACTTTTCGGGTACCTAATTAATTGTGATATTGTTTGGCTTTATTTTATGGATTTTTAATTCTTTTCATTCATTAGCTATCAAAATCAGTTGTTTTAGGATTTTAATCTCTTGCAGTAGGTCTACACTACTGTATGACATGATATGCATTTTTTACAGCCCTTACTAATTATACCATAAACAATGTTTGTGTGTTATTTACTGTTTTTGAGTTTTATAGTAAATTAGTTTACACAATATCTTTTCTTCAATGAGTTCTCCACTTGTCATGTTGCTTAGCCTATTACTATTTAAGCCCTATAAAAAATAATGCCTATGTAAAGCTGTAGGCCTACTGATGCCAATAATAGATAATTCTTTATTTATTTGTAAGTGTGGGGTTATTACTAAGGAGGTTAGGAGGCAGGGAATGAATGTGAAAGATACATGTTGCATGGTGGAAAAATATTATTTTTATTTTCTTCTTGCTTGCAGTCCTGAAGTTGGTCCACAGGCCTTAAACTTGTGATATGTTAATTGATTTGTTAATGGTCTTTTTATATTAAGTTCCATTCAAATTTGTTGTAATTTAGCTACCTATTTAGTTATTTAAACAGTTATAAAAATGAGAATGAATGTCTTGATAAACAAAATTATTTTCTTCTTTCTTGCAGTTGAGCCAATTCCAAGTAAAAATTATGAAATAGGCAAGTAAAGCAGCTCACTGGTATTTCCAGCAATACAGGTTATTCTAATATATGATTTAAAATAAATATTTTTCACCTAAAATTCATATGTTAAGTATGAATAGGCCTAATACCACATCAACAAAAATTTGTATTACACAAATGTGGTAAATTTTAATTATTTTTAATCCACTCAATTGACAATTATGAATAGAAAAATACCGTATTGCTTCGAATCGAGTTGCATCGAATCGAATCGAAAATCTTTTGAATCGAATCGTTGCTTTGAATCAAAAAAATTTTGCTGCTTCCCATACCCCTACTACCATTCAAAATGTACTGCTGTGTAGTGTGTAGAACAGTAGTTGAATTTATCTGATCTAAACAGGCCCAGACAAGGTCGGATAGGCAACTCATACAAGACAGAAAACATGGAAATTACATGCGATTTCATGGTACTCCAGCATCCTAAAGGAGGGTCAACATAAACACAGGTCGGTCGGTTAAAGTAACTCTACTCTATTGTAATAGTACATTACACTATAAGACCGGGAAGTAGGCGTTTACTGCAAGAGCAAAATTTTCTCGTGCGAGGCTTGCCAAGTGTTTACCCTTCTCCAGCTGTGTTTACTATACTCCCACTGTGTATACCGTACTCCAGCTGTGTTTACCATACCCCAGATAATGTTTACCATACTCCAGCTGTGTTTACCGTACCCCAGCTGTGTTTACCGTACTCCAGCTGTGTTTAACGTACTCCCCCTATGTTTAATATACTCCAGCTGTGATTAACGTGCTCCAGCTGTGTTTACCGTACTCCCGCTGTGTACCGTGCTCCAGCTGTGTATACCGCACCTATTACAGCTGTCTTTACCATACTCCAGCTGTGATTACCATACTCCAGCTGACTTTACCGGTCTGTAAACAACGACTTTCTACTCTAAAAAGAGTACAGAACGAAGCTTTTTACTGTGTATTGTGGGCAAAAAAAGGATCGTATTTAGATAAGTAAACATATACCTATAACTCTTCATTTTCAAAGTTAATGTTTAACAACAACTTACCTGGTATCCAGGACCCCAGTCCACGCTTTCCCTCACTCCAAGCTTCTCATGGCCTTTCCAGACAAACTTATCTCTGTCACTGACAATGTTGAGCGATGTGACCTGGAAACAGAAGACAATGGTAAGTTGGAGCAAACAAATGTCATGTTCAAAACAAAAATACATGAGCTGTAAATTTACGATTTTGTGCTGATTATTTAGAAGGGACAGTAATGATAAAGATCTTAGGCATCTTAGGCATGAGCTCTATGATTTAGAATCAAAGTATACTATTTAATATACCGGTAATGGATTTGTAATGTAATGAAACAAAAATATAGAAAGAAAACCTGATGGGAAGAGTTGGACAGATGAAATAGCTAAGACATGAGGGGTTTGAGACATGAAGAGGATTTAATTTTATAAGAAGATGCAGTTAGTTTTTGAAACTTACTTTAAAAAAGAGGTTAATAGACTCTCTTAACCTTGCATTTGTCCTTCCACATATTTAACAGGACCTGTACGTGGAACGTACAAGAGAGAACTGAAATGATAAAAGTAGTGGCTGGCACCAGAATCCAAACCCATGACATCGCTGCCTTGGGTCTGAAGTCCGTAGCGCTATTAACTGAGCCATAGTAGGCTACTGACTACCTGGCACAAACAGCTATGAGAGTTATAGGAAGACACTAAAATCTATCTTAAGAGATAAATTGATAGAAAATACCCCCGCCGCAGCAAACCTGCCGACTAAGCGAATTTCCATTTGTCTGAATTGATTTTCAGTTAAATATATTTTAATAACATTAGGTTTAACGAGTACCTAGGTTTGCTGCTACAAGGAAACTAATAAAGTGTGTTTTTGAGTAAAATATTGATAGCTTAGTACAAAATAAATAAATTTGCCAAGTTTGATCAAAATATATCCATAAACAAGCAAACTACACAACATTTGACAATATTCTCCATAAGAATAACATGGGAATTTTAAATTTACAATTTTTTTAATTTTCTCCGTTACTAATAATCGAACAAAAATACTTTTATATACTAAATTATTTGTTTTTTTTAAGCTCTTTAAAAAGGTCTAAAGATAAATCGGGAAATTTTGTGTTTTGAGGGTCAAAAGTGAGAAAACCCAATTTTTACCCCATAAAACCCCCCGTAAAGCCCCGTTCCCATGGTCCGATCGTGCTGATTCGCGAACTCATTCAAGTTTATCCCGCTTTACACCTTTAAACCAAATTTCATCAAAATCAGACAAAAATTACTCAAGTTATCGCGTTCACGGACGTATATCTAATATATAAAATTCTCGTGTCACAGTGTTTGTCTGCAAACTCCTCCGGAACGACTTCACCGATGGTTATGAAATTTGGTGTGTAAATTCTGTAGGTATGCGAATCGGACGTAAACTATTTCCCGTTCCAAAATTCTTAAAAGGGCTCCGCCCCAGTGGCTCTGGAGTTTCCCATGAGAAATGTAATTAATGAATCTTAACAGCTGATTCAATTAAACAAGTTGGTTCTGTTCTATGATGTTCAATAGCATTAAAGTTACAAGGATTACCAACAGGGTGCAGCACTATTATTTCTTTTACATTTATGACAACAGCTAATTTGCAACCAAAAGGTGAGTGAGCGTAGCGAACGAACTTCAACCTGGAGGCGAGTTAGCGTAGCGAACGAGCTAACCTGAAGGCAAGTGAGCGCAGCGAACGAGCTCCAACCCAAAGGTGAGTGAGCGTAGCGAACGAGCTCCAACCCAAAGGTGAGTGAGCGTAGCGAACGAACTTCAACCTGGAGGCGAGTTAGCGTAGCGAACGAGCTAACCTGAAGGCAAGTGAGCGCAGCGAACGAGCTCCAACCTAAAGGTGAGTGAGCGTAGCGAACGAGCTCCAACCCAAAGGTGAGTGAGCGTAGCGAACGAACTTCAACCAGGACGTGATTGAGCGATGCGAACGAGATCATCTTGAAAATTAAACGTAACGGTACTTTCTTTCCATCAGTCTGTCTTAGGGGAAACCTATAACTTAGGCGATACGAAGTTCGCCGGGTCAGCTAGTATATATATATATATATCCTTAATACGTGAAGGCGATTTCTAGAAAACACTACTCCTCCGTTAATAATGGATGGATTTTTACAAACGACGTGTCAAAATCAAGTATTTTTTGTGTAGACGCCCCCTTTCACCAATTCCTGTAATAAAAATCCTTGGGCTTTGCCCCACAGGCCATCAAAGTTGGATTTTCTCCCATAAGATTAACATGGGGGGATTTAAATATTTAATTGGAAACTTTGTCCCCACTAATTTGAGAGAACGGCTGGGCGTAGAAACTTGGTAGAGGTGTCCAAAGAAAGGTCTTGGTCTGTAGATGAGTTATCAAAAGAAAAACTAAGCAAAATCCCTTAGGGCTCTGCCCCAGAAGCCTTTAAAGATCCCTCCACAGAGTTGTTTACATTATGGCCATGTGAATAATACTTTTTAATGAAACAGCTGTTCATTTTTAAATTGTATTTCAAACAACACACATATTGGGAGTTACTGAATTCTACCAAATCAGTAGTCTATTTGCAATGTTATTTTCTGATTTTAAAATTTATTTTCTTCTTTATCATGTCATGTTTTGAAATATAACGTTCCGTTACAAAATCAGTGGAAAATACTTTTATCACAGCAATTCTTAAATTATTTTTATTGAACTATCTTATATCTATTGTACACTGGTGTCTGCCTTTTTCACCACTTTTGCTTACATTTTATCATATTATTCTACACATCTATATAAATAAAATTAGAGTTTTGTCTGTACATTGCTCAGAATTATATACTTTTAGGTTATTTTTACGTTTTATACATTAAAGAAGCAGAAACGAGTCTTATCTCAATTTCTGTCTGTCTGTCTGTCCCTTTGTCTGTAACACTCAAGATGGCATTTTACGCAATCTTCTCCGTGAAAACCAGAGTACATATCAAGATCGAAGTCATTTTAATGTATTCACTGGATTGGCGAGAGTGTCTTTAGTGATTTAAATATAGCCTCACTACTTTGTAAATAAAATTACGGACGTTCAAAAATGCAGTTTTGTGTGATTTTTGTCAAATTTTCGTTCAATTTTTATCACATAATCGTCTATGAAATAACGAACAGCTGTTCGGATCAAGATTATTTTTTCTAGCTGTCAATGACATGTTTACAAATGTTGTTTACAAATACCGCAACTATTTCGAATCACGTTTTGAAAGCAAATCCCAACCAAGTGAGATTAAAAACGTTTTTCTTACATAACGGATTTAATTAATCGCAAGTGCAATAATATAGTCTAATAGTGTAACCGTAAATGAAATTAAATAACTAGACATCGTCCAAATCGGAACCAGAAATTCTTTGAGTATAAAATGTTTCTTGAGTTTTGACAACCAGAAAGAAGAATACCTTGAATCAGTGTTGTATAGGGCTGTGACACTGAAATGATCGTCGCCAATAGCTTACAAAAAAGGTTTCCACTCATTGACGGCGCTTCAATGGCGATTGTGTAAAGTGTAAAGTAAAAAATCACAACTGCAGTGGGTGATTGTAACAGAGGTTTAACAGAGGAAGTGTATTTAATGTATTTAATTGGTCCGATTTACTGTAATTCTTAGGTAGGTTCTTACGTAGGTACTGGTTCTTTTCCTTAGAACCGGTAGTTTACAAATTAGATATCGTTGGTGTTGCACCTTATTTATTAGAGCCGTCCGTATTCAATTTAAGTGATGTCTTACTGATACTGAAAATGTCAACCGGAATAAAGTGTTAAATGGTGAGGTTGAGGTAGTACTTTAAATACGTTTAAGTTAACCGATGTGGAAAGTAACTTTCAATTATAGGCCTACTTTAGGGCTACGCTTCATGGATCTATAAAACATTTTTAAGTTTAATCATTGGACATATGGACCAACACGATCCGGGTGACATTTAATTGCGAAGCATTTATTTTGGCTTGAACTGTCAGATACTGTATTTGCGAAGGTTTATATATAATAGTTTTGCCAGCATATCTGCAAATATGCAAACTAATTGCTGTTCTTAATCTTAATATAAGAAGGTTTCAACTGACTACTATAAGATCCCCGTGCGTAGAACGGGCACACAGCTAGTATCAAATATTTATGTAGAAATATCTGCTCTTATCGTGTCTAATAAAATCCAAACATAGAAACCTTGCCTAAAATGGTATCCATCTTGACAAATAATTTACACCTGCCTATTTTACGACCTTTGGCGCACTGGGTTGGTAACATTATTGAAAATAACACTGCATTTAGGCTGTAAAATATGGTACAAAGGGAAACTACGATTTAAGCGGCTACTGTCATGACAGAAAGGTTATATTCCTTTTAAACTAGATCAGATTATCCTTTATAAGATACGTTGATTACCAATAAGTAAACGCCAACATATACGTAACAGCCAATTTATAGTATTTTTGCTTCTTGGAAATGTCCCATTGCTGTGTCATTTGCATTATTTGTTGCCAATGAAGCCACCAAGACCATATAAATGAGGAGGCCCCTAACAGTTTAAGAATAAAAGCCAACTTCACTCAAGTATTCCACTACACCTAACATTCCGTAGAGAGATTATTTTGACAACTTTATGTTATTGATAAGGCTGAAACAACTAACTGACATCCCCCAAGTCAAGGAATTCCAGCTTTAATAGTAACCCCACAATCAATTTCTCAAAACTATGCTAGAGGGTTAATTCATTGGCACAGAAGTAGGATATGAACTGACGTGACGTGACGAAGGAAAAATCAAACTTACACTGTAACGGATATACCTCCCTTTGAAGTTAGAATATGACTTCCCAAAAAATATTTTTTTTTTTAAATAAAATCATATTACACTGATAAAATCACGGATGTGTTTAAATACAAAAGATCCACCAATACGATTTTAATACTATTTAAATGTTCTTCCAAAGGAAAAGATATCATATAACATACTGATAATAACTCCGATGATGTACGGTATGGGGAATATTTTATTCATTGAATGATCAATCAAATTTGGCAACTAACGCAATTAATATAATTATTGTGTTTACACTTATTACTATTTAAACAATGCTAAACACTCAAAATATGTATATTTGACCCAATTTATCGCAGTTAAATGAATTAACCCTAGCCTTGAAAGTAACCGTCGATTTCGACGGGTTTCACCTAGTTTATATATATATATGTCTATATATATATATACATATATAAAAATTTGAACGAATGGTGTTTTAGGCCTCTGGGGACATCAAAATGAAAAAGTAAATCGGTCCCGGGTCTAGGTCTTACCGTGCCACCTACGGTAATAGCTACTTCCCTATAGGGAAATTCGCTAAAATCACAAAAAAGTCACGTTATAAAGGAGAATCTAATACTATAAGAAAACATCTACAGCAAACGGAAGGAGGAACTTTTTACAGAAAACCGGGAATACTGAAGCTACTGGATTCATGTTGTCGTTCCCACTCAATGTGAGCAGATGGTGTGACAATTGTCTGGATCATATCGTACAGTGGAATCGGAATCAAGCAATTCTGGAATAGGCCCATCACAACGGACTACTCACCTTAACTTGTTTGGTGGTGGATGTCTGAGACAAAGTAGCAGTCAGTACATGACCAGCTGTTCCTGCCACGACCAACACTCCTGTCTCTGGACACAGACATAGCTTCTTGACAGCCAACCTCGGGTCATCAGAATACGGGTCAAAGGCTCCAACCTACAAAACACAAGGAGAGAAACTAGAAAACCTTCTACAAATATACAGGATATCTACGTATCACCTTCACTGACATGTTACTTTCAGATTTGACTTTTTTACAGAGCCTAGTGGTTGCGGCATTATCACTTTAAAAAGTCTATTGGTGATTTGGCGGGATTTGAACCCAGGACCCTCTAATAATAGACTAGCTCACTCCCCGCTAGCTTTGACTATGGATAGATCATACATTCTAATCCAATGTTAAAGTCGAGCCCAGTTTTAGAATATCAATTAAAATAGAGTAGACTTCCTCTTATGCAGAAACCTTTAAACTAGATTACAATCGGCAGAAGTGATATCTCTTTAACGTGTCATGTTTATGAGCCCGGCTCGGCATGGTTGTTTGTTTGTTGAAGATTTCAAAGGCACAAACCCTTGACATCTGGTGTTTTGTATTTACAGTTCTCATCCCAGAGTGTCTAGTTTTACTATTTAGTACTTAATCGTTATTGGCTTACGTAGTATGCTAGACGTTCCTAACTTAATGAGTTTTATGGGACTTCTGCCAGACAGGCCTTGTTCCCGAGGAGTCTGGATAAAAAAGGGATTCTACGGCAGTTGAATTCAACCACTGATATGTGCTTATATGAATCACTGATATTTTGTTAATACATAAACATGTTAACCAAGTAAAATTCTTAAATCAACTTATTTTGAACTTTTCCATCGGTTTACTTTTAAAAATTAAGTAATAGATAACATCATAGAAATAAAGTTAGCCTGTTAATATAAAAAGAAACAAGCTGCTATACCCATGCTTCACAACGCACCAATGTACCCAATGAATATTTGAATAAAGGAGATGTGTGAAAAAAAAAAAAAACTATAATACGTAGTAGTCAGCATATGAATCGCCACACATTTAGCCTTCTTGTAAGAAAAACACCCTGAACTCTTTGCTACTACACCATTGGTGTGCTTTTGCCAAGTAAGCGAAGAATCTAGGGGCACACACAAAGTAATTTAACGGACTTGACATCATGACCATTTGCCTTAAGAGAAAACAAATAAAATTTAAAGGAACAAATCTACTAGAGAACAACTTTGACAGAGTCACTCAGAGTGGCTCATCCACTTTCTATCCAAGCAACTGGCTGTGGCTGGTTCATACTAGGATGACTACTTTGTTGAATTACCTTTCTGAAAGGCGGCCACTCGTCTTCCTCCTCTTCCACAGGAGACACGGGTTCGTCGTCACTCACCAACACGGAGGAGGAAGTTAGTTTGTACAGAGGAGCCAACGCCACAGTACCTCCCCTCCATACTCGCACACTACCATCCTCATGGCCAGTGAGTAGTAGGTCTAGGTGAGTAGGTGGGCTGTCTCTTAACTTGCCCCCGTCGATAGGCCACGGCTGCAACATGGAGCCGAGTATGATTATTTATATTTCAACTAAATTTACTAAATGTCTGCCAAACACAGGAGCTCTAAGCAATGGGTCAAAGCTGCAATGTAAAAGCTGTGTGAGTTTTTCAACTTTTTGCAAGTATTAGAAAAAAAGAGATTGCTAAACAGAAAGACTATGTTATGCTTCATGACTAAATAAAAAAAGGCTTTTTTATCCAGTTTTTCTTAGAAGATCCTGTTTTCAGAACAACTTCCATCTAAATAATTAACAAAACAAGGTATTATGTTACATTGAATCCAAATCCACAAAGTATCAAGAATTATGCATTACAAAAAGCCACCAAAGAAAAAAGATGTTAAGAAATAAAAAATCTGAATTAGAATCTGAATTTATTTTTAAGGTGTAACCACCTAGGGGGAAAATTCTCAGGGCTGTGCGAATAGTTCGAAAAACGAATCGAATCCGAATCTTTTAGAGATTCGATTCGGATTCGAGAACGAATCTACTGTTTCTAACTGGATTCGGATTCGGAATCGATATTCAAATTTACTGGTAAGAGATCCGGGTTCGGATTCGATATTCGAATTTCTTGGAAATAGATCCGAGTTGGGATTCGATATTCAAATTTACTAGATTCTGATTGAATATAATTTTCAATATAATTTTTTAGACACTAAAAAACTACTTGTGCACTCCGATTTGCTGTTGACTGGTTCATGTTAGGAACCTGACCAACTTGGTGTTAGGCTTTAGGCACATTAGTGTAGGTCGCATTTGAACCCTATCTTGGCTATCAGTAAACTTAACCTCACAGTGTTAGTTGTTACTTGTAATAGTAATGCAGACATAGGCTTGTGTGGAGGATTAACACCGAGGTGTATAATAGGCTGGGCCTATGTTTTAGACTACACAAATTGGTAGTCCATCACTTTTAGCGAGAAACTTAGGCCTAGGTGGTATGCCTAACTTATGCCCAATTTTTTAGTTTCAAAACTTCAAATAGGTAGGCCTAAATTTCATAACTTTTTTATTTGCCCCACTTCAAGAATTTTTTTAAGCAATTCCCTAAGTTATTTCAGCCCCAGAAAATGTGGTCTAAAAATGTGAAAATTGGTACTGCTGACTTTCCTCGGATTTGGATTCGACTCTGAACAGGTTTAAATATTCGGATTCGATAACAGCTTTAAATTTCAGATTCGGATTCCATCCAGGTTCGATAATGGCTGTAAATTTGAGATTCGGATTCGACCCAGATTCGACTCGGGATTAATTAAAATATTCGGATTCGATCCGGATTCGATAAAATCTGTACAGCTATGATTCGGATTCGGATTCGAACCAAAATTTCTGGATTTGCACAGCCCTGATAAATTCTATTGAAGAAACACTATTTTAACAACTTTTACCCTAACAAAAAATTATATTGGAAATATTACAGTGATGAACAAATAACACCAAACTCACCGCGTCAGAGTATATTCCTTTGCTCTGAGCCTGACCGGCCGCCACTATCTGATCGTAGACGTCAGGCGTGATGTCACTCACATAGGTTGCACAAGTCACCGCGCTGGCGTGTAGGGACACAAGGTATGGGAGTTGTAGCATCCTCCAATCCTCCGACTGCAGGTCTATAGCTACCAGCTCTTCTTCTAGCAGCACCATCAACGCACTGACTCCTAGGTTAGGAAACATGTCTAAGCCAATCACAAACACAGAAAACGTACTACTATAACCCAGAATGCCAACCGCATGGTAAAAAGCATTAAGCGTTTTGAGAGAGCTTTGCCTGTCAATCCGTAGGCAGCGCCACCAGCGTTGCCATGCTAAAACGCTTAATGCTTTTTACCATGCGGTTGGCATTCTGGGTTATAGTACCACGTTTTCTGTGTCACAAATTTGATGGATCTTATTCACAATATACAGACCTTGTATGAAAAAAAGATAATTTGATTTTGGGTGGACCACGGTGAAATAGCTTTTTGGGACCTTTCTTTATATACGGTAACGTGAAAATCTTTGGTTCTACTACTTTTTCACATTCCCAAATCTCCCTCATAAAGAGAATTCCTGGTATTTATGACTATCTTTTAGGACAATATAATACAAATACTGGTTTTACTGCATTTTGACATCACTCCTTTAGAATAAAAACCTCTTCAAGTTTTTTGACCTTTCATTTGGAAGGAAAACTGATTAAGTTTTGGTAGACAAAAAAACATTGAACAAATAATCAAGCGGTTTTGGTTGACTTTATGGGATATCGCTTAAGTTAACAAGAAGAAAATGGCCAAACAAAATCTTAATACTGTGTTTTTGGTTTTTTTTCCTTATTTTTGCCATTTTGCTATATCTCTCTTTTAAGAAGTTTGTTGACTCTCTCCCTAGAAAAAATTCTCATATACCAATTCTGTTTTTACTACTTATTCAAGACCAAACTTAACACTTGGTGTTCAATAAGATATGTCTAATTTCACCATTATTATTATTTATAAGTTGGTTGTAGTACCGGCCCAAAAATCAAGCAGTGATAACACATCAGAAAACTGAATTACCTTAGTACTGTCCTTGCATGGAGAACATTTAGTACTGCAAGCCATCTAAATAATGCATTGAAAGTGTTGGACACAATAAGATGAACATCCTGGAAACAATTAGTTCCTTTCTTATGATACTTAAACCAAAATTTGATGACAAAGTGATAAAAAACTGCACTTCATAAGTAAAGAAACTCACCTTTCTGGTCCCCTGTGGCCTGGATGGTGAAGAAATCAATAACTCGGGAAGTAAAGTCAAAGACTACATGTTTCTTTGCGTGTTGCGCTGTGATGGTGTGTCTATCACTGAAGCTGGCACGAGGCATCCCTCCAGCATAGAGTAATAGGTCATCACTGTAAAAACCATGAGTGATTAAACGTTTGTTTTTATTTCTTGGCCTACACAATGCATATTTTGATACTTTTGTTCAAAGATTTTAAAACTTGATTTGCTAGACTAAAGTGTCAAACGTTACTCAAATTAAATTATCAAGCAAACATCTCATTCCTTATTTTAATTTTGAGCCATGAAATTAGTAGCCAGGAATTAGTGTTGAAGTTGGCACATCCTTATTTGTAACTTAACTTTTGACAGATGAACAAATTTTATTGGTGTTAAAATCACTAATTATGGTTACTTATTGAGCTAAGTACAGCTAAATGTAATACCTGAGGATAAAACCCTAACGCAAAATTAACCATGATACTTGTTTTGGAAAACTTACTATTACACCATCAAATTTAATCTAACTAGTGTTACAAAACACAATCTTCATATTCGGGTCTTTTTCAGAAGAGAGCCTCCACTTTTTACTGTGGAATAATCTCAGTTTAGGTTAGGTTAGGTTACCGGTACGTTATTTTATAGTTTCCCCCCCTTTTTTATTTACTGAATAGAAACAATCACAACAACTCAAAAATCACCTAACCTACACTGTGGTTTTTCTACAGTTTTAATAGTGGTGAGTGGCGGCCCTCTTCTGAAAAAGACCCAATTATTTCAATAGACTAATGATAAAGTCCTGGAGGCAGCTCAGACTCGTAATTAAAATATCTCCAAAAAGAACTTACTATCCTAGGCATGGTATTCAAAAATTATCAAACCCAATTTTAATCCCCTTTGTCACATTCTTCAATTCTAACACCTAACCCTTTGACTCTAAATCCCTTTAATCACAACTTCCCTCACAAATTCTGCGGGAAACATAACCTAGTCTAATGAGCCCTGACATAACCCAACCTAACAAACTCTAAATATAACCTAACCTAACAAACTCTGACATAACCTAACCTAACCTCCTTGACGAACTTACCCCTCAGCCTGGGTCCAGATAAGTTTGGTGATACTCTTGCAGGGGAAGGGTCCGTAGGGCGTCGTGGGTTCACCCCTCGGCTCCCCGGACTCGGTGTCCCATGAGGTGTGACTGCCGTCATTGTGGGCGGACATGAAGTTAGTCCCAGCCGCGTTCCAACACACACTCTCCAGCTGTTGGGCCCACACGTACGTCTGCGGCACAATGCACAGTAAACCTAGCAGCCTTCCAAACTCTATATAAGGTTAAAGCTAAACTAATACATATTGATGGATGTTATATTGATTACTGTATAATACTTTAGATACCTGCATTCAAGTGATCTTATTCGTTGCTTTATGTTGCAACTGGTTTCAACTCCAAGGAGTCATCTTCAGGCTTGCAAGGATATAACTTGTCACTTCATTTGAAGGTCGTCATAGTTAAAATAAAAGAATAAACACTTATCACAAACATTGAACATTAAGCACTGACATTTAACATTAAAAAAACACACAAGAAATTACTGAGAAGGTGAGCGACGCGTACCGGCCGGATGTGAAATCTAGACTAGCGCAGTGAGTACCTAACAACTGGAGCTAGCCTAGCCAATGAGTTGAACATTAAGCAAAAATTTCTAGGAAAATAGTAAAACAATTTTAAGCTTAAAATATTTGAATGTTATGACCTACTAGCTGGCCCAGCAGACGTTGTCCTGTCCTTATGTGGTTTTATGTCAAATGCTCGTTCATTTTTAAGATGAGCTCGTTCGCATGGCTCAATCACGTCCTGGTTTAAGTTCGTTCGCTACGCTCACTCACCTTTAGGTTGGAGCTCGTTCGCTACGCTAACTCGCCTCCATGTTGAAGTTCGTTCGCTATGCTCACTCACCTTTTGGTTGCAAATTAGCTGTTGTCATAAATTTAAAAAATAATACATTAGTGCTGCACCCTGTTGGTAAATCTATTAACTTTTTAATTTATTGTATTGAACATCACAGAATCAGATAGTTTAGTTGAACCAGCTGTTAAGATTCTTTAATTCCATTTAAATATGAGTACTCATAAGGTTAACATGGGAAACTCCAGAGCCACTGGGGTGGAGCCCTTTTGACGAATCTGCACCAAACTTCACACAAACCATCCTTGAATAATACTTAATAATGCCTGAAAGTTTCATTACAATCTGTCGAGCGGTTTCGGAGTCCATAAAGGACAAACATACATACAAACAAACATACATTGGATTTTATATTATATAGATTTCATAACATACTATAGTAAACTAAAATTACTAAATCATAACATAGAAATAATTTTTGAACCCTAATCTATGTGAGAAATAAACCAATCCCATTATAGTATGAATTCTTGCCAGTTTTTCCAATAACTCGGCACTCTTTCAATCCACATTTTGTCGAGTTTCGGTTACTATACTCAATTTCCAAGCCCAGTGGCTGATAAAAGAGTTTGTTTGGATCTAAGAAAATAATATAGTTATTCGATAAAATATCTCATGGTAAAATGAGCCTAGGACTTGAAGGAATAAATAAAAGATAAGTTTTGCCTCACCTGCAGAGCACTGTTGGTATTCCTGTTCCACAACACCATTAGTCCTCGGTTGTATCCAATCAGCAGATGTCCCGGATGTCCTGGTTGAGGCTCCACACATTCCACTGCTCCGGGATTGATCTTGTAGTCCTCAGGGACACTGTGACAGGATGAATCAGAGTTAGGCCACAGCTAGTCGGTGTTAGGTTGGTTGCTTCATCTGAATACCGTACTGAGTTATATTTTAATTACTTCTCTTCTACCAAAATGTATTTATTGATTCAAAGAATTGTGGTAAGTCACTTAATAACCAGACATAACATACTACATTCCAAGTTCACCATTCAGTTAGCGATACTAGTCGTCCTAAAAGCATCACGACACACAAGATGCTCTTATACACTTGAAATTGTTCTTATATTTTTAATCCTAATTTTGATTACACTAAGTTAAAACACTAATATCTTAGTAAAAAGAATAAAGGTACCGGTACAAAAATAAGTCAAATGTAATTAAGCATTTTCACAAGGTATGCAAGGAATTTTGACTACCCCACGGGGAACCTCTTTTTCTCAAGAGAACATTTTCAGGCTTAAATTTTTTTTTTTTTTTTTCTAAAACTCATAATGATACAGTATGTTTTTGTGTTTTTTGTTGGTGGAATTAAAAATATAAATTTCAATAAAATGTTCCTGGTTGCTTTAATAATTTTTTACACTTAATGGTTTCAGTACCTCATGTTCTAGACCAACCTGATCTAACGCTCAAGAATTAGTATTTTGATCAAATTACTTAATCAAAACACAATTAAAACTAGAAACATTACCGGTATCCATTTACGAGCAAATAAAACAGTCTCAACATAGTTCCTTTGCTAGAAAAGTCAATTATTTTATACTGAATTAATATTATAATTCTATTAATTTTTTTCATCAAGCCAAGGTGTAATGAGTGATACGGAAGTAAATCCCGGGAACAACAATGAATCACATAACACATGACTGACACACATTATGGCTTATCTAAATATGAATGAGCTACAAGGCTGAAACGGCTTAACAAGCTTTTGACACTGATGATACATGTTTCTGAGGAATTCATACCAATTATAGTCAGCTTTTATCTCGATGTCTTAAGATAATCTAGTTCTAACAGTTGAAGAGGAAAATTCAAATTATTCCATTGAATAATGGAAGTCTAGGTTAAGCATGCTAATTTGCTTCAAAATCAGATCTAAGGTAAATGAAATGAAATAATATCTTATTTACCAACTGAAAAATACAATTCATGTTATTTACATAAAAAATTATACAATCCTTGTACAAAACAATAAATTACACAAGTATCTTATAACTAAATGGCACAAAAAGAAAAAAAAACACCTTTACAAATTATATGGAAAAGGACTACATAGGCAGGGGCCTGTGCGTAGACATGAGTTGCGGGTGATTTATTTTAATGGGAAATGAATTCTTGGAAATGATTGTTATTACGTCTGGATATAAATTTTGTCTTGCTTGGAACTAAACTACGAAATTATTCTAAAACTAAGATGAATCTGAAGTGCTTCTTAGAAATCATGTGATAGGTTGAGTAGAGCGGAGTGGTGTGTGGTGTATTAGTTAGTCATTGAAGGTGGTGTATCAGTGATACACCACCTTACATTTGCTTTTGTTCTCACTAAACAAAACTGTATGTATACAAACAATGTATAACTAACGCTATCGACTACTCACTTCTGCATGACTGCGTCCTGGTATATGATGCTCTCTGATATGGAGAACGTAGCGGTGTTGAGAGAGTAGATGTTTCCACCCTCGGTACCCAGCAACAGAGTGGAACCGTCTAGACTCAGCGAGGAAATCTTCTTTAGCCTGGACAAACCAACCATCAACAATTACTTTTACTTGGGTAACACCATTCTTTCAATCCCTTGGTGTTACTGAAAGAGAGTAAGCCATGCTTAACCTTCCGTTGGGCGGATTGATTTTCAAACACCAGAGGGCGCTCACGGAAGTTACCTCCGGGAATACAAAAACTATACAATGAGGAGTAAAAAACATTTTAATATCAATAAAACTGAAAAAAAGTTATTACACTATTATCGGTACTTAAGTTGTAGGCCTATATTAAATAGAAAATGTTATAATAAACAATAAAAATATGTAAGTTCTGTGGATAAAAAAGACTTACCTTTGTACATATTACAGTACTATCGTATAAAATTAGAAAAATATTGCAATAGTGTATGACATAAAATACCTATGGACATATTATATGGAAAAAATCATTTGGTACAAGGACAACTCATTTTGTCAAAGCTCTTAGACAAAAAGTGCATTATTGTATGACATAAAACACTTAGATGGTCTTATGGAAAAAAATCATTTCATACAAGGACAACTTACTTTGTCAAAGCGATTAGAAAAATTGCAATGGTGTATGAAATAAAACACCTCTGGTCTCATGAAAAATAAATTATTTGTTTGAAGGAATACTCATTTTGTCAAAGCTCTTTTTCCAAAAAAAAAAAAAAACGTTCCTTCTAAGAGAATGCGCCAATAGGTCTTTTTCACTAAATGTTGTTCACTGCCATTTCAACTCTAGCCAACAATCGTACAATTCGTTCTTCTTCGTCCATTTTATAATATCACAAAATAAGGTCAAACACAAGGGCACACACAGAATTAGGCTCCGGGAAATCTGTTACATCACAGGGCGCTCACGGAAGCCACTTACAGTAGTGAAGTGAACCACTCCCCAAGGTTAACTGACAACAGTGACAACTGGGAAAGGGGTAAGACTAGCCAAAACCGATTCCGCGAAAGAGGTGTGTGAGGTACGTCAGGCGACAGCCCTGCCAAACGCAAACTATGGTTTTTGTAGCAAAAAATATAGTGACCCGGAGGTAACAAAGTTAAGGACTATGCTGCAATTTCAGCCAAATGAAGCAGTGTACGCCAAGTGTTTGGTCTTCATTGATACACAACAGATTGTGTTGCTTTTCCCTGTACAGCTGGCTTATTGTTCAGTCAACGATGAAGACTACCAATTCTCTTTTCATCCTAACAAGCCACCAATTTAGCATCAATTATGCTGCGATGTACCAAGATGCAACATCATCTTGGCTCATCTAGATACGAGTACTGAAAAGATGAGATACTCACTTTCCCTCCAACTGGATGCTCTTGGTGTCCTCCAAGGTCATGTCATTCATCTCCCAGAGATGGAGAGTGTTGGTGCTGCTCAGAGATACCAGACGACCCTGTAAACAGATCAAATCACTGACCATCCATATTCATACATGGACTAAAGTTCATTAGAATGCAGTTTGAGGGGAAGTTCCCACACCACTTTTTTTGCTTAATGTATGTAGCTGATTTGGCAAACCTCAGCTGTTGAGCAATCTTTTTAATGTAGGACCAAGTGGAAGGGATAGATTTCCTCCCCTACAACTGCCTACATTATGTGAACGGAGTATAAATAAGTAGATATACTTAGATCAAGTAAATAGACGTGGAAAGATATATTTTTAATTAGGGATAGACGAGATTGGATTTTTAGTTCGAGACGAGACGAGACGGGATTTTTTATTTTTCATAAAATTTCGAGACGAGATCGAGACGGGATTTCCCTTCTCATACACAACGGGAAATGCACGTTCAAAATTTTTACCTGATTTTGTAACATTGTTAGATGACTGTTTAAATACAAAAATAATGATAATAGGCAAGAATATTTACAATCTTTTATTAAAAAACATCAGCATAACATTTTTTTATTAATCACGCCTAACTTATTAAAAATGCCTACGATTAGGAAACATATTGATATCAGTTAGGATAGAGTTCAACTTATCCTAAAATAAAATAAATCATAAAATAAAAGCAATATTAATTTTTATAAAATAGTTAGGTACTTATTTTGAATTTTTATAGTAATAAAACATTCCTCACACTGCTTACACTTAACAAAACTTCTCAAATTTTATTAAAGTAATATTATTAAAATAATTAAAGTAATATTTACATTTAAAGAATTAATTCAATAAGAACACCTTCGCAAAGGAAACGCAACTACAACACGCACCTGTATTGCGGGTATTGCATTGACTTTCTGCAGGCGTTTTTAATTTTTTTTTTTTTTTTTTTTTTTTATTCTCGTCTCGATAAAAATCTCGGCCAAAAAGAAATCTCATCTCGTGTAACGAGATTTAAAATTTCCCGAAAATTTCCCGAAATTTCGAGACTTGACCATCCCTATTTTTAATGCTTTAGGAAAATCTTTTAGAAACGTTCTTATATCCGAAGAAAGGTATGTTCTAAAACAGTGACACATGTTTAGAAGCAAATTTTAAAATTAATATGAATGCTGGTTGAATATAAAATGGAGTAAGATGTTTTTTTGTGGTTTTTAAAGCTGTGTTTACATTCAAACCACCAAAAATCTACTTGTCTAAGGATGAATGGTAACCAAGTCATCTTATTGGACAAAATTAGGAAAACGTACAAATAAAAAATATAATCACAGATGATGAATGCATGACTACAATAAAATAGGTTAACAAGCTATCGTCAATCCACTGTGTAATTATTTGTTTATGCAGAGTTTTGTTATTCGTGGCCACAAATGTTCGGCAATTATTGAAAATCGAGTAATGAATTCTGAAACTAATAATTTGTGAATGAAAGTTTATTGACAAGACATGGAACGTAACCTGTATTATCGGTATTATTGTACAAAAATGAATATAATGCATGTTTATTTTGTAAAATTTACAAAATTTAATTTTGACGGAGTATATAGGCAACCCATAATATTACCTCATTGGGGATGAATATCAGCCTGGTGATGGCAGTCTCTGTAGTGGGAAGATGTCCGTAAAACTCCACGCCTGGTTGTCCAACGCTAAACTGTGGTTAGGGAAACTTTAACAAACTCTTACATACTTTGCTATCCACCACAATAGAATGTTACATGGAGGAGTAAAGTAACCAAGTTTCTACAATTTAGTGAGTCTGAGTAGTGGGCCAAACTACAAATCTAAGTCAGCAATGTGGCCTAAGTAAGTATCTAAGTCATCTACTGTTGCCGCCTATTCAGTACAGTTTGCTCTCATACTGTACTGGCTCACCCCCTTCGCTTGATGCATTCCACGCACAGGCCTAAGGCTCTTGGTTGGAAAAATGAAGGGAAAAATGAAAATGAAATGAATGGAAAAATGAATGAAGAGTCTAGCGACCTCTAAAAAGTAATAAATAAGTTTGTTTGATATTTTAGGATAGCAGAGAAATTTTTGAAAACTTAGATCCAATTGTGAATGTGGCTAGTTTTATCCAGAACATCTTGATTTTGTAAACAGCTGCCATGTGTCACTGGAAGACAATTTCTAACCAACATCAAGTGTATTTTTTTTTTTAATTCTATTTATTAATTTATTTATTTTTTTCAAATAAAAACACAAGAGAGTTCAAAACTATTGCCAGTTAAACTTATCATTACACACTCTGAGTGATGTCAACCAAAAACAGTTGAACCAATGTAAAAGACCTTGACCTCGTAGTGAAATTTGTTTCATTAGCGAGTAAAATTTACATGACAGCTTACAATGATGTAGGCCTATTCCAATTGTTAGTGATAAAATAATGTAACAATTATATGTCATGTTTAGTAATTCTCAATATCAATAGTCCTATTCTACTATTTCTTAATTTCGGTTATGGTATGTAAAGAAAATTACTATCAATTCTAACTTGTTTGAAAATAATAAAAGTCGGTTTACGGTCTGAACTTAATTTTATATAAAAAAGATAAATATCAATACTAAAAATGACTTGGTTTTAAACATTAAAGGCTTGTAGGACCTTACTTAAATGAACATGCTTTAGTAATGAAACTCAGAAAACTCATTAATACTGTATAGCCTATGTACTGTGCAAATTCCGGAGCTGTTTGACAGCAGCTATTTATAATACAGTAATTAATTAGCCTATATGAGCTAAATAAAAAAAATAATCATACAATGGATTTTATTTTATGTAAATTGCCTAGTTCTTCAGGTAACTTAAAAAAAAGGCGTCTTGGGCTCCTGAAAACTCCAAAACCAAAAAGCACTGTGGTCCCATTACATCCCGATCCCACAATGAGAATCAGGTAAATACCAGGGTATAGGCTGAGATGAATTATTTTTAGCAAAAATGCTACAAACTTTCAGACATCTGCAGCAAAAATATTATTCTTTAAGCATTTAAAAAAAAATTCAGTAATGTTACATGTTTGAACATTACATCTTCAATTTTATTTATAGCAAATTTGCTATAGCCTGCAAAAACAATGTAGCATAAAGTTGTGTACCTATAGCAAAATTCTAAAAGTGCTACTGCACTTAAACCCTGGTAAATGCAAATTTCTGAGAAATTTGCTAAAAATATAAATGTAACAAACAATCAGTAGATCAGTACTTGGTACGTTAAGGATACACTTTGATGCTACCCGTAGCGGTGCCGATAGCCATAAGTCGCAGCTCCGGGTCCCATGCGACACAGGTAGGCTTGTTGGGGAACCCATGTTGTACAGTCTGCAACAAAAATTACGTATTATTAACACAAGAAGTTGAAACATAACTGTAGAACGAACGAAACAGTACAAAATGGTTTCATACTTGTGTACATAGTATATAAATTCAGTTGAGCAAACTTCTAGGATCTCTGCTGTCTTTATATCACAGCACAGAGTAGTAAGAATGACAAGTAATAAAAGGAAAATAAATTTCAATAGTGTTAGATTTTGAAACTACAACGCAATTAGTAAATCTTTATTATTGGTTGACCATGTAGCCTACTTAGAAGCGTAACAGAGGCTAAGTTACAACAGCTCAAATATAGGCATACATTAGAGGCCCACCCGACCCAACGAAGCGGCAAATGAGTGTTTAACAAGTCTTTGACATTTGAGGCGGGCGGGGAACTGTCTCTGATATTGATTCAAACTGTGAACACAATAGTACCACTCAAAAACACTTTGATATTTACTTGCTAAAATAATCCCTTGTCTGCACAATTGTTAACAAATAACATAATGAACTACAACTACAGTGTTCTACATCCATTCAAGTAAAAACACATAGAAGAGAAAATACAAAATGGATGCTAAAACACATATAATGGATGCGAAACCAGGAATTTCAAAAACGGAACCGAAACTTAAAATTAAACTCTAAATCTGTAAATCTAAAGGTGGGTTAAGCTTGAAAAAAGGGAAAACCGCTAATAATAATATAATATTTCTCATGCAGTTAGAACTGAAGGAAATTTAACTCCTGACCCTGACATAATTAATAACATGAACAACATGGATAGTTTAGTATTGAAATTTATTGACGGTGGTCATTATACCATGTACATAAAGACGTTTGAATATTAAATATTATATCTTGAAAATAGCATACAAATCTAGATTTCCCAAAACACTACGGTTCAAATGCCGTACAGTATTCTTGATGTAGTGTACTATTTAATAATGCAAATATGATAAGTCAGGCCTGAAAGTGCAGCCTACCTCTAATAACATTAGGCCTATTTGCACGCCAATGCATGTAATCTTATTAGGCCTACTGTGGATATGCCACCGTAAATGTCAAGGCATTAAACTTACATTCATTACTTTGACATCTTGTAACCAACAAATCAGTTAGTTACACCCTTACACAATCAGATATCAAAAGCACTACAAATCAATTTTTGCCTTCTCACAGGATCCAAGTCAAAGCTTTGTCGTATTGTTGGAAAAGACCTATTAATAATTGCCAAAATCAAGGCGAGGGGAAGAAACGGATAAAATATTTATTTATTTCTAGTTTCTAGAATGAGTAACATATGGTTCAAGACATTTCAACAAGTGAGCAGATAAGAGGTTTTTTTTTTATTTTGGGATTTAAACAGGAAGCAGGATACAACAGGAATTTCAGCTCTCATGATAGATCTTTTTCATATTGCTTTCAAGATAAAAACTAACCCAAATTAATAAAATTATTCCAGACAGGGTTGTAAAAAGTTAAAGACCTATTTAGACATGACACTTCTTTAGGAACACTTGGGATGATACGGGAATATTAATACAGGATAAATTAGCATTTTCATCACAATAAAGCGAGATAAAACGATAAAACATGATTTTCTCGACCTGGTAAGCGGGATTTTTGTTTTGATCACTTTTCCTTTGAATTGTGTTAGTAATTTCTTAACTTATAAAATACTACATGGAAACTATTATCAAAGAGTGACTTTACTTGGGATCGAACTGGCAACTACGTGATTGGTAGACTATCCAATACAGGAGCACAAAAACAGAGACTTAAACCATCTTTCAAACTTATTAAGCACAGTTTGTAACACACTTTAAAATTACGAGCCATAATTACCCCAGTTGAGATTTTTTTCAGAAATATACCATCAAAATAATTACAGTATGTTCAAAACACTAAATAATTGTCTTAGGGCCTCTTTTAGTGCACAACTTTATTAAAAAAAAATCAATAAAATTTTAAATAGGCTAATGTTTTTTTTTTATTAAAATTAAATTATATTTTGGGTACCTATTAGACATTTTAGGTTTGTGTACTAATTTAACTAATCAACTTATCCAACCTGTTTTGTCTAGATAAACTCAATTTAAAGCGTATCTTAAACCAATCGACAAGTTTAACCGGTTAAAAGTGCTACAGTCAGTTCAAACTACAGTCATGGGTCACACAAGACACTTTGTACAGTCAGTGTCTAGCCACAATTGACCTACAGGCCAAGAGGCGTTGCTAACTTCCACTTTCACCATAGAAGCCCCTCTGTCCCATACCTTGACATATCATATTACCCTAGGATTGTGTTACATTGCCTGACCAGTGCCAATCTGCCACTGGCATGATATAGATTATTCTGTACATTTAGCAAGATAAAGCAACTTAGTAACCCCATTGACTATTGGATACCCTACTGAAGTAGACATCAAATCTATATGGAACATCTGTCACCAATTTTTTATTTAAAAAAATCAAACTTAGTTGAGAGAGGCAGTCACAGAATGTGCTAGTGTCTAAAATTGTATTTTCTGCCTCATTTTTTGTTGCTTACATAGTTGATGGGATATAACAGTTACTATCGGTCATCATAATAAGTTGTTTCACTTGGTAAAAAAGTTCTAATGTACAGATATTAGTAATTTACATCAATACAATCTATTGGTGGCTTTCATGAGGATCGGTTGTCTAGTTAAAATAGTGAAAGTTGATAAATAGTATTTTCATATATTTTGTTGCTTAAAAAATATTAGCCTACATCGTAAACCTTTTAGCAACAATTAGATTTTTTTTTTTTTTATTAACAAAAATGTTATGTTGTGAGCACTTTTTGTTTTATCAATAGTCAAAGATTGTAAACATAAAAAAACCTTCTAAATAAGATATGTATTCCATAAATTTGATTTCAAAACAGCTGCGCTCACAAAGGCAAAGCCTAGGAACATTTCAAGGCAGAATGACACTGCAAGTTTGGATATTTATATCATTTGACCTTTCAGTTCAAATTTAGCCGACTAAGGAAGTGTAGCAGTCAGTGCTAAACTCCGTCCTTGACCACGAGTGACTCTCCATTTATACAAAAACAGCTGATTGTAAACAAAACAGCTGATGACATTGTTGGTCACGTAGGCTACAAGTAGTGATTCATACTTTCAAGTGGTCCTGGATTATTCAAAATTATGAATAAGCCTAGTATAATTGTTAAGAATTTAAATAAAGTTAATAAACAATACTGCAATACCTTCATTTTTTGTACCTAGTTTATTCATAGAATCTTTAAACAGATTTTAATGTAAAAATTAAGACTTGATTTAGATGTTTGATCTAGATCAAACATAGGTTTACAAAAAATGTAAATAACTTTGAGTTAATTTATAACCTACCTACAATTTTGCAAAAAAGGTGGCCTTATAGAGTTACTTAGCCCTACATAAAAATGATGATTTTGGGTAAAGATAATAACATTTTTATTAGAACGAAACGTACACAGTATTTTTACAACTTGAACTTAGTAACTTCTTTTGCCACTTTTTAACAATTTTGTCTACCCTCTTTGTTGGTTATTGTTTATGAACAGTAGTTAATGTTTGCATTGGTTTAGTTAAAACTCAGCATTTTAGACCCAACAAATGGTGAAAAGTTATTTTTGATTGATACCCAGCAAAAAGTCTATAAATGAAAATACAGTTTTTACCATCATTTCATTCAACATTTTCAATCACTAAAAAACACTACTAAAAACACCACTAAAAATTAGTTTTAAATTATTGAATTATTGTAAAGAAGCAGTACTAAGTAATTAAAATAATTTGTTGGATTTTTGTATTCAGAAAATCGACCCCTAAATACTTAGGCATATTGGGTAGGGTACCGGTATCAATTTACAGCTCTTATTCTCTAGATGTGCCTTTTGCGGGTTTGGATGATATCACGTGAAAGTCCTTTGTCCTATAGGCTTTTAAAATGTCAGAGTTAGTGCTGAATACTGTTGTCAATCAACTGAACTTTCGTCAAGTTTAAGTTACATTTGTTTACATAAAAACAGATGGCAATGATACAATGTTGTTTAGCCTATATCCATAAGGAAATGAGATTATCGTTACAGTTGGTAATGTTTTAGTGAATTCAAGTAAAACTAGTGTACCTGTTGCTTGAATTTGAGCAATTGCTATGAATTACGGGCATGATTTTAAAACGAATAACAGTCATAATTTCTGATGACTTTGAAATATACGACTCAAACATTATGGAAATACTCAAGATGTACTACATAACAGATCGATATAATCAACATTTATTGTAAATAGTGTTTTCTACAAATAGCCTTGCTCATAGCCGCATTATCAATTATCAATTCAATTATCAATTATTTAAGATGGGGACGCCACTATGTGCGTATTTTAACCCAAATATGAGTGAAGGATGAGTGTAGGATGAGTGGCGCGATCTTGTAGTCTTGTTAGTGACTAAGGCCGACATGTTCCTTAGACACAGCTGTTAATTAATAGCCCATACAGCTAATGGCAACTAAGGGACCTACAGTTTATTGTGGAATCCGAACCACATTTTTTCCTCGTAATTAACGAATTGGTCTAATTATTTAGGATAGTACTGGGGATAGTCGTAGTACTCACTAGTGCGGACGTTAATCCACACCAGGTAGCATCGCATTAGGTTTCCAGACACATTATGTGTTCAAAAGCCTAACAGCACGACTCCCTCCCCATACCGCCCTGAGCGATAGGGATCATTGAGATTCGCTCTAACCTTTCCTCTCCCCTTCACGGGCAAATTTCATTCCTTTTCTTATTTCGTTTGTTTCTTCTTTTAAATTTTAAAGCCTTTATGTATCCCTGGTTTTTCATATTTCCCTAGCTACTTTTTTAAACGTCTCAATTGTTTCCTTGTCACTCATCATGTTTTGTTTTCTCATCTCTAGACCTATCTTATCCAAGACTTATTCCTGTTCTCTCCTATTTATCTCATGAAATGAACAATTTATAAAT